ATGAACATAAACCCAGTGATAAATACTGTAATTAAGAGACTTGTTCAACCGAAGGTTTCAATCATTCGTGATAAAACAGACAATTCTATTAATTACCACACTACATAAACAAGTATAAAAATCTTTTAATCCAACAATTTTTTTCTAAATCATGTAAACCATTGATATAAATAGCGATTAATGTCTCCTTTGATAAAATACAAGGATTTATCAGATGCTTATGAGGCGTACATCTGTGAGAGTTCACACATTGTGCAAAGAGATACTGTTTGTTTAGATGATGCCAAGATCTCTGGTCATATCCACGATCAATTATTTCAATCACATTGTTCTGTATTGATACAATTATCATCTCAGCGTTTTCACGATGGATCGATTTTACAGTGATGGGTAATAAAGATCTCCTATTAGGTGTATGTTTACACGTGGATTAACTAACACAGAAAAAATTGCGCAAACGTTTGCATCAGGCTTAGGTGATATTGATAGCCAAACATACTTCTATTGTGCATTATAAAATACAGTTGAATAATAAAGAACTTTAAATAAAGCTCCATTTTAAAACTTACATTTTCTTGAAAAATGTACCTTTTTATTGATGTACAATTTTTGTAAAAAATGCATAAAAATAAAATGCATCAAATTAAATTGACAGAATTCGAGCTATATTGAAAAATGACAACCTTCCCTCATGATGAAAGTTTGCTATATGCCAGTGGATACAATGTAAATGTTATACTTTGATGTGTCGATAATTTCATCTTCATGAGCTCATTAGCCTTCATGTTCTCTTTGCAATTTGAAAATAAATTTTCTTGTAAATCAGATTTAACAATGGTAAATATTTTCATCATCAAAATCTGGAGTGATTTATCAAAATTAAAGTTTAAATAACAAAGCTTGTTTTCCAAGTTCCAGATATAATAAAACTCTTGCATGGGAACACACTAAAAAGGATGCAAGATATATATACAGAAATATTATAAAAGGACACACTGCAATCATAACCTGTAGGGTGCAAAATGAGTTGATGTTAGTTGATAATCAAAGAATTATTGATAACATCCACACACAACAGAAATCATTTAATCAAATATGTTACGTTGCCCTTTGAAACTCCATTCTACAATGTGATTCAATGATTTTGAACCATTTATGAATTTTATGTTGTGATCTACAGCATCTTCTACCTTTTTGTATTATGCTTAATTTTGGATGTTCTGAAAGAACCTTGATGTGCAAAGGGAGCCTAAATGTGCTAAGAAGGAGAGCCCTGATTGGCAAAGAAAGAGCCTTGAACCAGTTAGAGAACCTTGATATGCTGAGAGAGCCTTGATATGCTACGTGAGCCTTAATGTCCTAAGAGAGCCTTAATGCGCTAAGAGAGCCTTGATGTGCTAAGAGAGAGCCTGAATGTATTAAGAGAGTCTTGATGTGCTAAGAAAGCCTGAAAGTGCTAAGAAAGAGCCTTGATATGCTAAGAGAGAGGGAGAGCTTTAATGTGCTAAGAGAACCTTAATGCGCTGAGAGCCTTGATGAGCTAAGATATAGCCTTAATGTGCTAAGAGAGTCTTGATGTGCTAAGACAGCCTTAATGTGCTAAGAGAGTCTTGATGTGCTATGAAAGCCTTAAAGTGCTAAGAAAGAGCCTTGATATGCTAAGAGAGAGAAAGAGAGAGCTTTAATGTGCTAAGAGAACCTTAATGCGCTAAGAGAGCCTTGATGAGCTAAGATATAGCCTTAATGTGCTAAGAGAGTCTTGATGTGCTAAGACAGCCTTAATGTGCTAAGAGAGTCTTGATGTGCTAAGAAAGCCTTAATGTGCTAAGAAAGAGTGTTGATATGCTAGACAGAGCCCAGATGGGTGAAGAGAGCTTTGATGAATCAGAATGAGTTTCTTTTGAGATAAATGATTAGTTGTTAGATTAATTGATCCAAGGATTTAACTACCACCAATGTTTTATAACTCCTGCAATTATTTAGTTTTTCAGCATTTTTGGAATAAGTACATGTACATTAACTATTGATTTAAATGAGTTAATTCAATAATTAAAAGAACAACCCAGTTATGTTTCTTAAACTATTGTATTCATTTCACAAAATGAATACGGATATCATTAATTGATAATTAATGAGAAGCAATGATTAAGTGAAACCTGACACATGTTCCAACGCAACTAATCCTGAATAAAGTTATCGAACATGCAATAAGAGTGAAGTCTTACATATGTCACAAATGTCGAGTTAGTATCATAATCTCCTATCATTAAATGGTATTATGAACATGAATGATTGATAGAAATCAATAGTTTTTTTAATACCTGGGGAGACATGGATTTCTCCTATAAGCTCCTGTAGAGTGACTTGAAGTGTTCATACAAGGTTTACAATTGCATCTATAACCCATTGTGATTTCCCTATGTATGAAATAAAGCATAGAGGAATAGTCTTGAACTGCATCTATGTGTACCCTCTAATTTTCGTTATTTTCTTAATTAGGTACTTTCTGAATAGAGATCCAGGGGGGTGTGAGAAAACATATATGGTCCATATGGTCAATACATCTACCCATTCAATGGAGTAAAACATGTTTCAGGAAGAAAGTATTATTGCCCCGATTATTAGCCAATGTGGTTACAACCAATTATGAATCAATTAAACATCAAAATATATTCATTGATACCAAATTTTTATCAAAGTCTTACCACATTCAAACCACAAATACCACACATGTGACAAAAATTAGTTTCTGCATGTTCATCCGTTGGATTCCAACAAGCAACATTACCCAGGAAGCCGAACACAGGAAGTCCAGGAGAAGTTGATTTTGCTTCTTTACACGTTAGATCCTCGTCTGGGATATTTGGGGTTTGTTTTCTTTATTAGTTGTTATCCTAGATATTTAATTTTCTTGCTGCACTGTAACACTTTTTAGTGCCTTCCATTTGGCACCTATGCATACATATTTCATCTTTAGAATGGAATGCATGAGAAGCAGAAATTATGCAGGTTGAATAGGTTAGAACATATTAGGACTTTATGTTTTATGTGCTCATCTATGGTCAATCATGGTTTGAGTCACACTTTGATAAATAGCTTATTTCAATGAACATGTTATTAATGGATTTATAGGTGGTTTTATTTAGTGCTCAAGGAGGGCATTTTACTACATTGTTGTTTTTTCAATCTTAACCTCAGTAGTTGAAATAAATAGTAAATACCATAATATAAGTACAGTACAAGGGATTAATATGCAAAGTGTTGCTACCTGCCATTTGTTACAGATGCTGAACAGAAAACACCAAACACCATCCACAAAAAGGTTGGAGACTGTAACAATGTCACCACTTCTGGCGGTGACATAAAAAATGCAAAGTGGAATACCTCTCTAATGAGAACCCCTCCATAAGTGGAACACTTTACAAAGGCTAGTATCTTATTTACTTAATGTGAAATTAACCTCTGTGTGTGGAACACCTCCAAAGTGGAACATTATTTTGAGGTACCAAAGGTGTTCCATTTACACAGGTTTTACTGTGCTACACATAAGTACTTCAAAATCTAAGTACAAGACACAATATTTTGTGATTTATTTCATTTATACATATATTCTAATTATTATTTTTATATAATTATCGTCCTGCGATATTTAAAATGTTATGTTAAACGATTCATAAATGTTATAAATATTTCTACAAATAAAATATACTGTACACTAGTACATGTATTACCAACTATTTTATAATACATGCAAATGTATAAACTACATGATTATATAAAAGATAAAATTATTAATTGGTTTTGATAAAAGTTACACATGAATCATTTCTTTGATCCCAAAAACCACAATGGCATAAATTGTGTACTAAAAATGATCGCAATCATTATCATTGCATTGCATTAAATTATTTAAAGATATAAATCAGGGAGAAATGTCATATTTAAATTATTGCGTACATTTGGACATACAGTTCAACACATAACAACAGAAAATGTTCATTTCCATGGGGTGCAATCTCATGATTTATTGAGGTTGTGCACTCCACTGTATGTGATCCAGCATCTTGTTTCCCCCTTGTCTACTTCACCTGCTTGTTGAGGAGATGTGTGTAGGGGGGGGGGGGGGGCACAAGGGCTTGACACCAGGGAAATGTGTAATATTATCCATGATATATTATTGTGCACATCCCAAAGAAATCATTGTCAATTGCATTTAGCATAGGGAATTTGTCCATGTAAATAAATAAGGGTTATGTACTGGGAGGTTTTGGATATGGGGTTTATCCAGAGGGAGATATGCATATCTACCTGAGGGACTGTAGGGACCGAAGGTAGATGTGCATATCTCACGAGGGATGAACCCTATATCCAAACCGACCGTACATAACTGCTTTATCCTATACCAAGTAGTTTTCTAATTTTCTTTCAATTTATTTTTATTTTTTCAATTTCTTCACATTTTTCTAATTTTTTTTCAATTTTTTCAAATTTTATCTTTTATTTTTTTCAATTTTTTATTTTTTTCATTTTTTTCACAATTTTTCGAAGCGGGAAGATATGCCCTGGAGCGGGAGATATGGCGGGAGATCTGGAGGTTCAGGATATGAAAACCTCAAAATCATGACACAGGATATATCTTACCAACTTATCTCCCTAAAACTCTACTTGGCATAGGATAAATACGGATATCCAGGCGGATTGCTTTGGGTTATGTGTTAGATTCACTAAAGATTTTGTCCCACTAAAGAGCAGTGACCTTTCCACACTGTCCTGTGTTTAAGATTAACTATAAATCTTGATAGGGGAAGCATGCATAAATCACATTAGTGTTCAAAAATATCTTCAAACATAATAATCTTCAATATCTAACCATCAAACATATTTCCCTGATTGATATTTATGATCAATACTACATGTTTAGTAACAAATATTATGGTTAAAAATAAAATTGTAATAAATAATAGCATTTTAATGAATACAATATTTAACTAATTAAATTTGGAGAACCTGGCTTACATACATTACATTCATTATTTACTTCATTAAAATACATAATTTCAAAAAAAGAAAATATAAAAATGCTCATTTAACGAAAAATAATGTGAATACAGAAAAGTATAAATACTTTCATGCACATGTTCTTATTGGAAGAATTTGTGGACGGAATGCACATGTATATTTTATAATATGCTGTATTTTCTCAATGCTGTATTAGTTTGAGGGGATGAAGTCACGATAATATAACCATGTACCACATACAACATATTTATAACCAGAAAATGTTATAAAATTACAATAAATAAATATCAATATTTCAAAATATTATTTTCTGTAAAGTGCTACTGGACGGCTGGTGATAATGAAAAAGGATACATGAAATTCGGAACATCCTTTCTCTGATATATGGCAAGGTGTGTATATACTTGACATATAGTATATATGATATACTGCATTGCCTCTATATGTACGTCGATCAAACAGTTTTTATGGACGGAAATCCTAAAAGGACTGCATTTAAGTGTTCTTTCACAAATCAGTTTTTTTCACTCCAACGACCATATCAGGTTATCATTTCAACTCCGACATTGTCCCTCAGTTAAGTTGTCTCACTAAAAATAAAAATAAATAAAAAAATAAAAAATTGACATGTCAATAAAAGTTATAATAATATAATGATGAAGCGCTGTACATAAGCGTTCATTGTTTGATTTAAACAAAAATCTTTGAAAAACTGTCAGGTTAAGATAATTATTAATATTTTCTGATTTGATGTTCTCATAGAAAGTTGGAAACATTTAAACTATTTTCAGAATGACTGCGTGCGTCTTATATTAACTCAAAGTTGTAAGATGGTGTTACAAAATAAATGCCTCTGTTAATAATACAGGGTGTTCAAAAAAAACGCAACCCAAAGAAATCGCTATATCTTGGAAAATACTTATCCAATTGCACTCATTTTTTCAGGAAAGAAAGAAGAGACTGTGCATGTATAGCTCCTGTAATTATTTAGTTGTAAAACATGAAGCCTTGGACGCCTGCTCAAAAGACATTAGAATGAGAAAGATACGAAAAATGCAGTCAAAGGTGACTGTCACAGCAATAAAACTGAATAACTTTCTAACCATAGTGTTCTGGCACTTCAGATTTGGCACAAATTATCCTCATTCAATGTGTGGTGAATTTGTGGAGTTTCATCAAAATCACTCCAGGGACTTTACAGTCATGGTCAAAATAACTTCTTATGTCTGCCTGAACCAGGGTGTTTGACTGCGTTTTGAACGCATTTCGACCATAACTGTGAAGTCCCTGGAGTGATTTTGATTTCACTCTACAGATTTACCATACTTTGAATAAAGATGATTTGTGCCAAATTTGAAGAGCTAAAACACTATGATTATAAAGTTATTCAGTTTCATTACTCTGGCAGTCACCCCTGACTGCGTTTTTCGTATCTTTCCAATACTAATGTCTTTTGAGCATGTCTAAGGCATCAAGTTTTATAACTTTCCAACTACAGGAGCTATACATACACAGTCTCTTCTTTCTTTCCTGAAAAAATGAACATAATTGCATTAGTATTTCCCAAGATATAGCAATTTCTTTGGGTTGCGTTTTTTTTTGAACACCCTGTACAATAACAAAAATTTCAATTATCTCACAAAATTAATGATTTCCATGGAGATAAAATCTTTATTTTTTCAACACGTATCCATATATTAGATATAAACAGATAACGAGACAGTGACATATAAATGCTTTGATGTCATATCTGAAACAAACAATATGTGAAAAATCTATCAAAATACTTGAAGAGTATAAAGAATAGAGTCGTGGATTTGTAGTTTTTATCTTTTCAAAGTATTTGATAGACAAATGTTTTATCGTCACATAGGTGAGAAAGGGGAATACACAGGTGACAAAGCATACTTAATAATATTTTATAAGCTCATATTATTTTCAAAAAAAAGTCCACTAGATGTTTACATTTCAGCATAATGCATTCAAAGAATAGGAGTGAATATTTCTGTTAAATGCCATGAAAGCAATCAGTGAATCTATAACATGGGTGTTAAGCCACGATGATACCATGAGCACATGCTTTGAGGATCCGCGTTGTTTGAACCTACCGCCGAGCTCACTTATACATTAAGCCCCGTTACACAGTCATGGTACCGCCGAGCAAGCTCATTGCATCATCGGGTCTGCTTTACCCCCGTGTATAACACAAAAATTCACACAATATACTTGTGATGCATCACCCACTCATGGTATGTTAATATTATGAAAACATGAATGATTTAGTCAGGAAAAATAAGTAACCCTTCCATAAACAAGACATTCCCTACCCTGAAGCTCTGAGACCAATTTTAGAACCTTTTAAAAGGGGTAGATAGATATATCCTATTCATATTTCCAGTTTTGAGTACCTGCTTTGTCCTATGGAACTGGGATCTGAATATCTCCATCTGCACCTTGTTCAGCTTTCTGCTTCTCCTTTCTAGCACGTTTTTCTAACCTACGTCGTTTCAACATCTCCATTTTCTCTTTCTTATCCATTTTCTTATGTGACGTGGCACCCTGTAAGGCTTCGTCATCTGATATATCCATATCACTGGCTGAGTCCGGGGCCATCACCTAGAAAGGAAAAATAATGTGTTTTAGTGACTTTGGGAGTGATTTACGTTATTAGATACTGTACTTTACAATTGACTGCAACATTTTAAAACTATATTTTGTTTGCAAACACGATTGAAGATATTGAAAACAAGCCCGATCGGTTTGACAATACATAATTCCATATCCAGGGCTTGGTTGATATCAAATTTAGCCATAAGTTATAAGAAATACACCCAGAATCAGCAATCAATTTTTAGTGCTAAATTATTGAAATAGTACAAAATTAGTGCTTATTTCCCAGTAAAACATGTCACTGCTAAATTAGCATTATATAATATATATAAATGTTTGCGTATGACAAAAAATGTCTGTGCTTATTTTGCACACTTACTGTAAAACACATTGAATTCATGGAAGCAATTTTGGAGGATTTGTACATTTCTTTTTTTTCATATATCTATATTTTCGTGATTTTTGCAAGAACCTCAATTTGTGGCAGGTATACAATCTAAATTCAGAGCATCCTAAATTCGAGATTATACGCGCACATGATTTATATGCAAATTCAAGATGTCCATGAATTCAATGTACATGTATTTTACAATATCTATTAGTGCTAATTCCACGCTAACATTGGATTTTAGAGTTTAATTCTGGATCACATAGCCCTGTGTTCTTAGGATTCGGGAAGATCAGAGTACATATACATGGAACAATAAATATCTAATTATTATCAATAATATAACTATTGTTAGAATAAAATTAATTGGTAACATCTTATTAGAAACAAACACACTAAAACACACAAAGTAAAACCTATAAGATTTCTATCAATAAACCAACATACAATTTTGTACATTAGTGGCGCAACTCAATATCAGTACTTGGCACTTACTCGTTGAACCTGTCCAAGATAGTTGCTTGAGTATGTTTTTTCAAACTCAAGTAGTTTTATCATTACCCCAGAAATGATAATTTTTTGTATGCACTGAACGAAATAAAGTATCGATTTCGGAAGCAAAATGAAAAATTTAAAAACAAACACAATAATCATGGCATAAATAATTATGTCATTTAACTGATACAAACTGTATAAAACATCGATAGTATATAGTAGAGCCATTTTTCTGGTGAGTTGCACCACTAATGTATTTGTACATGCATTTTTATGAATACAGTAAAATCTCTATATCCAAACACCTCTCTAATCTAAACATGTCTCGTGTGAACATCTTTTCTCAATCCCAATTTTGTTATCCCCCATTAACTCACATATTCAAAAAAACTTAAAATGACATTTAGATTAGAAAGGTTTTCCTATATATAGGCAATAGACACATAAGATGGATATATTGATATACTTAGAGTTACGAAACAAAGGGAATCCACTCACTTAATCTTTAGATTAACGACATGGAGAGAATCCATTTATCTAATTTTTGGATTATCCAACAACATAAATTATTTAATTCTTATTTTAACGACACATCGAGAATCCATTTGTTTAATTCATGGAATACCCAACAACATGAATAATTTAATTCCTATTACTGAACAACATGAATTATTGACTCCTCATCTTACCAATGTTACGGCAGCCTATTGTCAAATATGAATATTAGAACAATTAGGATGAAATTGTTAACACTAATTAAATGGTCTATAGGTGTTGCGACAAGTTCCAAAATTGAAAAAGGTACTCATGTATCTCCTCGATTTCAAAAAGGCAATTCCACATTGCTGAAAGATAACTCTCACTTTAAAGGCCTTCGTTGCTTCTCCACTTGCCAAGTGACATCACAGAGCAATTGGTGGCAAAATTACACTGTGTGGAGACAATATGATCGCCTCCTACACAACTTTTTTGACCCTATGGCAAGGAGAACAGGCTCTTAGGATTCCAAACTTATTCTCAATCTCCAAAAATTTGTTCATTGTGAAGTGCCTTAATATTTCTAAGGCACTGAAAGAACTGCTTAGAAGAATGACTGGTTCTCTCGCAATACTAGTAACAGTTTATTCAGTGGGGTCAAAGCAATATTATTAAGATTACTATAATATCAAAGTTAAATCTTATCATTTTATGCTTTCAAATTTCATCAACAACTGACACTCATTTTATGCAAGAAAATGGAAAAACTTTAGTGAGAGCCAGCTATTAAACATTAGCTGATACACTGTGCTTCTCACTTTGAGTAAGCATAACAGTCTACTCATATTGAGTAAAAACCTACTCATGCTCAACACACATATATTAATTTAACATAAATAAAAAGGTGTGTTATTTAATATAAAGGTTAACACACACGTAACACTGTGCATCATATCTATATAGTATATACAAATAATTAAATGTGTTAGGATTATGGGGGGCACCATCACACAAGAATTACTTTAGGTATAAATGGAACTTGTAACATATTTGTTTTTCCATCTGTCTCATCCTCCTCTCGTATGATGTTCTACAAATAAATGATAATTAAGTACATGTATTTTGGAATGCACCCATATTGCCAATGCACCCATATTGCAAATGCACCCATATTTTATAAGAGATAAACTTTGTAGGGCTGACCTGGAAATCAATAAGGGTATTAAATAAATCTGGAAGATCCATTTGGACCATTTCTGAAACCAAAACTGCCTATTTTCTCAAGAGTGAGGTCCGTATTTTAAAACCGCAGAAAACCCAATAGAGTCTCCCAGGTCAGCCAGTGATGTGTATATTTCATGTTATCTCCTTTGAGACATTCTGCTTTATATATACTTCATTCACTTCATTTTCTGAGGCTAATCACCAATTTAAGTATCCAACCTAAACGCAACCTAGATGCAAATAAGTGATACATACATACATAAAGTTGATGACATTATAAATTATGAAAATTATTTAAAATTTTGATGGTCTAAGAAGCCAAAGAACAATGACCAGAGACATCTATTGTTGTGATCATCGTAATGTTACTTTGTAGCAGGATCAGTATCTAAATGTACATCTACCATCATGCAACTACATATTCATCCAGATCAGTTTAATGAAAAGCCTTCGATATACAAAGCTGAATTTTGAAGCATCAGAATGGTTAATCTGCCATCTTATGTTAGTCAAAACATTTAAAATCATTGATAATGGCAACGGAAAACAAGCATAAAGAAACTAAGGTCTATTGCTTAGGGCAATACAACACAGAGAAATGATAGTATATCGAAAGTGCCAATACAAGATACAATGAAATTGGGGCTCATTGATAATATAAATAAAAAGTACTAAGAAACTGGGGCTCATTGATAATGTCAACACAGAGTACAAAGAAACTCTGGCTCATTGATAATGTCAATATAAAGTACAAAGAAACTGTGGGTCATTGATAATGTCAATACAAAGTGCAAAGAAACTATGGTTCATTAATAATGCCAATACAAAGCATACAGAAACTATGGCAACACATCATAAAATACCTCATGATCTGCTTCAGGCGTCCTTGTCAATAGAGACCTCTATTGATAAAAATATTGAAATTCAGTTGAAAATGAAGATATCAATGTTATATCTATATCATGCACAATACTCTATACAAACTCTTATTACTCTCACAAACCTATTTAACACAATGCAGCCAAATATCGAGGTTTCATCATATTCCCATATTCATATTCTAGCATTGACATAACTTAGTGTAATAATACTGCTTTCACCTTAAAGAAAGATTTTATACAAAGTCATTTTTGTACTGTACAGAAATAATCTTTATGATAATTCATTTTTATGTTACACTGTACAAAATAAATATTCTAGAGTTGAACTTACAGTTGTTTTCTTGCCCTGTTTCACTTCTTGTTCTTCCTGTTTGAACTTATCCTGCATCATCTTAGCAACACGCTCCATCTTGTCATCCGATGACAAATCTGAAGAAAAATTATATAAACTGTGAACAAAGTCAATATTTCACTCAGTATTTATCCGCCGATACAATACCTGGTCTGTACTAAGTATTTCATTCAGTGCACAGGACGTAGGAAATGAAGTCATAATTTTGCAAAAAGATGAGTTTTCATGTTCGAATCATAATAAAGACCTCAGATCAGGTATTGTATCGGGTAATAAATACCTTAGGGCTAGGCACAAAAGCTTTGGAAAACATTTGTACCTAGCCCTGCGGTATTTATTCATGATATAATACCTGCTCTTTGCTCTATATTTCTTTATTAGATGATGAACCCAATGACATAGTGGCTAGGATTTTATAAAATGCAATCAATATACTCAAGAGTAAAAATCAATGTCACGAAAATGAAAAAAAAGGCACACCTTACAGAATAATGAAATCACATTTTTGTATAGAATGCAAGAAAATATCCATATTCATTCTACATAAAGTACTAACGCTTCATTTTTACATGTGATTACCTTGCAATCATGACAATGATATCCCACCAGTGGTGTAATAAAAAGGATGCATACCTTTAAGTTCATTGGAGTCAACTAATTCTTCAAAGGTTTTGGCATTTGGGTCTCTCTTTCCCTTTGTTGTCATTGTCCTTTCATACTTCACTCGTGCAACTCTCTCCCTCACCATGGTGATCTGACGTTGACGCTCATCCTACATCACAATCAGAGGAGTTATTCAAAAGATTCTAAGATAACGATTTCCTACATCTACAACTGTACCAACTTAAACTCAGGGAAAGATTGAACTACCAATGTTTCAATATATGGAAATATATTCCATGCCAATCTGGGTGTACATTTCATAAATGAGCACCAGAGATGCGTTTTTTTATGTCATGACTTAATACCTATTTACATCCAGAGAAACATCTCTTGTATTTAAGTGTTGACATATCAAGGGCAAAAAAAGTATTTTCCTGACAGTCACATTGATACTTAAAAATGACCCTCCTTGTCATTTATTTCATTTTTCAATAAACATTGTAACAGATAAACTGAAGAGCAACATGGAATTTATCAAGGCATTAACATGCAAAATGTCACCACTTGCCATTTGTCACAGATGCCAAACACAGACCATCGAACACCAACAGTCAAGCACTGTCCACAAAAAAGTTGGAGACTATAACAATATGCCACCACTCGTGCTGGTGACACAAAAGGCTCGATAAAAAACAAGCACTTGACAATTTGAAAAAATATGTAAACATACTTTCATTGTCTTCTCCAGGATTGTTTTCTGTCTCTCCCCAAGTGCTAGGAGATTGGCCGCCTCCTGGTTTCTCTTGCCCTGGCGCTGCTGAAGACGCTTTTGTAACTGAAATCAAGAATTATACCATGATTTCTGTACTTATACGAGTACATGCATCTCTACATTGTGCAAATTCCCTTATGTAAATGTATTAGGTAAGTGACCTCATAATGAACATGGGTTGGTTTGAATCTCAAGGAGCTACTACTAGAGCTAGAGCTATATCTTAAATTTATATGGAATTGAAAATAAATTTTATAAAAATTCACCATTTCTCCCTGTCGGCTCTGCTCTGATCCTATCTTATTCTGCACTACGTTTTGTTCTTGCATGAGTTTCTTTATCTCATCTTCCTTATCTCCTTCATTCATCTTCACATCAAGAGCTGTCTTCTCACGTCTCATTCCAAATCCAGGCTATAAAATATAAATGAATATGAAATTGTTTTTTTAAATGAAATTATGGTATTGGGGAAAATTGTCCAAAGTTTTTCAGTCTACATGTATCTAGAATTAATGACAATTTGGATATTCTTATCAATTTGCTATATTACATGCACTAAGCATACCCATGTTTGAATCGTAATGTAAACCTCAGAGTAGGGGTAATATTTTCGAATACACCCCTTAGGGCTAGGCACAAAAGCTTTCAAACCCCTTACTTCCTTCCGTAGTTCGGGGTACAGAAAACGTTTGTGCCTGTGTATTCGACAATATTGCTCCTGCTCTTCGGTCTATATTTCTTAAATATTTATCTTCACATTCAGTTGATAAAACAAATATGCTTCTAAAAATTCATGGTATAATCTGCTCTATAATATGTAATGGCAAAATAATGGCACATCTACAATATTTCAGAGTATTAAGAATACTGTCTTACTGGAAGTGGTGTTCCTCTGCTAGAGCTACTACGTTCACTGCTACCACTGCCAGGCTTAACACCTTCAGCCTCTCTTTGAGCCCTTTCTTCAGCCAATCGTTGCTCAGCTTCTTTACGTCTTGCGTCACGACGTGCTTGAAGGCGTTGTTGCATCTGTAGAGGAATTAATAAATGGTAAATGTTTGCTAACATTAATTTGGTTATTAACAACATAAACTTTTATCAGAGAATAAACTACCCATATAAAGTTATGTAAAATACCTGAAAGCAGTTTGGAAAAAACAAAGTGACAAAATAATAACAGAAAATGACCACTCACAATATCTGCCTGGCGTCCTTTCTCCGTAGATCTCCCCTCTAAGATGGCAGAATTCTGTCTCTCCACCATCTTGAGCATCTCTGTCGCATAGTCTGTCTCAAACTCCTTGTTGTCTCTTGCACGTCTCCTGGCTTCTAGCTTTTCCCTGGCTAGTGCCTTTTGTCTCTCCATGGCTTCTGTCATAGCCTGGAAGAGAGGAATTATTGCATAATGCTTAATTGTATTGCAATATGTTACAATGGGGGTTATTGCATTGAATTACATTATATATCACATTGCACAGTGTTGCATTTTTAGCAGACTATGACATTATAACAGGGTAATACTGTATGATTGATGGAAAACAATATCTGTTGTTTAGTAGATTATTAAAAATACAGAAATCATCATTCTATGGATCTCAAGTACTTTAATGGAAGGGAAATGGTCATCTAAAAAGTCATATTGTGGCTTTTTTTCAAAGGAATGCAATAGACCAGGAATACCAACCTTTTTCCTTGCATTCTGTTGTGCCTCTAGATTGGCCAACTCGGCCTCAAGGTCAATCTCCTCTCCACTTCTACGTTGTCTCTTTTCTGCAATTTCAAGTAATTTATTCAACTTTTACTAAATTATAGGGCATATCATTGTACCCATCATTATTAGAAATCATTCCGTGAAAATAATTTTCAATTGTTTGAGAGTTTATTTATTGCAGAACACATCGCTATTTTTGAGTTGAACAAATGAATTCAATGAGTTAGTTATGATCATACCAAAACAACAAGCCAACAGATTATTAAAATGATAAACAGACATACTCAGTTCTTCTTTTTCCTGTTCAAATTCTTTCTCCAATTCCTTCTCAATTTTATCCTGATCTACAGCACCTTCAGGGTCAGCATCTTCTTCTGCAGTGATGGTGAATATGGTTGTTGTGACATTATCCATCCATCCCTCACGTCGTGATTTCCTCTGCGTCTCTTTGATCTTACTTAGGGTAGAGTCATCCTGTGTTTGGATTAAGAGAACAAAACATTGGATTAAGAGTATGTACCATTGAATTAAGAGTACGCAACATTGGATAAAGAATTACCCTGTTATAATGTTATAGGCCTAAGGTATTTATTACTCGATATAATACCAGATCTGAGGTCTATATTATGATTCAACTTGAACTCACCAAAATTTTGCAAAATTGTCACTTCATTGTTTAGCACTGAATGAAACACTTAGTACAGACCAGGTATTGTATCGATGAATAAATACCAGATGAAATATTGACTTTGTTCACAGTTTATAAAAGGCGTGAATACAGTCATGTTCGAATCCAAAATAAAATAGTGTAAATATAAGTAATATTTCAATTTTTAATTTCGTACAGATGTAATACCATGAATGCAGAGTCTAGGTAAAAAATTAACTACTGTATTGACAAAGCTCTCTTTTTAAAACAGTCAAATGGATGCAAATGTCCTTGTGAACTGAGCAAACATGTCAAGTTATCCATACCTGATCAGTGAGTAGTTTTCCAAGTGCTGTATTCTCTGTACTCTGATTTTGCTGCAAGTCTGTCAATAATCCAACTGAGATCTCATCCGCCATCTTGGCAATGTCCATATTTGGATTTTTGTTTTGAACATTCATCTTTTCAACTGCGAATTTAAGAGAAAATATGTCATTAAAAATATGTAAAAAAATAAATGAAACCTCTTTAATAGTTTGACAAATAACACTTGCAGAATTTAAAACTGCATAAAAAACATTTTAAGCAAACATTTATTAATTGCCACTCTACGAATGACTGAAAAATGAATTCAAGGATTTTTACAATCAAATTATAGAATCAGGTTTCTTTCTCTATCTCTCTCAACATACTTCTGAAATGACCCATATTCAATATCGCAATCACTTAAAAAAACACACCTTGAAGTCTGTAGACCATTGCTTTGGAGAGTAGTTTGAACTGCTCAGATCTCTGTTCGGCTACTTTGGCTATGTGAAGATCTTTGTCCTCTTTTGTCATGGTTTCTTCATTGAGGGCCATAACAGTCTGGCGGGATTTGTTCCGCCATTTTACACGCTCTTGACGCATCTTTTCAAGATTCATCTTAAGATCCTGAATAGAACAATGTAAGAATTACAGTGCATTTATTGAATACAAGCAAAACTGTGCATCTATTTTAAAATACCTCATTTGTCATTTGTTTCTGAGTGTACACAGGCAGCTCAGGAATAATGCCTACAAGTGAGGTTTTAAAAAGAAAATTTGATTTCATCATAATACTGTCGTCATATAAATTATGTTTCATGTTATGTTATATATCGGAGGCAAGCTTCTGTAAATCAGATTAAAATAAAATAACAAATAACTTCAACAGTTGGAGTAAGTAAAGTAAGTAAGTAAAGCCAGTGTATCATTCCTCTTTATCATTAATTAAGTCATATACTCATACATGTACCTTTATCTCTAAAATTATGAACAAAAATTAAAGATCATCCAAAGATTATTTTATCAATGCCTACCAGTTCAGACAATGAGCTTGCATTGTTCTGTGTGTTGACATCAGCCTGGGCAGCTTGTATCAACTCTATAAGGATGTCTCTTTCAGCATTGTGTTTGACCTCTACCTCAGCCAAAACAGCCTCATGCAGGGCAACTGCACCTAATACACACATTATATTTAATGATACTGGATATCTTTTTATATGTAAGTTTATTCCATTAGTTCATGAAAGTAGACAAACTATTAATTGCCAAAGTTTTATTGAAACTTTTCAGGAGCAACAAAACTGGCATAAAAAAGATCTTTAAAATATATGAAGAATTCTAATTTCTGTAGACTGAATCATCTTTTTAATGTACAGGTTTTTGGTAGGTTGGTCATTAATACAATACAATGTTTAAGAGTTTCCGAATCATGACATTTTAGTGGTCGAAAAAAGGTATAAACTATCAAGAAATTGTCAAGAGACTCCCTATAATCATTTTCCAAATGCTATTATGTTTGGTTTATGCGCTGCAGTGTTAACTGTACCTTCTCCTTCAAAGTTGTTAGCCGTAAGAGCATCTTTAAGTTCATTCTCAGCAGCTTCTAACTTAAGTTTCTCTTCCAGTTGTTGTTTGCTCATTTCTGAGTCAACATTTAGTGTCTTTTTCCTACGTCTTGCCTCTAGCCGCTCTCTGGCTAGCATACGCTGTCTCTCCCGATCCTTCGCCATACTGCAAGATGAAGACACTTATATATCCAATTTGTCGTATTGAGCTTTTCATTAAAAACAATGCAAATGGAAGGTTTCAAGGCATTAACAGGCACAAAGTCATCACCTGCCATTTGTTACAGATGCCAACCACTGAATGCCAAATGCTGAACACCAATCGCCGACCACAAAACACAGTCGACAAAAAAGTTATGTCTATAATAATATGGCACCACTTGTGATGGTGACATAGAGATCACCATATATAAAAAATATGTGTTATAAAAACTTTTTTCTGTCCCATTGATTCACAAGTGAGGAGCATTTCATAATATGAGCATCTTGCAATATGAGCAGAGCATTTCATAGAACCAGAATGAGCTGACACTTACTTTGACTCAATAGTTTTTTCATTCTGTTGAGCCATGTTGAATATAGATGCCGCTGTAAATAAATCATCTTCCTGCTGAACCTGCTTCTTGTCACGTCGTAGTCTCGCTAGCTCCAACTGACGCTGACGTTCATCCTTCAACCGTGCATCCTGGCCTCGCATGGCTGCCAGAAGAGCATCTTTCTCATCATCAAAACTGTGTTGTAGTCCTTCCAGAATATTCTAAAAATAAAAGATATTTACTGATAAAATCTTATATTGAGTGTTAAAACCATTTTTGAGCATATATTAAGCAACATTTGATCTATGGCAATCATATGGCAGCCTTAGCTTCCCAAAATGGAGAGAACTATGCGGCATAAAACTTAGGGATAAGCCCTACAATCTAGATTTTTTACATCATTTTTGTGTAGCTATGGCCGCAAATGTGACTGAGACTTTACCATGAAGCTATTGAATCCTAAATTCCAGATTCTTTTGTCGCCATGGAAATCATGCTGTCATTGCCAGAAGACATTTCAGATGATAGACATATAAATCCTAAACTTCCAAGACAGATAAACACACATCAAAGTAAGGGTACCTTTCTTTTAGATTTCTCTTCCTCTAGTTCCTCAGTCTCTAGGATGACATCAAGCACGTGGTCATCTGTTGAAAGACCTTTCTCTTTCCTCTCTGCCATGAGCTCCTTGCGACGTTTGAGACGCTCCTGCAACCTCCTTTCTTGCTCTGCCTGGGAGTCTCCTAGTTTCTTACTCAGTTCTGAAATACATGTACAACCATGTATATGTTCTCACCATGTCTAAAGGCTATTGAATAAGTTAAAACCATTTAAGCTATTCTGGTAGTTATTATTAACCAATGCAATAAAGATGCCATATTGGGAAGATACTGTATCTGTTGTGGAAATCAATGGAATGCCCTTGATCAAATAGATTGAAGATCATGAATTCTGCTGAAAATAGGTGAGATAACTGAGATATCTAAAATTCTATATATTTCATGTACTGGTTCTGCTTTTCAGTTTTGAGTTTAACTACTACTTTTTGGTTTTTGTTGCTCCTTCTGTCTTCTCATCATTACATAATGTCAATTCAGGGTCTGAGATAACTAAGCTCCAAGCTGACTCGGGTCTGACTTGACCTTTGTCAGAGTTGAATTTGGTAAGAATTACAGATATAAGCAGGGACAGTCTCAAATAAAGTATGACTACAATGCAGTTTTGATCGTAATTCAATTCACCTGATTCATTGTCTGCTAACTGACTCAATAGTGCAGCAGCCTCATCAAACTTGCCCTCCTTTCTGAGTCTTCTTTCCTCCAGTTTCATCTTCATGAGTTGTCGCTGTCTCTCCTGTTCTGACATCCTTCCCCACTCTGCCTCCCCAAACTGTTTCATCAATGCCTAAAGGAACATTTGAATATGAGCTTTGTTATGGGCTAACATAATGTAAACAAGAAGGTTCATAGAAGACAAAATTTACATAAGAATCAAATGGATGAGGTTTGGTTTGTAAAAGTATGTAATACCAGGTTGATCAATAAGTTCTGAGAAAAGGGCTACTCAATGAAAATTGGAATATTGATATGTGCCATTATTTTACATTCCGTGTGAAAATTTCAAGTAGACTTTCTCAGAACTTATTGATCAACCTGGTACATGTTTTCCTATATTCATATTAATTATACATAACAAATGGCATTAATGCTGATTGAAAATAAATAACAATATAATACATTTAAATTTGAAGATTTCTATACCTCAGCAAGTAGTTTATCTCTCATAGCATCATACTTCTGTTCCAATGCCTTAATTATCTCAGTCTCTTCATTACTGTACTCAGCATCTCTCTTAGTCTCCCCTAGGAGTACAATGGCTGTGTTGTCATGCCATTCTTGTTTTCGAGATGTTGCATGTACAAGTTTCAACTGCTTCAAAGTCTTGGCATCCTAGAAGAATTCGATCAAATATATCATTTATTATTAAGTGTAACTACCTGTGTTGCATATCAGAAAACTGGCTCATATTTTATAATTTTAAACGACAGTTGATAATCCATATGGGGTGACATATATACATTGTAGTTTAAACAAGTCTTAAATGCAATATCCCCTGTATAACCTCTTAATTGACCTTGACCTACATGTTTATGCCATTCAGCTTTCACAATCTCACTATGGTGAGAGAGGTTTTCATGGAGGATTTAAGCAAACTTACTCTGAATCACTGACTTATTTAGGGAACATTAACCTATATTTGTTACTTCTTCATTTCATCAAACAGAAAAGGATCATGGGCTTCTCAAAATACCATGGTATCAAGCCACATCAGAAAGCCAAAAAATAAAAAAATAAACGTGAAAAGACCTTTGACATTTCAGTTTAGGGTAAGATAATGGTGCTAAGTGAAAGGTTGCTAAACATCCCTTAAGAAAAAAGCTGTGGTAACCATAGTATTTCATGATATTCCATGGAAATGGATAATCTGACAGGACTTGTGGTCCATACCTTTTCTCCAATTCCTTCCATTAAGTTTTGCATTTCCCGATCTTGTTGTTGTTGTAGATCAGCCAATATCGCCATCTGGAGGTCATCGTCATGACAACTGAGACCTGCCTCACTTCTCTCCCGATGTTTCAATTCAAACCTGATTCCAGCTGCCATCTTATAGACAAGACACAATGTGTTAATTTCACAATTTGTTCATGTAGAGGAACACAAAGGCTAAAATAACTCAACTTTTTATTGAAAGTTTTAAACAGACTTACACATATTGAATCAAATATCAGTACCAGTCTATGAAATATGATTCATATTATTCATTATTATATATTCGTATTGCAAAATAACTATAGAACAATTAATAAATAGGTGTGTGACTAAACCTTGAAAATATCCAACTGTTCCTGTGTAAACCTTGCCCCCGTTTGTCTCTTAGTGGTCCATGTGTCAAGGAGTGCAACAAGACGTTCATCCTTTGCTTCATTATCAAGCTCTTTGGCCTCTTGATGATATTTACCACCAATCTCTTCATGTAGGATCTGGAAACATATATTTGGTCATCAGAGTGGTCAACCTCTTGAATCCCAGGCTCTAAAATCGGTTTGAAACTAGAGAATTTTTCATTCTTTTCAGCATTTGACATTTTATAACGTAAATTTAAAGCAGGTGATGTCCAAACCAGTGAAATAAGTCGGCAGAGATCATATCTATACATTTTTGAACATTTCTTTGTGTAATACATGTATTGATAAAAACTGTTCAAGGAAACCATCAACTTTGGAAAAATTTGTGACTGTGACATCTCATCACTTTACATGTTTCAAGGTCATTTAAGAATGACGTGAAATCTTGTCATTCTGGGTAGTCAAGAGATTTAAAAGGTACAAATGACATTGGTTGAATATTTTATCTAATTCAAGTAAGTAAGGAATAAGCTGCATAATATACCTCTGTCAAAGTATCTCTCTCTTCAGCATGTTTCCTTTCAAGCTCTTTCAGTACAGCCTCTTGCATAGCAATCACATCATTTTCATCCTCAGGCAATGGAACATCCCCTTCTTGTGTCTTAGTCTCTTTAAGTCTTTTGCGACGCGCTTCTAGCCTCTCTTTGGCTAGGCGCTCCTGACGCTGTCGTTCTTGTTCCTCTCTGAATATATAGAAACAGGGTTAAAAGGTTTTCAATAACTTCTCCTAGTTAATCAAATATTCATCAAGGAAAATGTCAAAAGAAGATCAGTACAAACTCATGTTTCAATTGCTGAATTTGATGTGAAACTCATTATACCAGGTATAAGGTAAACAAGCATTTATTTAATCTATTTCATTTCATTTTTTTTTTCACCAATATTTAACTTATATGTTTAAGTTGTACGATCATTTTTGGCTTTGTATAAAAAACCTCCTACCTCATACCCACCTACCCACGTACGTTGGACATGATACAGACTTTGAAGGGTTCAATTTTAAAGATCTTAGATTATTAAATCTTAGTTTATAATGAATTATAGATGCATTTGTAACGACCCTTGCTAGTAAGTTGCTACGACAGCCCAGCTGGGTTCAATTCCCACCCGGGGCATCGAATTTAGCACACTTTCTTTAAATTTCTTTATCTGGTTTGTTGGACCGATGCTCGCGGTCGTTAGTTACTTATTCCTCCGGGACGCCCTCGGGTCATTACATATTACAATGCACCCATATATGCCTTTATTTATGAATCTGTGACCCGTCTAGTCATAAAATAAACCGGAATTGTAGAAATGTTAATAATTAGAGCTAGTTTGAGATTTAAAAATCTTTAAAATTGAACCCTTCAATGACTGTATCATGTCCCACGTAGGTGGATAGGTGGGTATGAGGTAGGAGGTTTTTTATACAAAGCCATCATTTTTGTTTGGTTGCAACTCAAGTATTAGACAGATTTTAGACCCCAAATTTTGATTTGTTTTTTTGCGTACTCCAACCATATATAAAGGGATATACATAAATTGGAAAGAATAAATAATAAAAAACAATAAAAAACATAGGGGGCTGTGCTTCAACATAACAAAGTGTGACTGGCGATTGTACCTTATTTTACTAGAACTATGAACATGTACACCTTATAAATCATCTTATACTAATACATCTAAAACACACAGTGTTGTGTTTTTACACATGTTATTATTGAGCGCGTAACACTTATATTTGGTTGGGGCCGAGGGAATTGTACCTTTTTCAGAAAGAAATACAAAGAGGTTATTTAATGGGAGATTTTTGATACAGTGTATATCTGAGGGAAATACAATATATCTACCCTATTTGGTATCACTCATTGACCTACATGTTGAAAAAACCTTGAAGTGGGAACACCTGCTTATCCAAACACTTTTGGATAGTGCCAGAGGCGTTCAGATTAGACAGGTCTTACTGTACATCTCATTCCTACACACCATGCAAGATGCAAAGAGCATCAGATCTACAAATGACTACTGTAGTAAAATACTAACATGCAGTTTGACTCTATTCATGCCATAAGGACTATAATGTTTATACAGTAGATAATTTATGATAGAAAACCTCTCATTTACCAAAAAGGGAGTCTTTTATGAAAGTACACAGGGGTCACACACTTATGATATAATGGATACTATGAATTGGAAGTATAAACAAAGGTATTTGGGCTTTAACATGAACAGGTTAGGTTCTAGGTATATTTGTATGGTATTATTTGGAACAAAAAATGCTGGAAAACCTTATGGGTCCATGGGATCTTAGGAGATAAATGTTCAACTTGAAATTCATCATTTCAAGGTAGTCAAAAGGAGATAAGGTTTAAAAAGACTTAAATGTATCACTCTAGGCATACTACATGTCACTATACTACATGTACAAATTATATATATTGAACTAAACGTAAAATACCTATAAAATACCCCAAAAATTTTATTAACAAATAGGCCATTAAACTCAAAATGATATTCAATGCAAAATTAGTAGAAGCATATCAAGTAATTCTAGCAAATGTGAACCTATTAGTAGAAGCAAAATGTAGACAGCATGTGCGCCATCTATAATTGGCAAAACCATCTGAAACTTTGAACATATTCCATTTTTACTACTGTTTATACTTTACCGTTTTTTATACGATATTTTCTTCTTGGACCTCCGGCTATAAAGTCAACAAATAATCAAACAGATTGTGCATGAGTAAACAATGTATGATTAAATGACTAATCGCTCATTCATGAAATGTGATTAATAAATGTATAAAGTCAATTTATGAAATTAACGATGAATGGACAGAAGAATATATGATGAGATGGTATACATTTTATGATATTATCTATCTTATGCAAATACATACATGTATCCAACAATAAAGTGAAAATGATATCATGGTAATTTTGTGAATAAATGATGGTTCTTCATTAATGTAAATACATGTATACAACAATGAAGTGAAAATGATAACATGGTAATTTTGTGAATAAATGATGGTTCTTCATTAATGTAAATACATGTATACAACAATGAAGTGAAAATGATAACATGGTAATTTTGTGAATAAATGATGGTTCTTCATTAATGTAAATACATGTATACAACAATGAAGTGAAAATGATAACATGGTAATTTTGTGAATAAATGATGGTTCTTCATTAATGTAAATACATGTATATACAACAATGAAGTGAAAATGATAACATGGTAATTTTGTGAATAAATGATGGTTCTTCATTAATGTAAATACATGTATACAACAATGAAGTGAAAATGATAACATGGTAATTTTGTGAATAAATGATGGTTCTTCATTAATGTAAATACATGTATACAACAATGAAGTGAAAATGATAACATGGTAATTTTGTGAATAAATGATGGTTCTTCATTAATGTAAATACATGAATACAACAATGAAGTGAAAATTATAACATGGACAGTGTACATAAAATTGCAACACAAATATGCATAATAAAAAACTTACGCTTTATCCCTATCTGAAGCCAGACCAAGCACAAGCGCAGCTGCATCAAAGTTTTCTTCATGACGAGCCTTACGCTGCTCTCGACGCAAACGTGCCAGCTCCATCTGGCGGCGCTTTTCTGCATCAAGTTCACCACCCATTCCAGCAAGTCGTTTAAGAAGTTCATCTTTTTCCTATAAGTGGAATAAAAACAATATAAATAATATTCTCAATACTAGGAAATCATTGCACGACAAAAGTACAGGTTTACAAAAAGAAAATTCTCAAAAGTTTGCATAGGGCTACTATTTTAATATCTATCAAAACTTCTTAAGTATCACTGAAATTTCTTTAAGCCTAACCATCTATGGAAACATTGTAGCCCTTTAACCAAGATAAACTAAAATGCCCTACCAAATACTAGTAAAAAAAATTAATGAATTATTCAGTAAAGAAATCATCAGCACCTTATCAAATCTGTATTCGAGATCAAGTAAGATGTTCTTCCTCCTCTCTTTCTGTTTCTCCTCCTCTTGCTTCAATTCCTCTTCTTCTAGCCTGTCAACCTCCTCTTTAGTCATTCCTGATGATGAAATAATACAAATACAAGGCATATTAAGATGCAAACTGTCACCATCTGCCATTTGTTACAGATGTTGAAACGCAAACTTCAACTGCGGAACACAGTCCACAAAAAATGGAGACTATAAGAATATGTTGCCATGTGTGGTGGTGACATAAAAATGGAAAATACAGTGGAAAGGAGTGAAATCAGCAAGGAATCAGATTAACAGAATTTGTATTGAAATGCAATAAAAATCAACAAACTCATTCTTTTTTTTGGAGAAATACATTACTTTCTGTATGGGGAGTATTGTATCTAGTGGATCAGTGATTTTGAGCTTTCAATCTGTTTGACTTACTTGCATGTACTCATTTTGCATCAGTTACTATTTTGTCATGATCTTTTACCTCAAGTCAGTGCTTTGATCAAATTTCAGTATATCTCAATTAGTCTAATAATTTCCACTTATCCACATACCACTACAGACATTATGTCCATTACATTTGACCTAAGAAAATCACACCTTTCATTTGCCGTTCCTTTCTCTTAGCAAGTCTCTCCTTAAGTTGTCTCTCCTGCTCCTCCTTACTGACTCCTAGCAGTCTGTCCAGGGTCTCCTGATCTTTCAATGCATCACCTGAAAAAAACCAATACTCAATGATACATACATAAAAGTACAGGAAAACCTCTCTAATGCCTTGGTCACATTTGCTACGATTTTCACTACGGCGCCCGGCCGATTGAGTATTTTGTTCAAAATTGAATTCATATTTGAACAAAACACTCAATCGGCCGGGCGCCGGCCGATGGATCGTAGCAAATGTGACCCAGGCATAAGTGGAGCACATTGGTACCTTTAAAAAGTGTTCCACTTGGGAGGTGTTCCACCTATAGAGGTTCATTTATCATTAAGTCAGTTGGTCTTGGAACTCTGAAGTGTTCCACTTTACAGGTTTCATTGTATGTGTTTGCAGGAGAACTGGTCACAGTGCCCTGACTGCAAGAGTTGACAAATCACCTCTCCCCTGACTTCAAGGTGACCTGAGGAGAGCGGAATAATGACACAGTGACTAATACTAATAGATCCCCTGGGTGACCAGACTTTGAAATCCTAAATCTGAGATGGCAGACTTTAGGATTCTTATCACTAAGTGTGTTAACTAAGGAGACCTGTGTAGGCATATTATGGGGAGGCCATCCGAAGATGTGGCAAGAAATCCATATACCTGACCCCAACATTAAGCAGAAGGTCATACTCATGATCAGTCAAGGTCATTAGCTTCAGGTGACTGTATTTGGACCAGACCTCTTATAATAACAGTATACTCACACTCAAATCTACAACATGAGTAAACAAGGTATTCAGTGGCGTAGCGTCGTTTACGCAAAGTACGCAAATGCGTCCACTGGAACAATCCAATGTTTATCTGAATATTTGGAAATTCTAAATTTCTCAAGTTTTAATAAGCAAAGCCATTGTTCAACCTTATCATTTCGTATCTTTGAACAGGGTTCAACCATAGAAATTAGGTGTTCATTTTAGTCCAGACATGTCATTAATTGGTGGAATTACACCTACGATGTAAAGGCGCTTTTTAAAATCCTATCGGGTTTTGACCCGCCTTTAGAGTCAGGTGTAATCACGATCGCGGATTTAGAAAAGCGCTTTTGTAATCCTCCCAGACCCCTAGTCATTAAAAACCGCTTTCACACCCAAAGGCGCTTTAACGTGTAGGTGTAATACCGATTGGTTTTCAAGGCGCTTTAACTCGATTTTACACCTGAACGAAAACTATATTTGCGCATGAGCATCAAGCATGTTATTGATTTCCGGTGTGGAGGAAACTTCAAAAAACAAAATTCAAATATTGTGCAAAACTCAATCAAATCACCAAAATGTCGAAACAAAGTAGAATCTATTGGGACCACGTCAATACTGAATACGATTTAAGAAAAAAAGGAACATACAGTATCCAGTGGCGTAGGAACAATATACGCCAAAACGCCAATGCGTAGTGTTGAAAAGCTAGAATGAAATAGCTTAATAATTTCCTTATGTTCTTTAGTCATATTTCCTCATTGTTAATAAATTGTTTGTGATCTCGAGCACACAAAAGAAATGTTTTTGGAAACCATGTAATATGTTCGATTTTTTCAATAGTACTCTTTGCAAGGTTTTTGTTCCTCTGTTACTTTTTTCTAGCTTCGGCCACGATAAATGGCACTTTTTGGCGTAAAAATCAAGGTGATTTGGGGTAGAGGGTTATGATAGTTGGAAGTTTAAGCCAGTAAAAATGAAAGTACATTTCAACTTCAGTTCTAGGAAAGCAATTACCCTAATTTCTATTTTATTTGAAATATAATATATTATTATTTTAGGAAATAAAGCATTTAGGCACCAATAATTATTTTGAAAGGAAAAAACAATTTACCACAAAATGTCACGTTGACTTTTGCATGGGCTTTATTTATCTTATAAAAAAAGTTGAAGACATTAGAGTTATGTTGTATCATTGATCACGGACATGTTTCTATTGATCATACTAGTTTCTTTAATCTGTATTGTTGAGATTTAAAAGATCGGCTTTCCATGGTGATTTTATATCATGAAAAACATTCGAACATTTTAAGCACAATTAGAAAGGTATTACCATAAAAATTACGTTTTACGAGCATAAAAGAGGCGTTTTGATTCGTTAAGATTTGACACAATTTTTTCATATTTTTGGCGTAGTGTTGAATTTACACCTTCCTACGCCCCTGGTATCGGATCATTTTGAATCTCCAGAGATGGCGCAACGGTTGAAAGTGTATATCTAAATAGCAGATTTTGATGCAAATGCGATGGTTGATGGCAAATTTTTGTCTTAAATCAGTCTAAAAGCGCTTTAGAAAAATCAAGTGTAATCACGAAAAGTTGTCTTCAAGGCGCTTTTAAAATTCTGGTGTAATCAGGATTGCGGTTTTCTAGCCTACGTTACCCAAAACGCCTTGAAAACGCCTTTAGCCATGAAATAGGTGTAATTCCACTAAATGATTCTTTCAAATTATACTCTCATAATTTCGTGAATACTCTTATGTAATCCATATGACCCCCCCCGTATAAGTACATAATGGCTGCTCATGTGCCGAATCCAGTGGAAATGAATGCGTATCGGGTAAACCCCCCCCCCCCATCCCAATTTTGGAATTTTGCGTCCCCTAGTAAAATTGCCACGCTACGCCACTGGTATTAACATGCAAAATGTCATATAAAAATGTTGGTTTTACATACCAAGTAATGCTGCAGCTTCATCAATTTTGCCTTCAAGTCTCAACTGTCGTTCTTTTCGCTTCAGCTCCACTAGTTTACGTTGTCTTTCCTGTTCTGACATACGTTGCCACTCTGCCTCCCCATGCTGTAAATAAATGGAAATTAGGTCATATGATCAGTCAAATAAAATTCAAATTATTTAAAATATTTTTCCTTCATGAGCGATTTCCAGGTTTCCATTAAAATACTATTTTCTGAAAAATATCCCAGGTGGCGTTACTAAACTTAAAAAAGTTATCATTAAAGTTGGATAAAATGTCTCAAGACTTTTATAGGGATCCACATGTGATGAACCCCAGCAGTGTTTGAATTGAACAAACAATACCAGCAATAAATCTTGTTTTATAAGGATCTTTGTATCATTTAAGCATCCAATACATTTTCACCAAATGTTCTTGTTTCACTCTTGTTTTATCTTCTTTTCCTTCATGATCCTTCACTATTTCAAGTTCATTGTCATTTACCCATATGTCTTATTACCATTTTCTATAGATAGAATAACTTGGGTAACAAATATTTTCTTTTGAGAAAAACGATGTAAAATATCTCATTTTTGAGATTATGCTTTATATACCCAACAAGACTTTAAACTTGCTTCATATTCCGATCTCCAACCTCCCGGATTCTTATATATTTTCTATATTTCATTTTATTTCACTCAATATAATATTTTCTACAGCCACATTTTTATTTAACTACAGCAACCTGAAATGCCATATGGCGATAGGTATGATTTTATCTATGTATTATTAGACTCCAAAGCTTGAGTCTATTACTTTTTCAGGTTTTCTTGTCATATTAGACTCCAGATTGAAAATCTGGGATCTATTGCTTTTACCTGTATTCTTATTCTTATCTTAGCATGTTTTATCATTAACTTTGGGTAAATCTGATTATATCTGAAATCTTGTCGCGGTTTTATGTTTGCGTGGAATAATCTCTAATTCTGGCATCTAGTTTCTCTTCAAGGAGATCGAATTTCAGCCGAGTTTGTTTCCAACCATGATTTAGGAACACTGATCATATCTGAGTGTTTATCAAGTAGTAAGGGTGGTGTTACATTACCAGACTCAGATCCCAAGGCAGATCGGTTGCATGGTAATTTTGGGGTTGAGCAGGGAACCAGGCTATTTTTCCAAAACCTGTTCTACTGACAGTAGAAGAGAAAGTATAAGTTAAAGTGCTCTAAACTTAATTCAGAATTTGGACAAATTAGGTCAAAATCTGGGTCAAATCTATGTTTTTTCTTATTTTCATTATCTTGACACTACAGTTAATTATTTTTGTTTGAACGAAATTTCTTATACAGATAGCCAAGAGTATGCTCATATTGTTAGCCTTTTGCCGTCAAAAGGTATTTTAACTCAGTTTTGAGATCCAGTTTTGAGTCCAGAAAGTAGATCAATAAAAAAAGAAAAAGCAATATGATGATATCCTCATGTGAAGTAATGGATTAAGTCGACTACTTACTCAGTTATCTACTCAGGTACTTACTCAACTACTCAGCTACTTACTCAGCTATCCAGGTCAATTCAATCTGGAGTCTTAATTGAACTTTGTTGAATTTACCTAGTTATTTATATCTTCAATAAATATAATAAAAAAAAACATGTTAATAACTAAACGTGACAATGTGGGATTCAAACTATTTATTTATATAGCATCAACTTGTAACGACTTAACTAACAATGTCTACTGCTGTATTTGGAGCTGGCCAATGGGGAAAGGTTATTATAAGGAATCTAATTGAGCTAAACGATTTAGCTGTGGTGTGTGATCTCTCTCTTTCATCTTTGGAACATCTTAAACAATATCTTGAGAGTTGCAACTGTGAAATAGATAATATTGAGTTCCTCAGTGACAGGGCTGACATCTGGAACATGTCGAATGTTACTCGTGTTGTTGTGGTCGTACCACCAGAGTATCACTATAAGGTTGCCATAGAGGCACTGGAGCATGACATGGATGTTTTCATTGAAAAGCCAATGACAACAAACACTGACGAAGCAAGGCATATATGTGAACTTGCACATTTTAAGAATAAAATTCTCATGATTGGGCATTTGCTCCACCATCATCAAGTTATGCCATGTGTGGTCGAATGGGTCACAAGAAATGATCTTGGCATTCTAAGAAAAATTGAGATACAACGTAATGCAGGAGTAATGATGTCTTGTAACATATTATGGGATCTGATGCCTCATGATATATCAATAGCGCTACGTCTGATGCAGCTATGTCGGTTCAAACTAGATGAACACTCAGCTAGGGTTATGAGCTCAAACTCCATATCTCCAGATCTTACTGATACTGCTATAGCAACAGCAATATTCAAGCGCAAAGATGATGGAGTCAAAGCAGCCCTAGAGATGAAAGCATCATGGGTGTATACAGAAAGACTACACATCGTCAAAGTTGTTTTTCAACATGGTATGTTGATCTGGGACACCTATAAAGATGTCAACTCTCCTGATGCATTCAAAGTTTATGATTTCGTATCAGATGGTTCTCATAAGATGAGCATTGTTCAACGTAAGCTGCCACCAACAGAATCTATTGAAGTGAGCTTACCATTGTTGAATGAGTTTCAGGCATTTATTGATTCCTGTGAGAAGAGAGAAGCACCATACAATGATGGCAAAGAGGGAATGCGGGTTGTGGAGATGTTACAGTTATTCTCCAGAAAAATGAACTAAACACATTTTTGAACTATATTAGATAAACGAAGAACAGTAAATGAAACATTTATGGGTAGGCATAATAACTTGATATAAGGACACTTCCTTGACACTATTATGAACTTTCTACAAAAAAGCATTCCATGTTATGTATCACGATATTTTACTTGAGAAAATATCTTGAAAATAAGTTTATCTTGAATCTTCAATGTTACACCAATATTTCATTTATCAAGGTGAATACCTGGGCATCTTTTACAAATGATCTTCCACAAAACCTAAAGGAACAGTGAAATATCACCTTGCGAAAGTACCATAGGTACTTACTATAAATAGAATGAAATATTTGTTTGACTATATTTGTGTCAAATTACCATCATCAATCCTTGCTATTAATTCATTCATATGTTCAAACCTTGATTGGGCATGGGCAGTGAGTATCATGTGTTCTTTCACGACATGTGACGCGGGAGTGAGAATTAGACACTTCTTTTCATGTTGGATTATTATTTGGTACCCTGCGCCCTATGCGGTGATATCAGAGGAAATTACCATATAGAAAGTCATCCGTATTTCGACGACAAACTCTGATTGGCTCGGTAAGATCAGAGATTTATTGTAAACCAAAAGAGTGAAGACGAAGCTCTCTTTTAGAAGTGCAGTCGAACGAATGCAAAGGGTTATTATTTAGGATAATTGGGGTTTAATATCATTTTAACTGGTGTACTCTTAGATGTTTTCTTTTTTGTTGTACAACCATTTTTGGTGTTTTCCTGTTGGCACGTGCACTTACATTATACAATGTTTTTGTATTTGCTTTTAAGATCATATCCATGCATAGTAAATTATATTATCAAACAAAACTTAGGTTATGAATGTCATTGGATGTATCCCTTGTGATCCCATAAAATGAATTTTTTAATTTAATTCATATCTTACTATCTGGTTCGAATTATTAATATGTATTGACATATGAGTATAATAGCTTGACATAATTCTTGGTAATGGGTACATGTTATTGGAGGGGAGAATAGTCTCATATTTTTCAACAGAGAATCCAAACAATTTTTGAGAAATGTACAGACAATGTTTTAATTGTCATTGTGTGTATGTATTTATTTCAAAGGATTTACCAATTCTCTGTTAGTATATCTGTGATTCATATGGCATGGTAGTAGTAGTACTGGATGCACTCAATATCTGTATTAGAGTGCCACTGTTATATAATAATAAGTATATATCTTATTTTAAATTATTGTTAACATGAAATGCATTTCTTGTGGCTGCAAAGTTTGTATATCAAGGCTGGCATTTCACATGTCCAGAATTATGAATTGCTGCAATATCCTGTACCTTTTCTATATTCTGACAGTTGACAATCATTTATTCTTCTCATAGTAACTCAACATGTTGAAAAAATTAAATAGCTGCATACATAAATTCATCTTATTTGACAATTAAGTATAATAGCATTTATAGTCATTAACTTGACTTGTTATTAACTGTTTAGATTATTAAAAGATATCTTCCCAATGTCCAATATGTTGCCATATGTGTTACTTTGCTTGAATGAATAAAGGGAATAAAAAAGCGTCAAATATTTTAAATAGATATTATTAAAATGGTGTGATTAAAACATGTGTTTTTCATAGATTTATTGGTACCTTTGTACTGAAGAATTTTATCCTTACCTCACAGACAGTTTTCGAAGAATTTATGGGGACAACATGATGTATTATTATTATAGGCTTAACAAAACTTGGCCTTCTATGCTATGGACTTTTAAGGACTTGACAAAATATTTTTGATTGGATGATGATTGATGACATTCTTCACCTACTGTTTCTAATCATATAAATAATGTTGTTGTTTTTTAAATATAAAAAACGGATCTCATGTCTTGTTCCTTAAAAAGTAAATGAATCCTACCTGTTTCATAAGAGCTTCTGCCAGAAGTTTATCCCTGAGGGCATCATATTTGCCTTCCAATGCTTCGACCATGTCCGTATCACCAGCCTTTATATGTTCTGCTGCAAACACGACGTGGGCAATATTCTTCCCGATAGCTTCCGGTGTGCCATCCAAGGCTTGCATCTTATCTTTGATCATTCTGGATATTTCATTATCATCCTGAAATAGTGTTGAAGTGAAATTTATGTATTGGTCCCATAATCATGGGTCTTGTTCCCCCATAGGTCATGAACAGAAACTTCGTAAAGTTACAAATTTGTAAATCAATTGTTGTAACAATGGATATAATGACTTCACAGTTAGAGAACAATGGACTTTACGAATTCTTAACTTTACGAAGTTTCTGTTAATGGCCCCCTGAATAACAAATTCTTATTCACCTCATCTTGCCAGTGTACATATAGATGAATGACTCCTTAATAAGGAACATGTGTAGAAGGTGTAAAACATTTATAACCTTTTAGGAATAGACTGTAAAAATACACGACAATATCAGAAATATACTTTAAAACAGTCGTACCTTATTTCGAAGAGATCATATCAAACTTATAATCTAAAACATTAATACCCTATTTGGAAGACTATATCAGACATACACTTTAAAACATCCATACCTTATTAGGAAGAGAGAATACCATAAATATAGTTCAAAACATTCATACCTTATTAGGAATAGATTGCATGACTTTCTCAGCTTCCTTATCTTGTTCCTCCTGTAGATCGGCAAGTAATGACATTGCAACTTCATCACTTGTCACTTCACCAGTTGATGACTTCTTCAAAGTTCTCAGTCGACTCTCTAGCTTTATTATTGCTGCTTTCATTAGTAGCTGCTCATGTTCTCCTTCTTGACCTACAATGAGATTTTTTATTTACCACATAGACTCAAAGTATGTTAACCTCTGAAAAATTGTATAGAAATGGCACACAAATATGCAGACCATTAAAGAATGATTTCATAAACCAACCATCTAGCTCTTGTCATTTTAACTGCAATAAGTAGAAAGATGTCTTTTTACTCCATTTTATTTAAGATCCATTTTACTAAAAATGCAGATGCTTGCAAATATGTTAACTCTTTATGTATGTCATACTCTATACATGTTCTGGAAAAGGGACTTACCTAAGTGTAGGGAAAATGTTGGAACAGGATGCAATAGACAACAGATCATTGTCTTTATATTATTAATATATTGAGTAATTTTAATTCAGATCAAAATACAAAGGCCTTTTTTATTTTTTTAGTTAAGCAATTTTTCCTTGGCTGTGTCCTGTTTGGACATACCTAAATAGCCAAATTTAAGCGGTCCTTACCAGGTGACAAGTTTTGACGTGTGCCGTGTAATTTTTCTAGCATTTCTTGTCGCCCCTCCTCTGAAGTCAAACTCGCTTCTGCCTTAAGCTCTTCAAAGGTGGAGGTAGAGGAGATGTACTTTTCAAGAAGCTCACGTTCTTTGCTGTGTTTCCTCTCTAACATTCTCAGAGCAGATTCCTAATATGTCAAATAAATATACATATGTACAGAAAGTAACGAAATAAGGGCATATTTAAGTAGGATGATATAAGAAATTCTTACATGTCAGAATACACAGACAATTGAATAAGGAAACATATGTATCAAAGAACACAACTACCATGTGATTTTGATTTCTTTAAAATAATCAGTAAACATCTGTTGTCATACACTGAAGCCATAAATCATAAAGTCTGGCCTTTCTTAATGACTGTGATACCTGAAGAACAGAACGACTCCCTGTTGAGGGGATAACATCACCGCTTTCAGTCTGTCTTCCTTCTAGTCGTTTGCGTCTCAGTGCCTCCAGCCTCTTTCTGGCTAAAGCTTCTTGGCGCTCTCGATCGTTTTTCAATCTGAAATGTCCAAAAACATAGAAATAAGATGGTATCATTGTTATGTGATTACTCATGAAAGATAAATCTAGAAATGAATACCACGATCCAATGAACCCATCTATAATTTTAAGCGGAATAATAATTAATTATAATTAATTTGATATATCATCTGATCAAATTCCCGTAAAAAAGATTTGTTACCTTCTTTACACACAGAACTTTAAAGTAGGTGGGTAATTATGGGTAATGGGTATGCATGTATGTCTTTATATATGGAATTTTGATAGAAGGAAGAAGGATAAGGGTTAGAAAATCACTAATTAAGGATGAAATAAACCCTTATGCACAAATATGGCTATTTATCCTATGGCTAAACAAATTTCATCAAATCAGGAGTTACCTCCATGCATAATGTATCTATATATTGAGAAGCATCCTTATTATAATGTACCTATATTAGAATGATGACACACATGTATTTTGGATATTTATCATCTCTAAAGGGAATTATTTCTAAAGGGATATTTTTATAAACTTATTCTTAATCTAAAATATTTCTCAATATTTCAGTAGTTGCATTCAGGTTATAATATATCTCATCTTTTTCTATACTCTGTCTCGTATAGACTATATTACAGTTTAGAAGACGAAGCCCTCTTTTAAGAATGAATGTAAAGGGTACTTTTTCTATAGTGCATGTAGTGTACCAGCATCTAAATTCACATGTCATGCACATGTTATGTAGTTATTTTCAAGATTACACATGTTCTAGTACATGTTCTAGTTATACTACTTGTAGAAAACATGCAATAGATGACAAAACATGATAATGCAAAAATTAAGTTAAAAATCAGAGCCAAGCAAAACTAAGCTTGATATTCTGTTAAGATTTTGAACAAAATGCTAAATTGAGCAACCAATATATAATTGCATAAAATACCCATAAAAAGCAAATACCACATTCCATTTGACACTGGCCTAAAAGTTAAAAATCTAAATAAGCTATTCCTAGTATTGTCTTGTATTATGCCAGAATGAATCTAGGCATTAGGAATTAGAAACCCTAGTGTGTTAATCATGCCTACTATATTTTAAACTAGGCATTAATATGGCAAAATCTATTATTCCAAATGGTTACTAAGTTTGGATACCAAACACTGACATAACACTGATCACTGGTGACATATTGCACTAATAGCCACTGCAAAGAACATAAATTCCTCATAATGCAGGTGTGGACACTTCCCACGGAAATCTCTTTGCAGGCAACAAAGATGCTGCCTTAAATAAACAAAACAAGGCATTAACATGCAAAATGTCACTACCTGCCATTTGTTACAGACACTGACCACTGAATGCTGGAGCTGAAGAGCAACCATCGCAAAAAAGACCATGACGATATGTCACCACTTGTGGTGGTGACATAAAATCAAAGAGGGGAATGAGTTGTTGGGAGGATAAGTAAATAATTACTACCTACTATAAACTAGTCTATTAAATGTATGTTATTCCTGAACTGTATACTTACAACAGTCTTTGCCAGGGGTATACGGGTCTCAACCTAAAGCTACATTTAACAAGATGATGTTAATGAATAAAATGATAAAATAAAAATAAAAAAAACATTGGACAAATAATGATGAATGTTAGTTGTCATCAAGGAGTTTTGTTTAGTGTAACCAACAAATATTCTTGGTAGGAATATACATGTACATCAAAGGACATCATGGCCTACATCATAGTACAATGTATTAATATGACGTTGAAAAAATAAAAAATGAGTTGAACCTTTCTTGAGCGGCTGTCTGTTGTCTCTCAGCCAAGCCAATCAGTCTGGCCGCACTTTCGAAGTCTCCCTCCTGTTGGGCACGTCTTTTGTCTCTTAGCAACCTGGCTAGTTCAGCTTGGCGTTGTTTCTCATCCATTAGATCGTCATGCATACCTGCAATTTTAATTGATGTTAATTCAATTTATTTATAAATCTATGTATGTATTCAAAAGAAGAAGTGTTGTGGATTTCATACAATTGAGAAGTTTGCCCTCAATCTAAAATCTATGTCATGTACTATATACATCATCAAGACAATTTCATTACTTTACTGGTTGCGATATGTTAAAGAATGATAAGCTCACATGTTTTAACAACTTGACTACCAAAATCCCTAGTAATGTTACTACCATGTAAATAAGTATCATTAGTGCATTGTAATATTGCAAGTCCAAATTAAGTAGCTGCCAAATGTTCAAAAGAGCAAATCCCCCATAATAAGTAGCGCCAAATTAAGAAGAAGTACAATGACTGAATGATGGACTAACCGCGTAGCCTTGCAAGCAGAGCATCCTTTTCATCATCAAAGCGTCCCTGGAGCTTTGCAAAGATATTCTCGGATTTACCCTGTTCAGTATCATCCTCATCAAGCAGTTCCTCCCCAGCATCTGGATCAAGGCCTAAAAGGAATGGGGTAATTACATATTTTATAAAATTAAGAAATTAATGTTACTCAATGAAAATATTCTTGAAGAATATTTGCCTTGAGAGGGCATTTGCTAGTTTTGTATCAAGTCTCGTGTTCCCCCTCCACTATCAACAGCTTTCTGTAGTACAAGGGCTTAATACAAGACAAGCTTTTTGCACATATAAATGTAATAACATGCACGAATTACACTTAGTGACATACCTTGCTCTTCTTTCCACTTCCTGTTAGCAAGACGTTCTTTCAGTTTTCTCTCGTATTCGGCTCTATTATCACCCATCAATTTTTTGAGGGCCTCCTCATTAGTCATGTGATCTCCAAAAAGACGCTGGATCTCATCAAGACGTCCTAATTTGCAAAACGACATTATTTAAGGGATGGGTTAAAATACCACATTTCATTAGGGAAGATCAAATCCATTGTGAACCTTATTTCATTAAAAAATAATATTTTGACACTGTCCCTAGCGTAGTTTTGAATTCAAATATTAAATAATGAAGCAAAATAAGTACACGTGCAGATTAAGTTAAGTGAATGCTTAAACTTTCTCTCTTTTCTTAATATTCCTAATTGCAATAACCACATGTCACTAAATATGTATACTGTAGTGTCGTGAGGATATGATGCCGTTTAATTCTGAAATAGTGACTTTAAAAACTGAAGTCTTTGAAGAGGGATTCTTACCTTCCTGTCTCAGTTTTCTCTCCAAGAGTTTCAACTGGAGCAATCTCCTCTGCCTCTCCTGCTCACTCAATTTGTTCCACTCGTTGTCTCCCATCTGCTTCATTAGCATCTCCATCAGTAGCTTGTCCCGTAATGAGTCGTACTTCTCCTCTAGTGCCTGTAATGGAAATCAATGATAATGTAAATATTTGAAAAACATTTGTCCTGATGATTCTCCTTTCTTCTGGTACTCATTTCCTGGATTTCAGAGATATATGTAATCATATTATGTAGTTATTCATATCTTTATTTTTCTACATTCTTTTAATTACTCAGATGCGAGTAGGTAGTTACCAGTTACGCCACCAGGTGGCTGATTCGGGGGAATTAACATGGCAGGGTATTACAAAATTCCCTTAAACTTGAATATGCATCAGTTTTAGTGATTCACTTTTCATATAACCTTTATGTATCTGATAGTTATACAAATTAAAATATGTCGAGTAAAAGAAAATATTATCTGTCCAACACAAGAAAAGATATTTCACTTTTTGTGGTTTTACAACATGGGGTCTATGGGGAATCTCCCCGACCTAGAAGTCACATTTTCAAAGAAAATTAAATTTTCAAAGTTGATAAACTCTTTTCAAAACCACATGACTAAATGTTATTTTACATGTAGATTCCAAATATGACATCAGTTTGACTGAATTGTGAATTTTTAATGACTTAAATCAAGATTATTTCTACTCGCATCTGGGATATTGGAGAGGGGATACGTGTGTAAATGACATTTTCATTATATTACAACACACCAGACCTGATGTATATTACCATATATGGTACATATTGATCACCAATCACATTTCATTTTCAGCAACTTTTACCATCATATTCCATATTCCTACATTTAGACTTCCCCAGTTTCCCAGCAACATACCTTCACTATCTCTTCATCCTCAGCTATACCCTCATATTTAGTGAAGACTGTAACAACATTCTCATTGGCCTCCCAGCGTCGTTTGTTCATCTCATCTTTTCTGCATGTTTCCAATTCATCTTGGGTCTGAAATATCATCATCAATTTGCATTTTTGAATTTTTTTCAATGTACGCTGTTATGATAAAAATGGTTTCTTTAAATCTGTCTCCATGTTGTGTGTATTTAGTAATCACTAACATTTAACATATGATACAGCCACAAACCACTATATTCCAATCTTCACTAAACCTCAAAAATGTAGATTTTACATAAAACTAGAAAGCATGTTTAAATATCTTTGAATGTACACATAGTTGTGCTTGAAAAGCTCTTATAATTATGTGCATGTACACATTTACCTAATTGTCCATTCTTTTAATTGGTGAAAGTTTCAATGAACTGAAAATTTAAATTGTATCCGTCAGTTCAACCTACTGTTGTGCTGATGAGTATAGTAACTTACCAGTTTAGACAATTGGTTAATGAGATTAGCAAGTTGCTTATCATGTTCATCTTGCAGTTCGACAAGTAACTCTACTGTGATGTCATAATCACTGGCTGTTTTGCCATGTTTCTGGAGGGCAGTTTCACGTTTATTGATGACACGTATAGCTGCTGCTTCCTCCAGTATAACCAAGGCCTGTTCACGGTCAGCTACAACATACAAAACAATACTACATTGTAGTTATTATTGTAACTACAGAGTGGGACAAAAATGGTATCTTCATTATACTGCTAGTTCAGAATGGGTAACTTTTTTTGACCCACTGTGTATATCTGTTGGTATTAAAGAAAATATTTGAAGACTTTTGAGACCATCTTCGCTTCGCTATGTATTCATTTAGGTACATGTCTCAGGCCCCTAGCCAGGATTTGCCAAGGGGGTTCACTTTTTAAAAAATTCCAGGGGGGGATTCTCTTGTGACAATTTTGGTCCAACATGGCCCAAATCACTTAAAAAGTGCTCAGAATGGTGAAAAACTGCATGATTTTGAAAGATTTTTTGACCAGGGGGGGGGGGGGGTTCGCTCGAACCCATCGAACTCCCCCTTGCTACTGGCCTGTGTCTACCTAGTCATATATCCTTGGACTTCATGTTTTTTCTACACAGCATTCGGAGTATAATGTACCATATACTGTATAAGTGGTATTTAATCCGAGTGGTTAATTTTCCGAATGGTCAAATTTCATCATTTTCCTAATTTTAATTTTCCTAATGAAAAGAAACCTCCCATTGGATAACATTATAAAGACAATATTTCCGACATTTAATTTTCCGAACCTGGCAAAAATTAGGAAATAGGCAAATTAAATGATTAGGCAAAATTACTACTTATACAGCATACCATTTGAAAGCAAATCAAAGTTAACATTATATACAGATACTTTCAAACTAACAGTACCATAATCTTCTACATCTAGCCAATGATGTTTCCCGCTGAGTTCAGTGAGGCGTTTCTGACGCTCATCAGCCGTCATCCCATTGGCTAATTCCTTTAACTCCTCAAATCCTTCATCTTGGAGGATGTTCAAACAGGCCTCGATTTCCTCTGAGTGACGTTTTGTCATCTCTAGCAGACACGCCTCTTCCCATTGTAAGAAATCACCTAATGGAATATGAAAATGTTAGATACATGTATGCTTATACAGGTATATGTATGGGGTGCTTATTAAAACTTTGGTCTATTTTTCACTAGTTTTGAATTTCAAAAGCAATCTATTGACCACTAAACACAGATATAGACCAGCCATTTATAATTAGTGGCCATTAACATACTAAAAGTATCAGTGAACATCAGGATGGTGGCTATGATAATTGAGCCAATATGGCTACATCAATGGCTACACATTGGCATCCAGATGGATAATCATAGTGTGGCAATAGAACATTAAATGTAACAATTAAAGACAACTCTTCTCTGCAGATGAACTCATGTTGCATGTTTATTAGATACTGTAATCCCCTCCCCTCCTATTTTGTGTATTTTTTGATTATGAAGGAAATAAATAATATGTTAAAAAAAATCCCCTCCTCTCTTACTCTAAAAAGCAGAGGAGAGGCCAAGTAGTCCTTCAAATCTTTTTTAAATTTAATTGGGTAAATAATTAAATATTTATATTCTGACCCCCTCCTAGGCTTGAAATTGTTAGATAAACATTTAAAACACAAATTATATTTGAAAACAATGAGTTCAATGATTCAAGGATGGTCACACTTAATGAACCTTCACAAATGCAGTGAATGCAGCCAAGTGTTGGCCTCATGTAAACGACCAATTGTTAAAAACATGCAGATATCATGCCAGTTAAAATCCATGAACCAGAACCAGATAAACCATGTATTCAAGTATTAGGTCTAATTGTTAAAAGTAAAGGCCAGTAAATGTTAAATATCATCAGCACACATTGAATTGTCACACTGGTTGGTAAATATGGAAGTCTATTATACCCATAAATGAATATAAGGAACAAATATGAAGACAGTTTGATTCATGGATTAACATTTTGCAATCATTGTTTAGAAGGATTATATAGGAGGGTACACACATAAGGAAGAAATAAAATATAGTTTATCAAGATACATTAGGGTAAGTTTATTTTATTTTATTGGATTATCTACTCTAGTCAAGGAAATTGCTTCTCTGATAAGAAAAGCAGGAAATTTATCAATTTTGGGAGGTAGGGTCTATCTGAATATTATACCTAGTTTTGATGAGGGTTTTACTTCATGGAACTCATTTTAAATTTTTAAATACTGGAAATAAATCCTTACTGAAGATGGAGTGAGAGATACAAATGAATTTATGTGGAAGTAACATGCACTAATATAATGGTTGGTTACAATTTTGGTTATAATAGTGTTTTATTGTATAATATGTTATACAATTGTAATTAACAATAAGAGTGACAAATTGCTAAGATTGATCGCATTTAATGTCCACTCTGTTTGCAATTTGGGTTAAAAGTTGGAAGGATTACTAGGGATTTTGGTTAAATATTAGCGGCATTAGGTAGGGATTATAAAAATATGGTTATGCATTCAAGGTTTTATCATTAAATACAGGTTATAACAGGTAAAGTGGTGTTGGCAAGGATATTATATAGTTACCTAGTGACCATTCATCTGTCGAATAAAATACATGTAATGTACAGTGAAATGTGACAAAAACGAAATGGAGTATACAGTGAAACAATTGAATCTACAGTGACATATGATGACAGTGATACATTGTGCAACATGCCATGTCAACATTTGAATGTGATTATTCTTATATTTTTGGAGTGAGGACTGTCCAGACCCTTAATTGTGTAACAAATCTTTTATGCAATTCTAAATTCACGATGATTTGTTTCAAATTCAATATTTTCTTAAAAAATTTATTTTCTTATTTCTATCACGAGAGAGTAAGGAGCACAAAAAAAACAAGTACACTGTAGTTTAACTGCTATTTTGATGTGATTCCTAAAAATACAACATATAAATACATTTGTGAAATAAACTGTAAATGCATTTGTGAAACAACGTAAATGCATTTGTGAAACATACTTTAAATGCATTTGTGGAACTTACTGTAAATGCATCTGTGAAACATACTTTAAATATGCCAACTCAGAATGAAGTACATATTTTCACCTCATATTTATGCATAGAATAATGTCAAGATACATCTAAATAGTAAAAATAAAAACCAAAAATGCACTGAACTGAGTGAATATTTACGACACAATGTCGTAAAATGAAAGTGAAAGTACTTTCCCGGGAATTATATGACTACGGTGAAACATACTGCAAATGCATTTGTGAAACATAATGTAAATGCATTTGTGAAACATAATGTAAATGCATTTGTGAAACATAATGTAAATGCATTTGTGAAACATAATGTAAATGCATTTGTGAAACATAATGTAAATGCATTTGTGAAACATAATGTAAATGCATTTGTGAAACATAATGTAAATGCATTTGTGAAACATAATGTAAATGCATTTATGAAACATAATGTAAATGCATTTATGAAACATAATGTACATAGTGTCATGGTTGTGACAATACTCTACCTTTCTTTAACCTAGGTACATGTTTATCTATGAACAACATAATACATTAGACTGGTTATCAAAAAACATGAGGGAAAAACACAAACACACAATCAGTTATCTTTGAACATCTGAAAGAGGGTCATCAAATAATATATCAATTCAATTAAATCAATTAAAATTAAAATTTTAAATAGATGATAAAGTTCTGAATTATGAGATAATTTCAATTTCCTGGATTCTAATATCTATTTATGAGAGACAATCTGCAAAAAATGAGACACACATTGATAAATATCAGATTTTGAAGAGCATAATGGCCACCATGTGACTTAACCAGCATGCCCAAAACCTAATAAGATCAGCTGGATATTGGTAGTTGTCTGCTCTTGCATCTGTTAAAGTTTCAAGTTGAACAGATATTAATTCCTGGTATTTTGATGATAAGATTTATGCGATGCCTATCAGACAGCCTGGCAAAATGCACACACGCTCAGCAGAAGCAGCACGAAACACCACCAATATAGCACTTTTTCAATGTGTGGTGAAAAGTAAGGACCACATCACACTCATCAAAGTATGTCAACGTTCATAATTATTAACTATAGTTGCTTTATGTTGTGTAAAGAGAGCATTACCTGCTGGTGGTCTTGAGTGTTTGTCAAGTTCCTTCTTATGACTGAGTCCCATTGCAATCCTTTTCCTCCTTTGTTCAACTCTGAGATATGCAAGCTGGTACTGCCTGTCTTGATCTTGTTTATGCCTGAAACAATTTGCCAATCAACAGTTTACTAGCTGTAAAGGGATGTAGATTTGGAACAAGAAAAAAACTTATCTGACCTAGCTTGTTTTGTCTAAAGTTTACAGAAACATCTGAATTCGCCAAACCAACCAGAGCTTGTCATGGCTAGATGGGCGATGTTACTTTTTTAGTATACAATGCCTCACATAAATCAACAAGGCATTAACTTGTAAAATGTCACCACTTGCCATTTGTTACGGATGCCAAATTCCAAATACCAACTGCCTAACTCAAAATCCCATCCAAAAGAAAGTTGGGGACTATAACAATATGTCACAACTTGTGATGACATAACAATTAGAACAAGGCATTAACATGACAAAATGTCACCACCTAGTTGCTCACAATATTATGAGTTCAAACTTAATATAAGTCAGATTTGAATTTCTGAGAACTTATAAAGTCAAATTTGAACTTCTGAAAAGATGTAGATGATTTTGAAAAAGAATTTGGTCAATTTGAAGCAAGTTGAAAACAGACCTTTTTGACCTTTTTTGACCTTGAGAAGGTCATTAAAGGTCAAATGTCAAATCTAAAGTCAGATTTGAATTTCTGAGAACATGTAGATGATTTTGAAAAAAAAAATTAGTCAATTTGAAGCAAGTTGAAAAAAGACCTTTTTGACCTTTTTTGACCTTGAGAAGGTCAAATGTCAAATCTAAAGTCAAATCTAAAGTCATATTTGAATTTCTGAGAACATGTAGATGATATTGAAAAAAAATTTAGTCAGTTTGAAGCAAGATGAAAAAATACCTTTTTAACCTTTTTTGACATTGAGAAGGTCATTGAAGGTCAAATGTCAAATCTAAAGTCAGATTTGAATTTCTGAGAACATGTAGATGATTTTGAAAAAAAAATTTAGTCAATATGAAGCAAGTTGAAAAAAGACCTTTTTGACCTTTTTTGACTTTGAGAAGGTCATTGAAGGTCAAATGTCAAATCTTAAGTCAAATCTAAAGTCAGATTTGAATTTCTGAGAACACGTAGATGATTTTGAAAAAAAAAATTAGTCAATTTGAAGCAAGTTGAAAACAGACCTTTTTGACCTTATTTGACCTTGAGAAGGTCATTGAAGGTCAAATGTCAAATCTTAAGTCAGATTTGAATTTCTGAGAACACGTAGATGATTTTGAAAAAAAAATTTAGTCAATTTGAAGCAAGTTGAAAACAGACCTTTTTGACCTTTTTTGACCTTGACAAGGTCATTGAAGGTCAAATGTCAAATCTAAAGTCAGATTTGAATTTCTGAGAACATGTAGATGATTTTGAAAAAAAATTTAGTCAATTTGAAGCAAGTTGAAAAAAGACCTTTTTGACCTTTTTTGACTTTGAGAAGGTCATTGAAGGTCAAATGTCAAATCTTAAGTCAAATCTAAAGTCAGATTTGAATTTCTGAGAACACGTAGATGATTTTGAAATTTTTTTTTAGTCAATTTGAAGCAAGTTGAAAACAGACCTTTTTGACCTTTTTTGACCTTGAGAAGGTCATTGAAGGTCAAATGTCAAATCTTAAGTCAAATTTGAATTTCTGAGAACACGTAGATGATTTTGAAAAAAAAAATTAGTCAATTTGAAGCAAGTTGAAAACAGACCTTTTTGACCTTGAGAAGGTCATTGAAGGTCAAATGTCAAATCTAAAGTCAGATTTGAAGGTCAAATGTCAAATTTAAAGTCAGATTTGAATTTCTGAGAACATGTAGATGATTTTTAAAAAAAATTTAGTCAATGTGAAGCAAGTTGAAAAAAGACCTTTTTGACCTTGAGAAGGTCATTGAAGGTCAAATGTCAAATCTAAAGTCAGATTTGAACTTCTGAGAACATGTAGATGATTTAGAAAAAAATTGAAGTCAGTCTAAACAGTATTTGTTTAGTTATAGGAAGTTGTAAGAAATTGTTACAGACGCCGGACGCCAACCGCCGGACGCCGGACGCCAACCACCAACCGCCGGACGCCGTCGCAAAAAAACGGAGACCATAACAATATGTCACCACTTTTGGTGGTGACATAAAAAGTTACTTTAATTTGTGAAGTGTAAAATAAAAATATTCCATACTTTCCCACATCAAAAAGGGGCACTAAAGAAGACTAATTTCCTCTTGGTTGAGCTCATACATAAAAATAAAACTCACCTCTTCACGAAGACATCCCTGACACGTTCACTAAGACCTACAGTGAGAGCAGCATTGTCAAAGAGGTAGGCACGCTCTGCAAGGAGAGTCTGGTGATTCAGTCTCACTATCTCTATCTTCCTCTGTCGCTCACTCATCTTCTTGATCTCTGTGATACAAATAGAATGGCATAATGAAAATGAATTCAATTGTATTTGGACTGTATTAATATGAAGTTAAAGATCAAAATGAGAATGCATAATATAAAGGTTGCAACCAAAAAACATCTGTTTTCTCATTCTAATGTGTTTACCATTCAAACTCTAAAAATGAGTTTCGTTGACACAAAAGGGTACCTAACAAGGTAACAAGGCTCAGGGAACGATGATACGTTGTCCTATATTATGAAAAAATATAAACTGTAAGGAAAAATTCTGTACACTCAGTACCTGGGGTTCTAAGCCATTCAATGAGGGCTTCCTGTTCATAATACAATCTGTTATGTAGATCTGCGAGTGGGTTCTGGGCCTTGAAGGGCCCCTTAGAAGATTCATGATAATCCTCATCAGTCAACTTCTGGCCATGTAGAAGCAAATGTTGCTCTTTTTCGTAAATGTTCTGTAAACGCTTTGTGTGTTCACCACGTTCCTCACCCATGAGTGAGCGCAGGCCTACCATTTCCTGGAAGTATAAGAACAATTTCCATGAAGAGTAGTAGAAAAGTGATTGCCACTGATGTCCCGTTTAAGAATTTATCACACTCTTGATAAATATAGAGAAATGCTCATCATATGCTCATGGCTGGTAATTGGAAGAAATGAATGGAGGGGAGGGAGGGAGCAGCTGTTTTCTACTAGAAAATTCAACAATTCTGCAAAAGGATTGATCTGTCATTTTGTTCCAATGAGGTTCAGATAGATGTTTCATTTCATTCCGAAGATATGATACCAATTCAAAACTTTTTGATGAATGGTTTAAGAGAAACATGTATTCAAAAAGTTCACCATATCGATACCCATCCTTTATTTTATCACAAGAAAGTTTATACAGCGACAGCCTGGGAAAGTCTGGGATTGAATTTGTGTTTTTGTATATGGAGTGCCAATATGCTACATTCATTGGTCCCAAAGGAGATATTAACCGAGGAATAAAATCTATATTCAATTCCTGACCAGGAAGAGAGTGTTATTCCATGATATTGAATAGTCAAATACTTTAAATATCACATGATGATCATAATTTTTATTTCATTATACTGTGCGCAAAAGAAGTCGGAGAGAATATGATTATAATAAACATTTTGAAAGAATATATTTTTAGATATAATCCTTTTTTTAAAAAAATGACATATTTTGAATTTTTTGTTAAGAATGAAAGTGACAATTTGAATGTTTAAGAGAAAATGAAAATCTTCAAAAAAATTGAAGAAAAAAATAAGAATAATTATTTTTGAAAAAAGGCAGGGAATAAATATAGGTTATTTACTGGGAGGGATTGAATATGGTTTTTTTTTCGAGGGACAATATGATATTGACCGAAGGGTAATATGATATTGACTGAGGGAGCACAGCGACCGAGTGTCAATATCATATAGTCCAAGGTCAATATCATATTTTCCGAGGAATAAAACCCATATTCAATCCCGACCAGAAATAACCTATTTATTCCATAATACACCCCTCTAAAATGCTACATTTGGATAATGCAGATAACTGAGAAAAAAAATAACCGGGAAACCGAAAATAGGTTAATATGCTCCAATACGATTTTTTTCCTGGGGACAATACGATTTTTTTCCTGGGGACAATACGATTTTTTCATGTAATACGCTCCAATACGATTTTTTCCCGGGGACAATACGATTTTTTCATGTAATACGATTCAATACGATTTTTATTCCTTTATATTTCCCTGGGAAAACAGTAGTATTATGGAATAAAAGAGAGAATTGCGTGAGTATGCCAAAATTAAACCAAATAGTTCAATTTATAGAACTTTCAATTACATGTCACTATTTCACTATATACAAAATTACACATTCAACAAAAGCTCCTACAGGCCCAAGTTGTTCTATTATTGAATAAAATGGGTTGGTCAAGTTTTCTTTGTAACTGATTAAACATTATGAACCTTTGTATACCCAAAGCTCAAAGTGTTGTTCCGTAGGCTTAAAATTGAAATTAAATAACCAGTTCAGGCCATCACTCCAAAAAGGAGACCTTTTCAATCCCATGATTATTGGACAGTAAACAATGGCCAAGTTCCAATACTTTGAATTGGATTAGTCCAATCTGGTTTACATTTTCCGAACATGACACATTCTTTGGCAGTATTTCTGTTTGCTAAACATTCATTATAATACTGGTCACGACTTATTCATGAATTCATATTTCACTGCCATTTACAGGTGCATATAGTGTTCGACCTACAAGGAGGTACAAGACAAATTGATTCCATATAATAACTTGGTGGTGAAGGTAAGTAAAAAAAAGAAATATTAACATGTTTAAATTGTTATTTTATTTACACTGTGATCAATAAGAATATAAAACTATATTAAAATATATCATTGATTTTTTATGATTACATGTGCTATAACCAATCTTTAAAATCGTTCATATTTTTGCATTGCCATTAGAATGGGCCTTTTGTTCCCATATTAGAGTAAACAAATGCAAGTACTAATTAATTAAAGTAACCCTTAGTACCCAGGCCCATAGCCAGGATTTGCCAGGGGGGGGGAGTGGGGGGAGTGGGGGTGGGGGGTAGGGGTCAGGTTAACTTTTGGAAAATTTCCAGGGACTCTTTGGCTTTTCTTTTGACACTTTTGGTCCAAAGATGGCAAAAATCACTTAAAATATGCTCAGAATGATGAAAAACTGCATAATTTTGAGAAAACCCATCAAACCCCCCCTGGCTAAGGGCCTGGTACCATACTTTAATTGAACCAAACACAAGAATTGGCATTTAGTACTATATTCAAATTGACCTTCAGTAGGAAATAGAGGAATTGTCCTTTAGTGCCATATACTGTACATTGAACATTTTTTGCCAAAAAGAAGTTCAGTCTTGGGAGGTGTTCACTACAGAAGTGGTGATTAATCAAGAAATTAGTACAGTATGTGCAGAGTATGTCCACTAGAGAGAGGTGCTCACTAAGACAGGTTAACTGTGTCTCTAAATTTCCGATTTTAGGAAAACCACCAAGATGCGGCTTATATTTGCTGCCGCAGTGATTGCCATGACAATGATGGTTGCTAATGCACAATCTGCAACTGGATCTCCACCTGGTAAGGATGTATTCATTGACTTCTTAACCTTATATTATCTCAACTTTTAGTAGTTTTGACATTTCTTCTTTTTACAATACTGTTCACTTGATCAACTAAAATGCAGGAATCAGGCATGAAAATTGCCAAAAAGTCTAATTTTTCAACGGGAAAAATTGATGGAATATGAAGTATACATTTTTAGTTCTTTCCATAAATCTTACTTTTCAGACTAACAAAACAATTATAGACCCCTCTATCAAGTTACCTGTCACAAATATATCTTTTTTATGTTAACTGATGGATGGGTCAATAATTATAGACTTTAGTTTCATTTTTGAATTGAGTGTGGATTAACCTAATATGGGTTTAATGAAGGTGTGATTTGTGTGGATAAACGCAAACCTATTAGTAATACTGTATACTGTAAAAGTTTAGTCACTGAAATAGTACTAGAACCCTTGTATTCTAAGATCCATTATTTTCTATTTCTATAAACTTGATCATTTCCTGCTTGGCCTCAGTCTAGAGATTTTCTTCCACCTTACAAAAGTGCTTCGATTACTGATATTGTCAAAACTGATTTTAATAAGCAAAAGACAATTCGACAATTCAAATACATCTTACAAAGGAATGATTGAATAGGTGAGAAGTTCAAATCTCAATTATCCAATTTAAAGAAGTTTCATAGTTTTGATGGCAAATATATAAGGACATGTCATACCTTAATCTTCATATAAATATGCCTTCAAATAATATTTTATTAACTGTAATGAGGGACATTGATGTCTTAGACACACCATGAAATGTAATCTTGAGTTCATTGTACCTCAAGACTAAAATTTTTACCAACACGCGTTGTGCAGAGGATGCTGAATTTTAGACGACAGCACATATTGCCCAAAATTTGGATGATGGATGGCAGATAAATTTGTCCCATTTCAAAGTCAGCAGTAAGTATATTTTTAATTCTCATATCACGATAGAATGAATGAAAACATAAAAATTGATACTGATCTTTAACTTATTTTATGTAGACTGATATATATTATGAAAATCAGTGCAATATTTTTAAGAAAATTGCCTACCACATATCGGTATGATCAATGAATTTAATTTTTTCGATTCTTCTTAATTTCAATGTAGAATATAAAATCAATAAACCTAAATAACATGAAATCCACATTATGGTTCGGATACACAATTTAACAATTATTGAAGGTTAGAAGGGTTATCCCAAACTAGAAGATGGAAACTCAACAAAGTAACAAATACCAACACATTTAGGCAACCAATTGTGGCACAAATCAGACATTAAATCAAGATGATATAGTATTTTGATCAACATCAAATTAAAGTGAATTCAATTTGAGTATAATAAAGCTATTACAGGTCCAAACCATCTTGATTCACAAGGTTTCATTTGTTCCTACCTCTCTAGACCCAGTGGAAAGCGATGATGGGTCCAAACTCCATCTAAATGATTGAAATCTTGCAACATATTATTTAAATAGATTTTAACCATTATAAATACAGAGGAAGCACTTCATAGGATAACTCTAATGGTTGAGAATATAATTATTCATGGATCATTGAATCTATCAGTAGTTCTGTATATGCACTTCTCTTTGACTATTATTTTCTGCTAATTATCGTGAAGATACTAATTAACTGTCTAATTAATGGACTTGATTTGAATTTGTTCTCCCTTTTTAGCTTCTTCTTATAAATTCTTGCTCAATGTGGTCTTTCTATGTGTGACACTCGGTTTTACACAACATGTACCGTATTCTCTGTAATTACCGCCCACTCTCTAATAAGCGCCCACCCCGCTTCACAAAGTTCAAGAAACATCGAGGAATCAACAAGAATTGAAGAATATATCAGGAAAAAAATATTTCTCAAAATCCAGGAGCGGGCGATAATAGAGTACTTACCCTAAAACTGCTGTAAACAGGACGCGTTTTGTAATTCTATGCATCCTCTCGATACATATCTATCGATGGGTGCTTCCCACACCATACCATGCTAATATTGTCTCCAAATAGTCCATAATGAATGAAGGAATTGTTCTTTATCGGCATTCAGAAATTTCAAAAGCTACTGCGCAGACGTTCTGCGCATGTCAAGGTCGTGAACTTTCTGGTTTCTTTTTAATGTTTCTCGACTTTTACACGACTTTTGCACGAATAATGATGATCTCTCATCAAATAAGAAATAATGTATAACTTTAGATCGATATCCAGCAGTCTCTAGTGGAAATATTGAAGGTAATCGGCGATAATGACAAAGTGGGCGTGCCGGAAATAAATTAGACATAGACGGGTCTTCAACCACTGTCAATATTGTCTAAGCGATCTTTACCGTATTCTCTCCAATAACAGCACTTGTCATATTATTATAAAAATATGTTGAAGAAAATGCATTCTTGTCAAGAAAAATTGCCATACATGAAATTCCTTGGGATTTCTGATTTCTTTCATACATGGGCGCTTATTAGAATGGTCTAAATAATGTATTTTCAATTTTCTAAACGCCCTGGGCGCTAATTACAGAGAATACGGTATTTAGATTTCGTTCTTCAACTTAATTAGTACTATATTTGCCTTTATAGAATTCATTTTTCTGTTTTATATAAAAATATATATGTTTATATTTAGAGACAGCAGAATCTTTTATTGTCCCTGAATTCATGAGTCATTCAAATGTGATTGCAATACAGCAATTTCCTATATTCATTACAACAAACAATGGTATAATGGTGGTCAAAATAAGTCCAATATGTGAAGCTCGTATATAACTTTTTTTCTCTCAGATGTTTGCAAAGACATTACGGTGGACTGGTACATTGCTAAAGATGGCAGCACTACCTGCTTCTACCACTGTGCAAACCAGATTGGTTATGAGAAATGTTGCCCCCCTGGGACATGCCTGAAAAGGGGGTATACAGCTGGAAATACCAACCCATGTGATATCTGCACTGACCCCGATCCAACAGGTCTGCATCACTAATTATTCAAATATAAGAAAAACATATTTATTAACGTAAAGTTTTGCAGGGTGTCCATTCATTGCAATGCGACACTAATTTTGTGTCTGTGTATTGAGACACTGATCTCATGACATGGGTGATATTGTTGACTTGATCAACTAAAACACAGGGACCAAGCATGAAAATTGCCAATAGTAGTTATGGTACTTGTGTGGTGCCCCAGCCAACATTTTCTATTCAATTTTGAAATTGAATGCATATTATCATAAGATGTGTATTCTAAGGATATACTTCATATATTTCCATGTTAACCCTTGCCCTCCTGGCACACTTTGAAGCGCGGTACTATCAATCCCTATATAGATTCAGAAACCTAGTGTTAAACTGATTATTTCATGATATCATGATTATGACAGTTTTAATAAATACAAACGGAAGTCTTCATAAAATTGGAAAAAAAAATATATTGAAACTAAAGCCGTTTTATGACCACAATACCACGAATATCTAGAAAATGGAGAATTAGAAGAATTATTAGCATTTTTGGAGCAGATGAAGAACCCCAGATAGTGAAGAAAAAATGTGAATTGTAAGTTTGTCTTCTCTATCGATATAAACAAAAGTTTTCAAAAATATTTATTGTACTCTTGATTTTAAGCCTTCAGGCACAAAACTAAACCTTTCCTTTTCAGAAGGACAAACTACACTTCTATAGAAGCTATCCATGAATTATAACTAACAAGTTCCTTTAAAACTTTCAGAACCCCCTGCATGCTCCGAAATGGAGCCCTATCCCTGTCTCAATGGTGGATCATGTATAGACAAGACAGACCGCTTCATGTCTCAAGATGGGCTGAACTTTTATTGTAGCTGTCCGAGTGGATTTTCAGGGGTATTCTGCGAGATTAACATGTCTGGTAAGTAATTTTGATTTATTTGAGGTAACGTATGCCTCAGTCACATTTGATCTATGGCAACTGTTCAGTGGCCATAGCTTTCCAAAATTGAGAGAAATATGCAGCATAAAATAATAGAGGGATAGGGAGTACGATGTAGATTTTCTATATCGATTTTGAGAAGTTATGACAGATCATTAGATTTTTCGGCATTTATTGATCAACTTGATACATATGTTTTCCATCAAGCATAATAAAGTACCACGGAAAAGTTCTTTCAGAATTAGAACTTGAATTAATGACTTTAACATTTTCCCTCAAGTGTTCAATGTATTTTAACACAACTTATAACCTGGATGTTAGATTTAACCTTCTTAACTTGTTTCCATGATGAGAGTTTAAAGTAGTTTTAGTGTATCATAAATGATTGAAGTCATGAATGTATATAGCCAAATCTTTCTGACATTATCAACTTCCTGTACCATAGGTTCAACATTTCAGACACAGGGAGTAGATAACTCATCGAAAAAGGTTTGGCTAGAATATGTATATTAATATGTTGATGCGGTTTTGTTTTTAATTCAGAAGAGAAAGCTGGAATGTGCCCAAAGGTCAAAATGGATATGGTTGGCACGTGTCAACATGAATGTGATAATGACAACTTCTGTACGGGCATGGATAAATGTTGCTCCAATGGATGTGGAAAGATCTGCACGCCACCAATGAGTGGTACGAAAATTTCACATGCTGTACCCTGTTTCAATATACAACTACTTGTTTTTCTGTGTCAATCAGTAATATTAAAGAATGACAGAGCTGAAAACACCTGTTTATTATATAAAATGCTTCAGCAATTGTATCATTAGTAAAATAGGAATACTTTGTAAATTCCTTCTTCTAGACATATCTGTAAAACATTATCAGATAACCAAGGACAAGAAATTCATCAACAAAACCAGTTTTTCAATTATCTTTTTGAGAAAATTTAATTCATTACATTTTTCTTCTAGAATTTTGATTACAGGAATATAATCTGCGTTTTGTATCTCGTAATATACAGATATATTATGTCTGCACCAGAGTTCCAAAAATCAGATGAATGCATTATTTGTTAAAGGTTGTGAGGTTGATGGGAAGATGTATTTTATTGGAGATGTTATTGAAAAGAAAGACCCATGTTTGTCTTGTGAATGTGTACTTAATGATGAGGATCCAACCAGCCCTAATGGTAAAGAGCTGTGTAGCACTATGGACTGTGCTTTACCAGAATGTGAAAATCCAACCTATCATGAAGATATGTGTTGCCCTGTGTGTGATTCTAAAGGTAATCAAAAGCTGAACATGAAAGATTGTATAACCTTTATAGAGAAATACACAATGAAATTTATTTCATGATAAATTGTCAAATGCACAAAGAAAATTATCGTTTGAGAACATCTCCAGTAGAATTAATATTGATAAAAACCATCTGAAAATGCATTCACAATGCTAATGTCTTCAAAAGACAAATATGTCCAAAAACAAATGAGAGTTTTCACCAATAAATCAATTTATAACTTGAACGTGTTTGGGGATTAATATCCTGGATGCACATAGTCATAAATGTACTTCATATATTTGCATTTTAAATTATAATTTTTCCTGGTATCACAGGATTGCTGAAAACATGAATGTGCAAATGATATCAGAAGAACAAACTACACATCTATAGAAGCTATCCATGAATTATTACTAACAAGTTTATTTTGTATTTTCAGAACCCTCTGCATGCTCCAAAATGGAACCCTATCCCTGTCTCAATGGAGGATCATGTATAGACAAGACAGACCTCTTCATGTCTCAAGATGGGTTGAAGTTTTATTGTAGCTGTCCAGGTGGATTTTCAGGGGTATACTGCGAGATTAACTTGTCTGGAAGTGGTAAGTAATTCTGATTTATTTGAGGTAACTTAATTATGTGCCAATAGTAAAAAACTCTTCATTATATCCTTCAGAATTTATTCATTGATCAACTTGGTACATATGTTTTCCATCAAGCATAAGAATGCACTTTAACAACCCTGGGCACACTCGTCCAGGGAGCTGTAAAGTAACGACCAAGATATTAGACTTGAAAGGGAGTGTGCTAAATTCAATGCCCCATGCTAAAGTCTGACGCTCTACCGCTCAAGCCATAAAGGCTAGACCCTACAGCTATAGGCTGTAGCACTGACTTGCTTTCGAGGGTCAGGTCATTAAAACATCCCCCTGAAGGACGATGTCCTGTCGTAACTGATTCACAAGGTCAAACTCACTTCTGACACCAATGTAACGACCCTGAGCTGTTGTGTAACCAGCAAGATACTAGACACAAAAGGAAATGTGCTAAATTCAATGCCCCATGAGGGAATTGAACTCAGGACCTTTCGCTCGAGCTACCCCCTACACCAAGGGTGTAGCAGAGACTTACAATCGAGGGTCATTACAATACCATATGGAAAAGTTCTTCCAGAATAAGAACTTCAAAGAATGACTGTAACATTTTCTCTCAAGTGTTCAATGAATTTTGGCACAACTAATAACCTGGATGTTATATTTAACCTTCTTAACTTCTAACTTGTATTTTATTCCATTGAGTTGAGAATTTAAAGTAGTTTTAGTATATGTAAATGATTCAAGTCATGAATGTTTGTAGCCAAAGCTTTCTGATGTTATCAGCTCGCTGTGTCGTAGGTTCAACATTTCAGATATAGGAAGTAGATAACTTAGCTAGAGAGGTTTGGCTCGAATATATGGGAACATTTTAATTTTATTTTTTAAATTTAGAGGAGAAACGTGGAATGTGCCCTGAAGTTAAAATGGATACCATAGGCACGTGTCAACATGAATGTGACTATGACAACTCCTGTACAGGCATGGATAAATGTTGCTCCAATGGATGTGGAAAGATCTGCACGCCACCAATGAGTGGTACGAAGATTTCTCATGCTGTACCCTGTTTCAATATACAACTACTTGTTTTTCTGTGTCAATCAGTAATATTAAAGAATAACAGAGCTGAAAATATCTGTTTATTATATAAAATGATTCAGCAATAATATCATTATTAAAATAGGAATACTTTGTAAATTGTTTCTTCGAGACATATCTGTAAAACATTTTGAGATAACCAAGGACAAGAAATTCATCAATAAAACCAGTTTTTAATTATCTTTTTGAGAAAATTGAATTGGTTATACCTTTCTTCTAGAACTTTGATTACAGGAATATAATCTGCGATTTGTATCTCGTAATATACAGATATATTATTTCTGAACCAGAGTTCCAAAAATCAGATGAATGCATTATTTGTTAAAGGTTGTGAGGTTGATGGGAAGATGTATGCTATTGGAGATATTATTGAAAAGAAAGACCCATGCATGTCTTGTGAATGTATACTAAATGAGGATAAGTCTACTGGTAGAGAGCAGTGTGTGGCCATGAGCTGTGCTTTACCAGAATGTGAAAATCCAACCTATCATGAAGATATGTGTTGCCCTGTATGTGATTCTAAGGGGGCAGGAGGTAAATGTTTATTGATTACTATAAAATATGTTTAATTCACATCTGACATTATCATTATTCTGTTTGTTTTAGTATTTTGTAATTTCATTTACTTCAATTCAAGACTTATTCTACTTATACAAGTAATAAAATAATTTTAATTTATCATATGTGTTAAACATCAAATAAGTCACTAGCATTCTTACATTTAGGAAAATTTACAAGTTGATGTTATTATATGATAGCGTATTATTTAAATATATTGATACTCAGATCATTATCAGATATTATGGTCTTAAATGACTCAGTGACAACCTCTTTAACTTCAACAGGATCAAGTCAAATGGGGCCTGATGGAAGTGGCATGGGACCTCGCCCTGATGGAAGTGGTACTGGACCTGGCCCAGATGGAAGTGGCACGGGACCTCGCCCTGATGGAAGTGGCATGGGACCTGGCCCTGATGGAAGTGGCATGGGACCTCGCCCTGATGGAAGTGGCATGGGACCTCGCCCTGATGGAAGTGGCATGGGACCTCGCCCTGATGGAAGTGGCATGGGACCACAACCTGATGGAAGTGGCATGGGACCTCGCCCTGATGGAAGTGGCATGGGACCTCGCCCTGATGGAAGTGGCATGGGACCACGACCTGATGGAAGTGGTATGGGACCTCGCCCAGATGGAAGTGGCATGGGACCTCGCCCAGATGGAAGTGGCATGGGACCTCGGCCTGATGGAAGTGGCATGGGACCTCGCCCTGATGGAAGTGGCATGGGACCTCGCCCTGATGGAAGTGGTATGGGACCTGGCCCAGATGGAAGTGGCATGGGACCTCGCCCTGATGGAAGTGGCATGGGACCACGACCTGATGGAAGTGGCATGGGACCTCGCCCTGATGGAAGTGGCATGGGACCTCGCCCTGATGGAAGTGGCATGGGACCACGACCTGATGGAAGTGGTATGGGACCTCGCCCAGATGGAAGTGGCATGGGACCTCGCCCAGATGGAAGTGGCATGGGACCTCGGCCTGATGGAAGTGGCATGGGACCTCGCCCTGATGGAAGTGGCATGGGACCTGGCCCAGATGGAAGTGGCATGGGACCTCGCCCTGATGGAAGTGGCATGGGACCTGGCCCAGATGGAAGTGGCATGGGACCTCGACCAGGTGGTGATAGTCATGGTCCTAGACCAGGTGGTGATAGTCATGGTCCTCGACCAGGTGGTGATAGTCATGGACCTCGACCAGGTGGTGATAGTCATGGACCTCGCCCAGGTGGTGATAGTCATGGACCTCGACCAGGTGGTGGAAGTCATGGACCTCAACCAGGTGGTAGCAGTCATGGATCTCAATCAGGAGCACATAGTCACGGATCGGATGGATCTCAATCGGGAGCACACAGCCATGGGTCAGACGGTCGTCAATCAGGAGCACATAGCCATGGGAGTCGATCAGGTGGGGGTCATCGTCATGGGTCAGAAAGTGATAGTATGCGTAAGTGTTGATTTATTAGTAAACTATCAAAATATGTCACATTATGTAGAATCCATTCAAAAAGTTCATGAACTCATCCAATAATAGTGTAAATTGATTCAAGAAACATAACCAGAACATCGGCAACGCCAAAGCGTAGCGAATCCCTTCGAACAGAAATGGCTGGCATTTTTACAAACGAAGCGCAAATATCATGAAACAACACACCAGAAAGGCCACCATTTTCAAAATGATTGCTCACTAGCCAAGTTGTCATCGAAAGAAATAATATGCTTTTAAGTAGCCACCTCTAAAGTTTTTGAAAAATCGCACGCGTATTTGTAAAATAACACATAAAAATGGTGGCCATTTTTCAAAATGGACGACTACCCAAAGTTTTATTAGACAATGTGCCATGCTTAAAGTATTCACATATCAAATATGAACAAAATCGCTCCACTACTTTTCGAGTTACAGTAAAATACGTTAAAATGGCGGCCATTTTTCAAAATGGCCACCTTCTACCAAAAGCGTCATTAGAAATAGACAGTGTGCCATGCTTATTCACATACCAAATATGAACAAAATCGCTCCACTACTTTTCGAGTTATAGTGAAATACGTTAAAATGGCGGCCATTTTTCAAAATTGTTTTCAAAATGGCCGCCTTCTACCAAAAGTGTCAAAGGACAGTGTGCCATGCTTATAGTATTCACATACCAAATAGGAACAAAATCGCTCCACTACTTTTCGAGTTATAGTAAAATATGTTAAAATGGCGGCCATTTTTCAAATTTTTTTTCAAAATGGCCGCTTTTTACCAAAAGTGTCATAGGACAGTGTGCCATGCTTATAGTATTCACATACCAAATATGAACAAATCGCTCCACTACTTTTCGCAGTTTTCGAGTTATAGTAAAATACGTTAAAATGGCGGCCATTTTTCAAAATGGCCGACTTCTACCAAAAGTGTCTTTAGACAGTGTGCAATGCTTATAGTATTCACATACCAAATATGAACAAAATCGCTCCACTATTTTTTGAGTTACAGCAAAAATCGTAAAATGACGAGTAAAGGCCGCCATTTTTCAAGATGGCTGCCATGTGCTTCTTTAATATCTACATTTGTAGCATTATTAATGTCCTTTATAATTTTTTTACATTTACAACATATTGCTATTACAGTTTTACATATTGCACCTAAATTACTGTAAAATCGTCACTAAAATGGCCGCCATTTTGAAATGAGCGGCTATTTTGAAAATTGGCTTTCGAGCAGAACTTTTACCCCCAAAGGGTATATGTGTACAAAATATGAACAAAATCAGGCCAACGGTATTTGAGTTATTGCCCGGACGGACGGACGGACGGACGTACGTACGGACGGACGGACGTACGTACAGACGGACGGACGTACGTACGGACGGACGTACGTACGGACGGACGGATGTACGGACGGACGGATGTACGTAAGGACGGACGGACGGAGGCGTTCCCTATATCCCTCCGAACTTCGTTCGATGGGATAATAATTACATACAATCTTGAACATGTATTTCATGGAGTTATCATATGCTTACAGATGGAGATAGGAGCGGATCAAGAAGGGGAGGAAGAGGCAGAGGTAGAGGCAGGGGTAGAGGAAGAGGCAGAGGAAGAGGCAGGGGCAAAAGCAGTGGCAGTAGATGGTTTAGTAGTGAAGATCGATCTGAATGGTCATCAATGGAGGGTGACAGTATGAGAGACAGTAGAATGGATAGTGAAATGGGAGGTGGCAGAGGTGATGGAATGGGTGGTGGCAGAAGTGATGGAATGGGAGGTGGCAGAGGTGATGGAATGGGTGGTGGAATGGGAGGTGGTAGAGGAGATGGAATGGGTGGTGGCAGAGGAGATGGAATGGGTGGTGGAATGGGAGGTGGCAGAGGAGATGGAATGGGTGGTGGAATGGGAGGTGGCAGAGGTGATGGAATGGATGGTGGAATGGGAGGTGGCAGAGGTGACGGAATGGTTGGTGGCAGAGGTGATGGAATGGGTGGTGGAATGGGAGGTGGCAGAGGAGATGGAATGGGAGGTGGCAGAGGTGATGGAATGGGAGGTGGCAGGGGAGATGGAATGGGCGGTGGAATGGGAGGTGGCAGAGGAGATGGAATGGGTGGTGGAATGGGAGGTGGCAGAGGAGATGGAATGGGTGGTGGAATGGGAGGTGGCAGAGGAGATGGAATGGGTGGTGGAATGGGAGGTGGCAGAGGAGATGGAATGGGTGGTGGAATGGGAGGTGACAGAGGAGACGGAATGGGTGGTGGAATGGGAGGTGGCAGAGGAGACGGAATGGGTGGTGGAATGGGAGGTGACAGAGGAGACGGAATGGGTGGTGGAATGGGAGGTGGCAGAGGAGACGGAATGGGTGGTGGAATGGGAGGTGGCAGAGGAGATGGAATGGGAGGTGGAATGGGAGGTGACAGAGGTGATGGAATGGGAGGTGGCAGAGGAGATGGAATGGGAGGTGGCAGAGGTAGTGGAATGGGTGGTGGAATGGGAGGTGGCAGAGGAGACGGAATGGGTGGTGGAATGGGTGGTGGCAGAGGTGATGGAATGGGTGGTGGAATGGGAGGTGGCAGAGGAGATGGAATGGGTAGTGGAATGGGAGGTGGCAGAGGTGATGGAATGGGTGGTGGAATGGGAGGTGGCAGAGGAGATGGAATGGGAGGTGGCAGAGGTGATGGAATGGGTGGTGGAATGGGAGGTGGCAGAGGTGATGGAATGGGTGGTGGAATGGGAGGTGGCAGAGGTGATGGAATGGGTGGTGACAGAGGTGATGGAATGGGAGGACGAATGCGTAGTAAATTGTTTGGCCGCCTTTGGAGAAGAAGGTTTGGAGACAGAGGATACACATTGGGAAGCAACAGAAGAGTTATGTATAAATATAATGAGCAAGAGGAAGAGGAGAAAAATCGTAGGAGAGGATGGCTGGGTACAGGAAAAAAATAACTGTTATATGCAGATTGCACTCTGAATGCAAAGCCTGTGTATCTTTAATACACTGAGATAAAAAACTAACTATTTCATCTTAAGAACATCGAATATTTACACAAATAAATGTTGGAATAAAAATGGAAAATTCTTTAATGGTAAAATATATTTTATGTAGAATATTAGAAACAGAAATTTAATAAATCAGTTCAAGAATTGAATAACTAATTGTGTTTTGTTTCTTTAGTGTAGTGTTGTATCATCAAATAAGATGTGTAAACCCAAGGTAAAGAAATGGAGGACAAGTGAATTCACAGGAAATGGTTGTATCAAGCATCATTTTCTCCATAATGTTTAAATAATCAAATATTCAATGATTTAAAAATCTTATATACTGGTAGGGATACTAGTAAAAACCATGCAATGTCTAATCATTAAAACAAGGCATGGCAATATTGTTAGGTGACCAAATATTTCCTGAGTAGCCAAGTCACTTTTATTACGCTGATACCCAATACCGAAATGCTTAATACCCAATAACAAAAAATCATTTCTGTCACCATCAACACAATTTGATACTAAATATGTGCAGATAAAGAGGATGATTGTTGTAACATTGTTGTACTAATGAAGAACTCAGTGACCTTGCTTCACTGGCCATTATTTAGACATACTGGGTATAACCCTCCGCATATTAGGGAGATTTTTCATCTTATTTTATCGTTTGCTTAATATGTCATCACTTATACATGTATATTCTTTTCTGGCCCTTATATAAAATTTGAGTACTACATCATCTAATCTTACATTTTTATCCACCTTATCCCTAAGAGAAGATTCCCTAAAGCCTCTTCCAATAGTGAGGACTTGTTTATCTCTTTTAGACATGTTTCCAAGTTGGTTATAAAAACCCTGCTGATGCTGTAGGCCATATTGACATGACAACTTCAATAGTCATATTAGTTATATAAAAATCTACTAGGGGATTATTCCTGTTTTGAAATCACTCCACTGATGTTTGAAAAATGTCAGGAGAACTACCAACTGTTGTTTTTAAATGTTTTGATTGATTGCTATTGTAACATTTATTTTTGACAATTGGTTTGGACTGGAGAGATACTAGTCAATATAGATGCAATCAATAGAACATATAAACAAAAAATCAATGAGGCCCATGCACAATTTAAGCTGGGAAAATATAAAAAAGCGGATGTTGTGAAAACCATCTTACTAAAGATAACTGAATAATATATGTTTATATTTTATTTTATGTTTTTTTCTATTTTATATATATATTTTTTTATTATATGTTTCATATGTATATCAAGTGGTTTTATTTGATTTTCAGAGAAGCCAGGCATATGCCCCAGTTTAAACCCAGGCACTGTTGGCAGTTGTGCAGAAGAATGCAGCGATGATGCAGCTTGTCCAGACATCCAAAAATGCTGTTATAATGGATGTGGCCACTCCTGTATAGATCCTGAGGGTATGTGTAGATTAAATATACGCATCTTAATAAAAAGTATATATATTCTGCAAATATTAAATTTATTTTGGATTGGTCATTTCAAAAACATGAGAGATCACATATTTATATCAAGTGGTTTTATTTGATTTTCAGAGAAGCCAGGTATATGCCCCAGTTTAAACCCTGGCGCTGTTGGCAGTTGTGCAGAAGAATGCACCCATGATGCAGCTTGTACAGACATCCAAAAATGCTGTTATAATGGATGTGGCCATTCCTGTATAGATCCTGAGGGTATGTATCAATTAATTATACACATCTTAATAAAAGGTATATGTATTCTGCAAAATATGAAGTTTATTTTGGATTGGTGATTTCAAAAACATGACAGATCACATATAATATTATAAATTTTAATGTAGAAGAGGCTTGATAATTTAGTTTGTTTGGGATCTTCATAAAAAGGAGTTCTCTGGAACATTCATCACTGTATTCATAAAAGCTAATTGTGTTTTGGGTAATTTGAATATCATTTGCACCTATCTCCACTTGTATATCTAAAATAAAGCTAAAATGGCTTGTAAAGAAACAAGAAATTAATGACACTCTTAGAAGTTAATGACACTCTTAGAAGTTTCAAAAATGATCAGCTGAATACATTATTGGTTCAAGGTTGTGAGGTTGATGGCGAGATGTATGCAATCGGAGATGTGATTGAAAAGAATGATCCATGTTTGTACTGCGAATGTGTCCATGATGATCAGTCTAATAGTAGAGAACAGTGTGTGGCTACTAGTTGTGTTGCACCAGAATGTGAAAATCCAACTTATCATGATGATGTTTGCTGCCCAATATGTGGTAATGCTTGTCCATTATCGTAAAAATGTTAATAACACACTTGGAAACTTTTCATTAACTATTGATTTCTTGATACATGATCAACAATCAGAATTCTTCCACCGAATCAAATGATAAAATTATACATGTACATATAAAATGTTCATCCAGTGATTTCTTTTTTTTTAATTTCAAGTCATAACTTAAGTTACTTATTACCAGTAAGTCATTTTTTTGAATGTTCAAATTTTAGAAACATGGGACTCAACTGGACCAATGGGTGCAACTGGTCCAAGTGGATCTACAGGTCACACAGGACCGACAGATTCATCTTGGCCAACTGGCTGGACAGGACCAATGGACGCAACTGGGCCAACTAGCCAAACTGGACCTACAGGTAAAACTGAATCTTAATTATACAAAATGTTACTCTTCTGGGGTTCGTTTTTCGTACGATCGTAACTTACGATTCCGAGAAAACCATTTGTCTCTGTTTTGATGAACAATGACTTGCGACCAAATCGTAAGTTACGATGGTTTCAAAAAGGGACCCCTGTATATTAACAGAATCACGATTTCAATGAATTATATATTTATTTTTCTATTATTGATTTAAAAGTTAAATGTCATGGTGATACATCAATTCAAACAAGGAAACACTCCATGGTGCTAGCATTATAAGAATCAAGAGGGAATCCTTCATTCTGTCATCAGAAAATGTATTGATAGTATCAGCATTTCACTTTACAAGTGCATTGTATCAAACAAGGGCAGTGATGACTGATTGTTAACCATCATTTGCTGAGTGATGGCAATTATCTCTCCCCTTGAGTAAAAGTCACCTAGAGCTGGACTTTGCTACAGTGACAACTGCTTTTATTGCTGTAAACAACTTTAAGAGTCTGAGAAAGTAAAGAACATTCAAGTTGCTATTGCAACCACAAATGGACCATCAAAAAAAAAAAAAAAAAAAATAGACCATCATTGGCAACATGTCAGAAAATATTTTGATAGTTTTGGCTGGAGTGAAGGGTGTATTGGTTTATGAGAGACACCTTTTCTGAATAATGCTGTTGTTGTTAACTCTTGGGTTACCACAAAGTATAGTTTAGTTACACTCTCAAGTGGTTTAATATTTAAGTGGTTTAAAATAGACTCAATAGCAATAAATTGAGAGAATCTGGCTGCTTCTATAGTGCACAAAGAAACTGAGCCTCCCTTGGTCTGTATGCTAGAGATCATTCAATACTTCAGGGAGCATTTCTATAGTTGCCCTGTTGGTCTTGCTTCTTTGTTTGGAAACATTTCTAGCATTCACTAATCTGTCTTGAGATGCCAAAATTATATTGCTTTCTGTTGCATTGTCAGAAAAAAAAATTGCCAATTTATTAGGATATAGGTTATGAAACGTATGGATCTTCTACATTTCATTTAAGACTTTTTACCCACAGATGGCTCTGACTGCTACTACAGGGATGAATGTTGTATATCAGGGGGGACTTGTATAGATGGCGCATTTGATCCCTGTCCAACAAGGCTTAACTATAATTTGAAATGCGACCCAACATACCTTGCCTGTTGTGAGGGGTCTGACTTTACCAGTACAGGAGTAACACCCACACCTTCAACTAACTCCGACTGCTACTACAAGGATGAATGTTGTATATCAGGGGGCACTTGTATAGATGGTGCATTTGATCCCTGTCCCACAAGGCTTAACTATAATTTGAAATGTGACCCAACATACCTTGCCTGTTGTGAGGGGTCCGGGCCCACAAGTACACCAGGGGGACAGACAACTATAGCTGGACCAGGTGTGTTTGAGATGTCTTCATGCATGAGCTTCTTAAAACCACCGGGTGAATGTGCACACACTAACATCTGCCTTAGAGGAGGACTTTTCGATGCTGCCATTTATGGTGAAAGACTCCTGACTTTTCCTGATGCAATAAAATGTGATGACTGCATGAACTAATACCATTACAGTATGAATTGATTAGCAACATATCTATTGCTGTCCTTCAACTGGGATTCTGCATACTGACACCATGGAATTTAGACCTAAACCCCTCAATTATGCAGTCGGTCAAACATTGACCAAATAACACCATTCTATGGGCGATTCACAAAATATTTACATTATTAGCCACTAATGAGACCTTTTAAACTGTTCTTGCACTGCATTTTTACATCAGCACAACTCAGACTATTTTAACACCGTTTTGCATGTATTTTAATGCTCTAGGTTTTGGTCAGGCAACACTGGGTTATAATGTGTCTGCAAACAGCAACTCATCAATACTCTCATCCATCTGGGCTGTACCATTACATTTGTATATCATGACTAATTTTATGCTCTAGGTTGTGGCCATGCATCTGAAAGTGAGATGACCCTATTGCCTCAACATGGGTTGACTTTGTCTTACTTTTCCATGGTTACTTTATGTATATTGTGAGACTGATATGTCTGGTGCAGGTTCATTCTAATTTTTCTAATTTAAGATGTACAAGTATTTAAGCTGCCTAATGTTGTGAGTTTTGACACACAGTTCAAACGCAATGTTAATAATAGAGTAACAAAATATTCAGAAAGCAAACAACAAGGCAGATAAAAATATCTCCAAAAGCGTGAATATTCAGATAGACCATTTTTTCAGAATCGTCCTATTGTCCTCGTAATAATCATAGCAAAAATAGTAGAGATTGTACTCCAACCAAGATAGATATGATGTGATTTTACTGTACAATTTCAACCATATCAATATCTACTTTTAAGTAACATTATCTACAGATACATAATTTATCATGTGTACCATTATGAAATTCCAATAAAAGGAAAAGTGGTTTAAACTTTACATGTGGCTTTAAACATAGAATACAGGGTGATCCAGAATTAAGTAAGATCAAAGATGTTGCCATTTCAATATTATTTGACTTATCATCTTGAAACTTGGTACAGATGTTTCCCAAACATTATTGAGTTAATTTTTCAAATATAAAGCTTCTACTATTTGATTGATGTGATATCACCTGTATGACAATCCATAATCACTCAGCATTATCATTTATCAAAGTTTTGTGCCTCAATTAATCCTTCTAAAAATGCATCAAAGCACAATGAATGAGAATACCTAAATGATGAATGTTCTAACCCATCTCACATTTTCAGTATCAAATGGATGTGCAAGTGGAAATCCATGTTTAAATCTGGGAAGCTGCTCATCATCAGGTGGAGGTTTTCAATGTCATTGCAGAGATGGCTTTTCGGGAGAATTTTGTGAGATTGACTTGGCCAGTAAGTTATCTTTAGTTTAGTATGATTGAAGCTTCTTGAATAAAACATGCATGAAATATTTACATGTTTTCATGACTTTTTTTCTAAAAGGTCATAAACGGTCTCTGTTGCTCAAATGAATTTGGTGTACTCCTTTTTCAAATTATGGCTATAATAGTAAGTAATTTCAAATTGATATAAGTAATGAAAACACAATTAAGAAATTCTTGGAATGTTTAGAACCATATTTTTATATTTTTAAGATCCAGATGGATGTACTTGTTCTCCGTGTATGAATAATGGAAGTTGTATTTCTGATGATGGGACATATTTCTATTGTCACTGTTTTGGAAACTTTATTGGTGAATTCTGTGAGATTCCAATATCTGGTAAGTTATTCTAGTTTGTTGTGTCTATAAAGCATTACATAAAGCAAATTTACATTTCTTTGCATTCTTAAAAGGCCCACTGAATTACTACAAATTATTACTCGTAAGAATTTCCCTAACAAAAATTGAGACATTCATACAAAATCTAGAGGGCATCCATATAGTCTCTTTGCAATTACAATACGAAGTTTGTGTAAAGAGATTTTATGGACACTCTGTATGTGCTACTGTGTCATGTGTCATGTTTTGACTAAACTAATATACAGGGTGTCCATAAAGTATCTTTACAATAAAATACCAAGTGTGTGCAAAGTGGAAAGAGACTTTATAGACAACCTGGACTAATTTATTCTTAGTACATGCATGGTCTTTGTGCATTTTGATTCTTAATAAAAAAATATTTTAAATAGCATATATATTCTCTACCATTGGTTACCTAAATAATACTGACAAATGAAAATCACAATATAGCCAGTAAGACAGATCTATGTATATTTTCCAGAACCACACGCATGTTCTTTTGGTAATCCCTGTGAAAATGGTGGAAGTTGTGTACCATTCCTTTCTCAAAATGGGACAGACTACTACTGTCACTGTCCCCATTACTTTTCTGGTGACTACTGTGAGATTGATATATCTAGTAAGTTTTTTATAGTTCTTAAATATGGTAAATGACAAATATGTTTTGTATAATCTGTTTTTTACAATTTCATTTTATAACAAGACACACAGCCTTTAATAACATAGTTTTTATCTAAAAATAGCCAACAAATGCTCTTGCATCTGCTCATATTTCAAGTTCAACGCCATAAATGTTTTTCCTGGAATTTTATTGACAAGATTTTTCTTGAAAAAGCGTGAAATCAACCAGTAAGATGCTCAATATCATATTTTTCAGATACCCATATATGTGCCAGTTATCCGTGTATGAATCATGGAAGTTTTGTATATTGTATTTGTATAATCTTACTGTACCCTTCTATAATGCCATTGGGCGATTGAAGGGATGTATAATGTTATATCTTGTAATGAAATAAATTTATCTTAATAAAATAAAAAATAAAAAAAATAAAAAAGACATTTAACACAAAAATTGACTTTCAAATTATAAGTTGTTGGTTTTTTAAAACTAATGGATTTCTCGAGATTTTTACAGGAAAATCTAACTTTTTTGAAAATGCATGGATTTCCATGAAAATTTGGCAGGACAGCATTCACTTTGAAGACAGATTTTCCAAAATCACCCTTTTCTCTTGCTGCTGAATCAGTTTTTCCTAATTATTTTTCTCATGATACTTCTAATATTCCATTTTTTCTGGAATTTCTTTAGAAATAAACTGAACACTCTAGCGCATGTGTTTCTCTGACAGACCGACTAATAAGTCAATCTGGTACTTTAATTTGAGGCATGACTAATATCAGTGTAAAATTAGATTAGAATAACATTCTGAAATCTGAAATCTTTCAAATAGATCCCTAGTGTCCGTTTACCTTTAGTATTCAAAAATCCCTAAAGATTTATTTAGTCCACTTCAGGGACAATTGTAAAATTGATTTCTGCATATCCTGCTAAATTTTTACTGAAATCCATGCATTTAAGAAAAATTTATATCGAAATAAAAAGTAAAAAATGAAAGTGGCAAGTTGAGAGTGTATCTGGCCAACTCGTATTGGGAATGATATATATCTTACATTCTATCAAATGACGGGTCAAATTCTACCTATTGCATATTCTTGAATTGAATTGAAGGTGGAACTGGTCCGGACTCTGGTTGGACTGGTCCAACTGGTGCAACAGGCCCAACTATACCCCATGCATGTTCCCATGGTAATCCCTGTGAAAATGGTGGAAGTTGCGTACCATTCCAAGATGGGACAGATTACTACTGTAGCTGCCCTCACTACTTTTCTGGTGACTACTGTGAGGTTGATTTATCTAGTAAGTTTTTTATAGTTCTTGAATATGGTAAATGGCAAATATGTTTAGTATAATCTGTTTTCAAATTTCATTTGTAACAAGACACATAGTATTTAATAACACAGTTTTTATCGAAAAAATCAAAATAGCAACCAAATAATTTACCCAGCATTCTCAAAGCCTAATCAGATCAGCACTACTCTGCTATTGCACATTAGAGTTTGAATACTGGGAAGTGGTTTTCCTGGAATTAAGATGCATTAAAACAACCAGTAAGATAGCCAATATCATATTTTCCAGATACCCATATATGTGCCAGTTATCCGTGTATGAATCATGGAAGTTGTATTTCTGATGATGGGACATATTTCTATTGTCACTGTATTGGAGACTTTTCGGGTGAATTCTGTGAGATTCCAATATCTGGTAAGTTACCAGCTGTGCTCGATTAAGTAATTTAGCAGTCTGGACAATTTCACTACATTTTTTGTCATAGTATATTTCAACAGCATGTAATTTTTACTAGTATATTTTACAGTCCTCAGAATCCAAAGGCTATGTTGATTCAAAAAATGCAAGCAAAGTTTGAAAATATTGTTTCGTCAACCAAATACTATTCGTCATGGTCTAAAAATTGTTTGAGACATTTTAAGCGAAAGAAATGACTTCCATACAAAAGTTGTTGGTTTTTAAAAATGAGGGAAGAATACAATATAGGCCAAAGTGGTTTAAAGTCCAACTTTAAAGTGGTACTTAAATGAGATATCCTGACCTTCAACTGTAAAGAGTGTCCCTTGCTAATTTTGCAATTATTTTGAATGTTTTTATCCATGGTTCTATCAACTGAATGGTAAATATTGTCTATTTCTGCATGCTGCCTATAGTGCATATTTTCCTTGGTAATATCTATATCATGATTGAAATCATTTGTACAATTTTTTATTCAACAGGCGCAACAGGTGCAACTGGTTCAACAGGTGCAACTGGTTCAACAGGCGCAACTGGTTCAACAGGTGCAACTGGTTCAACAGGTTCAACAGGCGCAACTGGTTCAACAGGCGCAACTGGTTCAACTGGTGCAACTGGTTCAACAGGTGCAACTGGTTCAACAGGCGCAACTGGTTCAACAGGCGCAACAGGTGCAACTGGTTCAACAGGTGCAACTGGGGAAACTGGAGCTACAGGTGTGACACACTTTATTGTACCTGCCTCAATATCTTTATTAGAATACTGTGATATTAAGTTAGCTAAAACTGGACCAACTGGCCAAATATATCTGTCTACCTTAGCTAGACAAAATCTACAAGACAAAATGTTAATGAGATACAAGACCATTGTTATCTTTTCAGGTCCATGTTCTAGTTATCCCTGTCAAAATGGTTGGAGTTGCATTGTGTATAACTTTATAAATAGACTTGGCTTTTATTGCTTACATCCCAGTAGATTTACTGGTGTAAACAGCGAGATTGACAAGTCTGGAAAGTTATACTGATTTGTTCTAAATTTCAGCTTCTTGAATGATTAAGTGTAAAATGTAAAAGATATGTCCACCTTTGGTGACATTGAGTCATTCCCTAATCCCGTTGACCCAATGCTATCCACTGATGTCTCTGGAACACAATAACTTCACATGTAGACATTAATAAATAATATTACTCTATGATGAACACCAGTAACCAACCATACTGACATAACTAAATTTATGTTACCCCTTGATGTCACTGGAACACCATTAACAAGCAGACATTACTAAACTTATGTTACCCCTTGATGTCACTGGAACACAATGAACCCAATAAGCAGACATGACCGAACTTATGTTATCCCTTGATGTCACTGGAACACCATTAACCCAGCAAGTAGACATTACTAAACTTATGTTACCCCTTGAGGTCACTGGAACACCATTAACCCAACAAGCAGACATTACTAAACTTTTTTACCCCTTGACGTCACTTGAACACCATTAACCCAGCAAGTAGACATTACTAAACTTATGTTACCCCATGATGTCACTGGAACACCATTAACCCAGCAAGCAGACATTACTAAACTTATGTTACCCCTAGATGTCACAGGAACACCATAAACCCAGAAAGCAGACATTACTAAACTTATGTTACCCCTTGATGTCAATGGAACACCATTAACCCAGTAAGCAGACATTACTAAACTAATGTTACCCCTTGAGGTCACTGGAACACCATTAACCCAACAACCAGACATTACTAAACTTTTTACCCCTTGATGTCACTGGAACACCATTAACCCAGCAAGTAGACATTACTAAACTTATGTTACCTCATGATGTCACTGAAACACCATTAACCTAGCAAGCAGACATTACTAAACTTATGTTACCCCTAGATGTCACAGGAACACCATAAACCCAGAAAGCAGACATTACTAAACTTATGTTACCCCTTGATGTCAATGGATCACCAATAACCCAGTAAGCAGACATTACTAAACTTATGTTACCCCTTGATGTCAATGGAACACCATTAACCCAGTAAGCAGACATTACTAAAATTATGTTACTCCATGATGTCACTGGTAAGGTGATAGTTAATTACTGAGTGATTATTTCTCCTTTTACCCCTCTAGTTACAAATAGACCAAATACAACAATTACATCTGGTACAACAAGACAAAGTACAACAACAAGACCAGGTACAACAAGACCAACAATTAAACCAAGTACAATATCATATCAAAGTATAATAACAAATCCAACAACTAAACCAGCTACAACAATATCCACCGCTGTGCCTACAACTATATCCACTGCTGTGCCCACCACCACCACAAGTACTGCTCCAACCACCACCACAACAAGCACTGCTCCGACAACCACCACAAGAACTGCTCCGACAACCACCACAATATCCACCGCTGTGCCTACAACTACATCCACTGCTGCGCCCACCACCACAAGCACTGCTCCGACAACCACCACAAGCACTGCTCCGACAACCACCACAATATCCACTGCTGTGCCTACAACTACAGCCACTGTTGCGCCCACCACCACCACCAGTACTGCTCCGACCACCACCCCAACAACCACCACAAGCACTGCTCCTACAACCACCACAAGCACTGCTACGACAACCACCACAAGCACTGCTCCGACAACCACCACAAGCACTGCTCCGACAACCACCACAATATCCACCACTGTGCCTACATCAAGTCCAACTATTAAACTAAGTACAACAACAAATCCAAGTACAACAACAAGTTCAAGTAAAACAAGTTCAAGTACAGCTACTCAGCCAAGTACGAGTCAAGGTACAACAAGCCCAAGTACAACAAGCACATTTACACCCTCTACATTCAGGAAATGAATCGTCTTATATTTTACATTCATATTTTCTTTTAATTATGGTAAACATCTGGAATATAAGTTCATTATACAGACAGCGGGGATATGATTTATTTTCATTAACAAGATGCATTTATGTTACAGATGCTGGAGAAACTGGGCCGCAGGGTGCAACAGGCCCCAATGGAGAAACAGGGCCACAAGGTGCAACAGGCCCAAATGGAGAAAGTGGCCCCCAGGGTTCTACAGGCACTAGTGGAGAAACTGGGCCACAAGGTGCAACAGGCCCTAGTGATATAACATGGCCACAAGGTGCAACAGGCCCTAGTGATGTAACAAGCCCAACTGATAATTCTGCAGGAAATATAGCTGGAGAAACTGGGGCAGCTACTGGAATATCTGAATCATCTGGTAAAACACTGATATCATTTATACCGTATACTGTATGATTTACTTAATACACTAGACACATAGATTATAGCATAACATAATTAGAGGGAGGAGCTATTGATTAATAAAAGGGTCCATGTCACAATTGATCAATCTGATGTACAAGTAAAGCCATGGTATTGATAGCCCCATAGGTATATACATCAATATGACTTTGTTCTGTTGCAGTAACACTGATTGCTGGGGTGGCAGCTGGTGTGGCAGTCCTAACAGTTATAATCATTGTAGCAACAGTATGTTTCTTCAAACGCAGGTATGTACATGTACTATCACTGAATTATGTAAACATTATCAGAGGATATACTCTACATGTAGAGATTTTATAATGAAAGGGTATAGCCATGCTGGTAATGTTGCACCTTTTTAAATAGATCACACATCTTAGAAGTGTATCAGTTAAAAAAACAATTACATTACCAAATAGATTTCACCATACTGTGCACCTATTCACTTAGCGATTTATTCGTAAACTTTCTCATGATAAAAAAAATTTAGCAGATTTGTTGAATTTTCTATCAGAAACTGGCTGTTCCCCCTCCGTGATTAACATGGTTACCGGATTCTTATTACTGGGCATGATAGTCTGCAGATACAGGTGAAATTGTGAATGGAATGAGTATATACAATCATTCATAAATTCCACTTTCAGAACTCCACAGCAGCCTCCAGGGCCAGTTCCACTAGAAACAATAAAAAATGTTGATGAACCAAAAACAGAAGATGATGAGGCCTATAATATTTATGACACAATCAATCCAGTTGAAGATCCAAGACAACAGGATTACTACAGTGTAGTAGACTCAGGCTCAGAACCATATCTTGAACCAACGGCACCTTATGAAAAGCTAATAACTGATTCTAAGCCACAATATGAAAGACTCCCTACAGAAGCTGACTATGAAGTTGAAAAACAGACTTATGACAATACTATGAATGTTGGCCAAACAGGCACACCTAACGATGTGATTTATGATAATGGTGGTGCTGATCGTGAGGCGCCTCTGTATGTTTATGATAATAAAGGAGCAGAAATTGATAGACACAAACAAGGCAATTCCATTGACAACGGAACTTATTATTTGACAATGGTAGCTGATGATAAGAAAACTTAGCAATAAGGATTGAATGGAGAGAAAAACCTGTTTTAAAAACTGCAGACTTTTGAGAAATGCTTTTTCACTACAGAGGGGAAATGATTACATAGAGCCCAATGGAAATATAATTTTGAAGAAATAAGTCTTCACTAAATGTTAATTATAAAAATATTATTCTCATTTACTCATGATATTTTATATAAAAATTAAAATCACTGCACAATATGAACATACATGTATGTGTACCAGTATTAAATACTAACTAGAGTTACAAGACTTTATTGCAATAAGCTGGATTTATGGCAATGTTCTTGCCAGTTTATGTAAATCAGTGTTTATAAAAATGTATGTTTTTGTTTTATGAACAAGAACTTTTAGTTAAAACTAGTGTTGTTGCGATTAATCGATACATTGCGAAATACATCGCCGAAGCTGATTCTGGCGATGCATCGATGTCTCAAACAAAACATCGATGTTTTAAAAAAAAATTAATTTGCTAAAAATCATCCTTTCTTATCATTATTTAGACACAAATCGCTTACCTTTCTTATGTCTTATTTCATTTTCCAATGTTTTCTGATATTCTTTCGCTTTAAAACTGTTTTAGCTAGTCGAAATGAACCATTAATCTAAAAAAATTACTTTACTTTCAATTTCACCGTTACTAGAAGTTCCCGGATGTACCAGCGTACTCTTATTAATTTGTTCTGTTCTGTATTTTAGTGCATGGCGTTCGGTATTTCAGTACACTTTTCTCGGACTTTTTCTCGATGTACATCACGATGTGCATCGATGTTTATTACTGAAAATTGCCGAAGCATCTATGTACGATTACGGCACATCGCGACAACACTAGTTAAAACCATTTTGCGACATATTTCAGTACAACTAACATAGAACAACTAAATAATGTAAAATATAAACCGAATATTTGTGATGTGTATCTATATGCAAATCAGTACATAATAAAGATCAGTATTTAAACATAGTCCAACATGCTTTTCTGAAATTTTAAACAAGCAAAGCAAAACAAGCCATCAACATGCAAAATGTCACCACATGCCATTTCTTACAGTTGCCAACCATCACATGCCAAACACCAACTGCTTAACACCATCCATAAAAAAGTTGGAAACTATACAATATGTCATAACTTATGGTGGTGACATAATAAAAATGACCCTAAGGGAAGAAGGTGTTAGAAAATGAATCATGTTGAGAAACCAATCTAATTTGAAGCTATTCCATCGTTTGCTTCTCTTAAATATTTGGTTCTCAACATTCAGAGCTTTACAGTTGATCTTTGCTGCAACATCCAACTTTACCCATTCTCCTTATTTTAATGAAGCTCAGACAGACTAAATTAGATAATCCTATAAAAAAATATGAATTCTCAATAATCATGGTTCATAAGAAACTTGTTCTTTAACCTGTGCAGGTTTTACTGTATACGTTACAAAGTACAAAACATTCTTACCTTTGAAGCCTGTCCCAGGAGACGTCCCATCTCATCTGACCTTGCTTCTTGGCGCAACTTTTTCTCCTCCATTTTCTTTTTTATCACATGACGCTGTTTCTCCTCCTCCGACAACCTCAAGAAAAATAGTATTTTGGATAAATGAGATTACAAGATAGAAGCAGAAAGAGAACAAACTCAAATAGCAATCAAATATTGAATCATTTGTGATGATTTGTACAAAGCAATGTATTCAGAATATAATTACAACATTTTCTGCTTATTAGTACCAAACAAGACACACAATGACAAATATAGCACTTTGACAACAAAATGACTGCCATGTAAATTACCCAGAATGCCCAAAACCTAACCAGATCTTAGGACTAGTCTGGTCTTGGATCTTAAAAATTTGAAGCTGAATGGATAAGTAGTTTTACTGGAGTTTTGATGACCAGTTTAGATGGTACCCATCCACCTGATGAGAAACACGCCCAGGGGCACAAGATGTCGATAGAAAAAGGCCATGAAAGCTGCATTAAAGATTTTATCAGCACCACAACTGTAAAATCTTCTTTAACAGTCAGAGGGTAGTATGTCAAACCAATGAGATTCAAGGGTAAACACTCACTGTTCCCAGGAGTCCCCATAATGAGCAATCAGAGCATAAAGCAAGAGTTTCTCCCGTAGTGCATCATATTTCTTCTCTAGTGCTTTAACATATTCCTTTTCTTCAGCAGTGCACTCAAATGTTCCAAGGATTACTGCAGCAACATTGTCGTAGATCTCAGCTATTCTCATGTTACGTTCTGCTTTCTGAACTCTGATTAGCTCCTTGCCATTCTGGAATCAGATGGAATAATAATATATAATGTTATATTTTAGGACCCATAATTGAGAGTAAATTTTTGAATATGAGAAAATATGTTCTCTAATTTAAAGTGGGAGTACTATGGTGCACTAAAAATATGAAATATTACAATATATCAGAAATAATCAAAATTACATCTATATGGCAGTTTACATGACATAAAACGAGATAAAAAGAACTTAATTGATCCTACTATCCTAATAGAATAAATAGTGGCTCTTAGATATATATGACTCTGTATCAATCTGCCCCCAAGTATTTAATGCACTCACAAAATTGGCCATCCCCTGTGTCTGGTGAGAATATACATCCAAAACACAATCATGTAATTGAAAAATACCACAAGTACTTTGAAAAGCATACCTTGCTCTGCATTTCTATGATGCTGGTCTCAAAATGTTTATCTTGCAGCTGCTGTAGGTCAGCCAGCACTACTGCATTCACATTGTCCTCTGATATGTTGTGGTTCTGGGTTAGGAGCTCCTGGAATCTGTTCTCGTAGTATAATCCAACACCTAGATGGATAGAGGGTCATAATAAGGGTGCGACAAGGGTTCACGTCAGTTGAACTTTACTATGGTCCAACATTACAACTGGTCAATATTTCAGAATACATAAAATTAATAAAGTGACAACTGGTCCATATTTCAGAAAACAGGAAAATAACATGAAAACTGGTCCATATTTCAGAAAACATAGGAGATGACAACTGGTCCATAATTTAATCCTTAAATGGTTATTATTTACCTTCTTGAAGAGTTCTCATATGGTTATTCCTCTGAGTTGCCATATACTCTGGGGTTCCCTCTCTCCATATGTTGCGTTGATTACGCAGGAACCTTAATTTATTTTCCCGTTGCTCCTTATTGAGTTGCCTGGCAGCAGCTTTTACATTGGTACTGTCTCTGCCTTGAAGCATGTTAATCAACACCTGTAATATGCAAATTATAAAAAGTATGTATTCAATACTTTGACGTGTTTCAGGTACATAAAGCAGGATTTTAAATAAGTGTTATGTACTGGGAGGTTTTGGATACAGGGTTTATCCCGAGGGAAATATGTGTATCTCCCTAGGGACAAATCGGAATTATTCAAAGATGACATCAAGCTTTGTGAATGTTGAGAGGTTTTTGTATTTATTCTAAATCACTAAATAAAGCATTTACACAGTTTGGCTGTCCAACTGCAAATGTTATTATGCATACTTTTCTAGAATGTGCACTTTCGATAACCTGGTACATACCTCTCTCTCTTGTAGATGCTTCCTTGATATCTCTCTCACAATATCAACCTGAAGATCTAACAAGCCTGCATTTTTATCCTTTCCTATTTCACCATCTGTATGAGACACTTTAAGCTGTTTACGTCCTTTTCTCACCCGTAGCCTCTCTCTGGCAAGTACTTCCTGTCTGTCTCTATCTGGCTCATACCTGAAGTAAAGGTGAGTTTAACAATATTATATGGCTGAGTTAAAATTCTTGATATAACTTAACGGTTTGGAGAACAGTCTATTGGACTTATAATTTTTTATGAAAAATATATCAAAAAATCTACAATATGTAAAGATATCAAAATTGTCTAAAGCAGCAAAACTTGCAGTAGACTGATGAAGTTCTTTCTCAAAACCAAGAATAGTGGTCAGTGTTTGCCAAATTTCATGATTCAATTATTTTCATGTGTGTGCTCATGGGTTTTCATATGGGTACAAGCCTAAGTTCATAAATTCAAGTGGGTGCAGGGCCCATTTGCTTCAATTCTGGAAAGATCACTGTATAGTGTATTTATGAAGAATTTAAGAATCATACCTGTCTGATTTATATGTCTGATGTCTCTCAACTAGGCCTACTGCAGTAGCACTCCCCAGAAGATCAGTTTCTTGTTCAAGTAGCATCTGTTCACACATCAACTTACAATACTCCACCTGGGGGCTGCTGGTCAACTTCTTGCTGCTTTCTGAACGCAGTTTGCCAAGAAGGAGCTCTTTCTCAGCTTGTTGACGATCTTGAAGTTCTATAAGGATCTTGCTACAAGGGCTTGGACCTAATGTGTGGAAAATGCTCAATATTTATACCATGAGGTATACCATAAGAAAAACACTTGATTTTCAGTACATTGAAGTTTTAACATATTTTATACTGTATAACTGTGAGATCTGCAAATATGTTTTTGACTTACACTCTATTTCTATTGGAGGAGAATACCTGTGTACATGAACAGCTCTCAAATGGGAACATTAAATGTAATAAATTAAGTCAATTCTCCCATGTTATTTGAACCTCTACATGTGAACACCCCTAAATGTAATCAGTTTCAGTAACTCCAAATAGTGTTCAGCACTTAGGAAAAAGTAATTTAATGGAAAATGGGACCACTCCCTTATGTTCTCCTTTAAGATAATGGACACTAAGATGACACATGGATAATGGATAATAAAATGACACATGGATAATGGACACTAAAATGACACATAAATTCCTATTGCCAATTGCTATTGCCTCTAGCCTAGTCAAATATAGCACAGTGAAATTGTACTTTTTCCAAATGTTATAACTTTCATGTTTAAATAGCTTGCGTTGGTGTTTGGCCAAACCGCCTTAATTGTCTAAGATGACGAATACCTTGTACTAGGTGGGAATATTCCTCTCTCATTTTTTGGTGTATCTCATTCACTGACTTCCCCTTGCCCTTTAGCTCCAAGTACTTATTGCCCATCTCAGTAGTCATCATAGCATACTCCTGCTCCAGCTCACCTAATGAAATATAAACAAATCTGATATGTTATACTTTTCAAGGATGGTAAATTTCTAGTGATCTAATGACCCGTGTGACTTAAATCATATACCCGGTATTTTCCATCGATGGGATTCAGAATCAGTTCTTGACTAACATTACAAGAAACATCCCTTAAATCTTGAATAAATCTATCTCCCGGTTTGGCTTGATATATATAATATTATATACAATATTTTACATACAGGATATGAGGACAAAATCTAAAATGGGCATCTATAATACAGTGAAGTAAACTGTTATTAAGGTACTTCTAAAAGAAAGCATTTTTCAAAAAATTGCTAAACCTGCACATGTTATTTTCTGGTACAAAATAAAGTATGAGGGCGTGTGTGTATTTCTTTGTTTTTTCAGGAAAGTATCCTTACATTGTCTTCATTAAGTAAACCTGGTAACAGGTCAATGGTAAACCAAGATGTTCTGATATTTCACGAAAAATCATTTAAAATGGCCAATTTTCGCAATAACACTGGATTGTACCAGAAATTATTATGCACCTCATTAAAATACTCAAATCTGATTGGTTAAGAGCTGCAGGGTCTATTGCCATACGTGGCAGGAAGATCTCGTTCTATGCAGTATTGAAGCAACGAGATCTCCAACCGTCCCGTATACCAGAATACCTATCCTCGAAAAAAATACTAGGCTCAGCTTCTGTTTTAGTAGACCCATTCTTTAAAATAAAGTATTTCTCAAGGGAGGTGCATTATAGAATAAATACTGGATGACCATGAGGTGGATATGCCAGAATACCTATCCTCGAAAAAAAAATAACATGGGCAGGTATAGCATTTTTTCAAAAATGTTTTATGGAAAGAACAACCTTATAAAGATAACAAAAAAAAATCTTGCAGTATTTTTTCTGTTGTATTTTCTACATTCTAAGACAAAAGATTGTTATCTTCTCGAATATTATGTATGTTGGCTTTTTCATATGTTCACACCGTTCTTACAAACACCCTATTGAGCAGATTTACATCCATTTGTGTATAACTAAATGTTATTTTTTGGATTTGAACTATATTCTGTCATAGCCCTAAAATGTATTTTGCTGGTACATGTACATTTTTTTTTCAAAACTGATACAAAATTCCCTGACACATCTACTGTTTCGAAATTCCCTGACATTTTTGGCCCTTTTCAACCCAATTTTAAAATTCCCTTACTTTCCAGGTGGTAGAAAAATCTCAGGTATTCATACAAGATAGAGCATTCAGTCTCGAGGCCATAAACATATCAAAGGGTCAACATTTGTCCACAAAGCCACACCATAATCCATAAAACACAATAATTCACATTTGGAAGGAAACTATGACTGGTCTCAATTTTATTTCTCAACCTTTAATGCCACAGCTGGAATTCACCATTAAGGTACCATTTGTGAAATAATTGTGAGTTCAGTGCAATAAATTACATGTAATAAAACAACATACTGTCTAAACAACCAGTTCACCTTAACATTTTTGCAGATAATAAAATAGAGAATACAGTTCAGTTCAGACTATGAATTTAAGATAGAGATACTGTAATAATACAGAAGTCAATATGAATTTCTTTGGATTACTTTCTTTCTTGCTCCTGACAGGGGAATGCCTTGTAAGATGTTCACATGAGGAGCATCTTGAAAAATGCTTGATGTTATGGCCAGAAATTTCTAAGGAGCAACCATCCCCAGAACCAGGACTAGAGGTATAATATATACATGAAAACAGTAGCATTTACTGATGGAATCAAAATATTATTATTAAAAGAATTGCTACACCTGCACATTATATTTATAGGTACAAAATAAAGTATGGAGGCATTTGTGTATTTCATTGCCTTTTTTGGGAGAGCATCATTACATTTGCTTATTTAGTAAATCTGGTTAGAAGTTTCTGGATAACACTGGAGAATTTATATTGACATCTTACCAGATTTACTAAAAGAAGACAATGTAATGATAATTTCCTGAATAAAGGACCCACCGTCCTGTGCTCACACAGTGTAGAACCTTCATATTTACAGAAAATTTGAATTTTGACGTCAAAATCAGCAATTTTTCGGAAACTGGGCGAACTTGGGAAATGGCAATGAAAGGTTAAATAGGCATTATGGAGATGCATAAAATGAATGTGGATATGACTCAATCCGAATAGCAGTTTTAATTTGTGCGGCCAATGTTTACGGACGGACGGATGGACCAACAGACGGACGGACACCTGGTCGATCCAATAGGCTCACTGTGTGAGCCAACAAACCAAGGAAATATACACATCAATTCATACTTTGTATTGTATTATACCAGAAAGTAACATGTGGAGGTGTAGCAATTTTTCAAAAATGATGTTGGATGCCTTTCAAAAATTGTGAATTTCTAGCATCAGTGTTTCAACGATGAACACTGCCAGCAAGTGCAAAGGTTGGTGGTTCAAATCCGGTGGATCACTTTCTTTGTTTCTCAATCTAACTTCATGTGCAATATGGTATTGAAATCATAAGTGTACTGTTTATGTAGTATATTGCGTATTCACTCTACTATACCTAACACCTAGAAATTCATTAGATACTTTGTTTGTCTAATTATATTGTTGAGTATATTTTTGAAAGTGATAAACCATTAATAAGAAACAGACAAATAAAAACAAATACATAATCATTACTAATAAGCCAAATGGGTTGCTCATGAACACCAAATGCAAGGTATAGTAGAGTGTATTTCAAATACAGCCTGTAGCTATCAACGCATCTTTTAGGAAAAGGCTGATTTATTAGAAAAAAAAATATTAATAGAGTTTTACAACATACGTATCATAGGAAAGTAATTAAATGAATATGACTAGGTTATTGGCAAAAATAAATTAACTCTTTGTGTTATAGATCAGACAAAAATGAATAACCATGATATATATCTAAAAACAAAATATAGGTGCTAACATGACAAAATGTCACCTACTGGTTGAAAATACAAAACTAGAGTGCTCACCATAAATAAATGACACTTGGATTTTCTATCACCATTTCCAGACCATGGTGCTTTGAGACTTCATACTTTCCAATAATGTCTAGATACACATCCCTTATGTTTTGTATATTTTACATTTTGTATACTCTCGTCCACTGATGTATAGCCTCTTGAAAATTCTCTTCTTTTTAACATGGGAAATCCTCACTTCAGCAAATCCAGGTGTCATTTATTTATGGTGAGCACTGTATGTTACAGATGTCAAACACCGATACCAAACACTGAACGCTTATTCACAAAATGCATTGTCTTCGAGATTACATTCCATGGATTGTTTGACATATGTCATTTCTTTAGATTTAAAATGCCTATATTTTGTCTCAAATGTTGTTCTTTTCAACAAATGATAATGTTATTAAAATCATATTAATAATGGTAAAAATGAATACTCAAATAAATGAATCGCTCAACAAATTGAACTAAAATGCAAAGACATGATAAAAAGGCAAAAATATCTTCAATTCCAGAAATAAAAAAAAAATTGGTGCACTAGAGGCCTAATTCTTATCCTATTTTCAGTTTTTGAGAAATCCGTCCTCCCTATCTCCTACTCTCCTATACCCAAACATGGGGGATCAAAATTGTTCAAAAAAGTGTTTCATCCGAGATGATGATCTGATTAGATGTTCCGATATACAGGTTTTGCTGTATTTTCAGTGTCCAGTATTTCAAGAGAAATCCTGCTGCTACAAGGGAGCAACAGAGCCTATGTTGTCAGATCAGCAAGTCCAGGGCATTACATACTACAACCATTGTCCCCAGAAGACAGAACTCTCAGCTCAATGTCACCAAGAATTCTTCGATGAGCTTTGCTTCTTCATGTGTTCACCTGATACTGGACCTTGGATCACTTTTGCAGTATGTTGAAATTATCAAATTTAATTATGATTAAAATTATGATTAAAATATAAATATAGGAGGGGGAGGTTTTTTCATAAGAGAAAGGGTAATTGATAAAATCTCTTGAATGAGAAATCAGAAAATATCAGGCTGCACTTAAGGGTGGCCACATTTACATAAGATCATTGGCGTCGGAAGAAGGAGGGTGTTGGGGGCGACTGCCCCCCTCCCCCTTTCCCATATTTTTCTAGATTTGAGACAGAGTGTAGAATTGAAAGCTCTAGAACTAATAATGTCAAAGTAATGACAGAAATGATACTATGTCATTATCTAGTTTACATAGATCTCATTTCTCATTATATTTAATTCTATATGTTCAGAATGCACCAGAGAGGGTCTAAATTTGAAAATTTCTGGGACATGCCCCTCGATCCATGCACGACCCATTCATATACAAAAATTGCCCCCTCCCTTGGCAAATCCTTCTGACACCCCTGAAGATGGTCAAACTCAGTGCTTGTTGCATGCCCATGTACCAATTACATGCACAAATTAATTTTCTAATTGAATATAAAAGATATTGAAGATTGAAGAGTGGATAGAATTCAAAATGGAGTGTTAAACATAACATTTTTAAAAATAGGAATGACATGGAACGATGACAGGAAAAATCATTGTAAAATGCAATTAAACTTACACTTATCTCTCTAGTTTTTGTAACCTCCAAAGAAATACGTTTTTTAATAAATCATTTTCAGACACATGAGGAGCCAGTGAGGGATAGATTCATAGATGTACCAATATGTCCTGAAGTGTGTGAGAAGTGGTGGCAGGCATGTAAACAAGAATACACATGTACAGACAACTGGTATCTTGGCTTCAACATGTCAACAGGTCGGAGGACAGGGTTGCATATTGCTCAATATTCTTTTAAAATTTGGATTAGATGAAGTGTTGTCCAAACTTTTACTCAAAACAGCACTAATACAAGAAAAACAGCAACTCCATGGAGTAGCATATCCCACTGAACAAAACATGTTTTGAGAAATAGCAGCCATATAAAATTTGAATCATATCCATCCACTCCTATTTGAGTTATCAAAAATTATGTTTTTTATGAAACATGGTGGCCATTTTGAAATTCAGCTGCCACCTTTAAAATTTCATCTTAAGCAGAGCTTCTATGTCCTTAGGCATCAGTATATCAAATTTGATCCAAATTTGTCAACTGGTACTTGAGTTATCAAAGATTACATTTTTAATGAAAAATGGTGGAGCTTTTGATAAATAACGGCCATTTTGAAAATTTCTTCTCGAGCAGAGCTCCATGCATCAGTATGTAAAATTTGAACTAAATCTGTCCACTGGTATTTGAGTCATCAAGGATTACCTTTTTTATGAAAAATGGCGGCCATTTTGAAATTCAGCTGATGCCTTAGAAATTTCTTTTGAAGCAGATCTCCTTCTTCTCTGGACATCATCATATAAAATTGGAAACAAATCCAGTCACTGGAATTTGAGTTATCAATGATTAATTTTTTACAAATGATGGCCATTTTGAAATTCAGGGGCCATCTTGAAAAAGTCTTCTTAAGCAGACTTCTTTTGTCTCTAGGCATCAGCATTTGAAGAAAATCCGTTGACTGGTATTTGAGTTATCAAAGATTACGGTTTTACAAAAAATGGCTGCCATTTTGAAATTCAGCAACCATTTTGAAAATGTCTTCTTGAGCAAGGCTCCTTTGTCCCTAGACAACAGCATATAAAATTTGAACCAAATCGGTTTACTAGTACTCAAGTCATCAACGATTACGTTTTTTTTATGAAAAATGGGGGCCATTTTGATATTTAACTGCCATCTTGAAAATCCCTTCTTGAGCAGAGCCCCTATGTCTCTCAGCATCAGCATGCAAAATTTGAACCAAATCCATTCACTGGTGTTTGAGTTATCAAAGATTACGGGTTTTTACAAAAAATGGCGGCTATTTTTAAATTCAGTGGCCATCTTGAAAATCTTTTCTTGAGCGAGGCTCATTTATCCCAAGGCAACGGCATATAAAATTTGAACCAAATCGGTTGACTAGTATTTGAGTTTCTCTGTTTCTGTTTTTTAGGTAGAAACCACTGCCACAACATTGATGACTGCAAACCTTATACAGAAATCTTTAAAACTGCTAAAAACTTTTGCGAAAGCATCTGGGATTTCTCATTTAAAGTAGTTGATGAAGGAGAACCGTGTATGAACTTTGTATATGATCTTACAAAGGATGATAATAATAGGAGAGTAGCTGAGATGAAGGCGAAAGAGTTGAGTGAACTTGACAAAATCAAGAATGTTGAATTATAGGCTTTTCCAGATATTATTCTATTAACCTTTTGAATCGGTAGCTTTGAATCCAAGGATCAGAAATTGGGTTGAAACCAGGGAATTTTCTCATTTTTGCAAGCTTTTGACATTTTATTACGACAAGTGATGCTCAATTTAGTGAAATTAGCAAGCAGTGATCATTTCTTCACATTTTAAAACATAATAACATCAATTTGATTGAATAAACCACGTGCAGTATGGCCCCTTTAAGCTAGGACATTGCAAGCAAGCTGACATAAACCCATGATAGTATTCTACACTTGTCTGTATGTGATATAATCTGAATTACATCATGTTCACACATATAACATATCACACATACATCGTATTTGCTACTTATATTAGTTGGTATCTGTATTAACAACTTGTTTCTAATAAATGCTTTATTTGTTATTCATTTTGAGATCTGGATACTGATCTGATTGATCAAGACTGATCATTAATCCCTGTATTTATCTTACATATACAGGTAGTGGCAGTTTTATATCGTGTTAATAGAACCATGTTAAAAATGTTGAATTTTTTAATTCCTTGAATGGGTGCAAAATCTAATTCTTACAATTCTGACCAATGTTTATAAAACATATACCAGTATATGCAAACATGATTTTTGTCATGTTTAAGTAGTTGCACAAGTCTGCAAAAGTAGAGTGGAAAAGTCTATTCTTAAAATCTCAGTGAGTGCCCGCTTGTTTCAATAAAAGATAACACAACGATTGCATAATGAAACAAAGAAGGACTTACCCAGTAATCCTCTTGTGGTCAACGGGTACATTACACTGGCACCATACAAGTTAAACACTTTATTGTCCAATTGGTTCTCTTTACGTAGTTGACGTTCCTTCAGTTTCAGCTGCTGGTATTTATCAAACTGCTCTGAATCTGACAGCGAGGACCAGAGAGTTTCACCTACAAAGAATGATGTTGATGAATGTGTAGACGATCAAACCAGTTTTTGTCATAATTTTTGTTAGCTGAACTGTTTTATTTATTGTACTTGTGTTATGTTTGAATAGAAAAATAAATTTTTTTAAAATTGTCATTTTCTAAAATTATGAATATCATTCAAAAATGAATTTATAAAATAGTATATATTTTATGAATTTATAATAATCTTATTATAATGAAGTGTAATAAATAAATAAATGTTTCTAACTGCTTATATTTGACTATTTGTATACTTAAAAAATATGTTCAGTCTTAGCCTTAGTTGTAAAATTCCTTTATTTCATTTATAATATGTTCTTTATTGATTATATCCAAAATGCAAAATATATAGAAACATACAGGGTGGTTAAAAAATATTTGGAATATTTTCTGAAATTCTCTACTAAAATACATCAAAGCATATTTGGATCAGCCTGTATATACACACACAATTCTTTAACATGCAGACGGTGCATGACACAAACATCTTCATTTCACCATTTTCAAATTCCCATACACAATATTCAGGAAATAAAATTGTATACATGCCTTTTCTCAAACTAAAAGAAAGTAAACATATCTCCCTGCGTGAAATGCATATAAAATAAGAAGTTTTTATGCCAATCTGTTCCTAATATATTGCAAACATTATTGAGGGTGATTAGTTAAATTGTAAAAAACATGCCATGCTATGCCGACTACATGCATCATACACAGGATTGTTGCACATATTGGCTATAGTTAAATATAAAATAAAAGAATAATATATTCTTTTATGATCATTTTACCTGGTGATACTCCTACATATATAACAAAATTTGAAATATAAATAAGTTTTACAAGGCTTTATCAATATTTAATTCATGCCAAAAATGAAAATTGTTAAAACCAAAACTCCGGATGTACAAATACATTCGATTCTGTAAGATTCTGACTATGATATACCCTTTGTGCACAAAAAAAGAAAGTTGCATTCAGTTTATTTGTATTATCACAGGATTTCTAGAGTCATAATCACATTTGAATATTAGGAGATTTCATCTGCCATTGACATTAATAGATAGAGGTGTCACGGATACCCGATTTTGTTCCGATCCGCGGAATTATGCCCTCGGAATGGAACACGGAACAAAAATTAAGAATTTCGGTTCGGTTCCGGAACAAGAACATTTTACCCCTCTCAACTACTGGCCCTTGAATCTCCACAAAACAGCACTTTTCTTTCAATATTTTGTACCAAAAAAGGTTCATTCTTTTTACTCCTTCTCTTTGAAGAGTTTTGAAGAGCTTTTCGCTACCAAATAGATCTAAATGATCAAATTATTTTAATCTAATACACGCAGTCACTCTGTTCCGAACTGTTCCGAAGCAAAATGTTCCGAACCAAACAGTTCCGATTTTTTTTGTTTTGTGACATCTCTATTAATAGATGGCAGATATATTTCAAAGATCTGACTTACCCATTTGGCTCCTAACCATCTGCCAAAAGAGATGACTACGAATACCATCATATTTCATATCAAGGGCATCTAGTAGGTCATTCACGCCAACATGGTTGCGAATCTTCCTGGGTATATCTTCACCATAGTCCATACCATCATCATAGATCAGTCCTTCTACACCCTCCTTATCCCATCTGAAAATATAAACATACAGATATCAATTAGGGATGCGTCCATTGAGGTATAAATGCATCATCTGTATATCGTAAATTCAAAATGGATACATTTAGATAAATTGCCATACAAACAAATGTAAATACACTAATTATAAAAAGACTTGCATTGGCCAGTAGTTTCTTCAACACTTATCTTAATGCAATCTTGTTGTATCCAAATGGAAATGTGCATATTCAGAAAAAAGTACTTCCAAAAATATTGAGATTATTTATATCCATAAATAATTGATTGGATTCAGTCCAAAACAACTCACTTGTTTTGTTTCCTGCGTGCAAGTCTGTGTGTCCTGGTCTGGTAGTCGTCTCGTTCACGAGCCTCCCTCGCTTGACTAGTATCGTCATCCTAAATTAATAGACGAGCAATATAATGACAGATATATGGTGCCCTAAAAACAGGATATTTTCTAAATAGCCATGAAAATGTTAAACATTTAATAAGTCAAAGGTTTAAATTAAAATTGAACTAAAGTATCATATTTTCATTTTATGTTTTGCTTACCTTCACACAAACATTATTTCCATTTTATGAACAGAATGCAAAATTTATGAAAAATTTACAAAAGATTAATACCATTTCCCTTTAACATGTAATGTATACAAAAATAGGACTAAGTCCTTTATAGATTAGGCAAGAATGAAAAAGACATATTTATATCGAAACCAAAAAATTAGAGAATCATTCGACAGTTAAACATTAAGAAGCAGGAATAAAGGAAGATATATCATTTTATCCCATACTTGAATGTGTTTGAGGTATGTAAAGCAGGTTTGTAAAAGTTGTATTTTCATCAGCAGGCAGGACATAGCTTTAGGTCCTAGCTGACTGGATTGATATATATTTTTGTACTGTTAGCATAATTACTGAAAACAGTAATGGCGACCCCAACTCAGGCAATCACAATCTGTTTGATGATTTAACAAGGGAAGTAGCATACTAATCCCTGCCATGGCCAAGAAAACAAAACTGGACATGAATATGAATGAAATTTTCTGAAATCGGGAAAATGTGAACCAGACGAGATGAAAGTGAGTGAGTATCCCCTTTATGTTAGACACTGTAGGTAAACAATAGACATACTGTAGGTAAACAATAGACATACTGTAGGTACACAATAGACATACTGTAGGTACACAATAGACATACTGTAGGTACACAATAGATTCACTGTAGGTACACAATAGATACACTGCAGGTGCATTTTAGGTACACTGTAGGTGCATAATAGGTTAACTCTGAGTATACGGAAGGTACACTTTAAGATAAGCACACTGTACAGTATCCTGGATACTTACATCTGGGTTCACCATATCCTAGAAATCGTATATGATTATTATAGAGTAATCAATAGCATCGTGAAAAGATATGTCTTGAGTGTTATATAGCCTAATACTCACATTGTGCTATAAACTACAAAGACATGCAAATGGATAGATATCAGGCGCATAACACAAGGGTACACAGTTGCGTACCCTAATTGATGGATTAGTACCCCATTACACAGTCTGATATCGCTCAGAAAGCACCATGTAAGGTCTAAAATCAAAAATTTTCTGAGAGGCATGCCCCCTGACCCCCTAGTTTTGCTTGGCCTTCGACCTCGCGTTCCTGCTATCAAAATCCTGGTTACGGCACTGGATATTCTACATAGGGTTCAATTTTTACAGTAAAACATTCTTTTTAGAAGAACTGTAACTTTTGGCTTGAGGTGAATTTTTTTTTGAAAAGAACCCCTAGGTAGTATTTTCATTTCCATCACTGTATAACAGACAATAGATTAAAACTATGCATTTAACTAGAAGCATATGATATATGTATATGTATGTGCAAACCTAAATATAAATTCAAGCAACTAAAAAACATTAAGTAAAGTAAAGTCAATTTCTACCTAACTTATACCATTATATTACCATGCAAAACTAATCGCTGATACTAAATGGAATTTTAGTACTTAAGTTTAGTGTAAAATTCATGCATCTCAAAAGCAGTGAGGAAATATAAATACCTGTAATACTTTAAGGTGTTCATAATCTTTGAAATCTCTTTGCTTTTTACTGTTGGATATTTCAGACTCTGCCTCCAGGACTTCTCTATCTGAACTTGGCTCACCAAGGGGCTTGTTACAAAGCCTGAAAAAAAAAGTTACATATTATTTATTTACAGTATTGATATCACTTAATACACATGATTGCCAACATATTACAGTGAAATACATGTTCTTATAATGAGCTACAGGAATGTGTCACCCGAGCCTGTTATGAGAGACCCAAAAATGTTGTCAATCCAATTAGTTTGAAAGGCAATAGAACCTGAACTTGAAAAATATGTAGTACATATAGGTTATTTACTGGGAGGGATTGAATATGGGTTTTATTCCGAGGGACAATATGATATTGACCGAAGGGTAATATGATACTGACTGAGTGTCAATATGATATTGCCCAAGGAAAACAGTAGTATTATGGAATAAAAATGTAAATTGGAAATAGGTTCTTATTATGTAATGATAGAATGAACATGAATCCTAAGTTAACACTGGTTACATACCAAATTTTGATTTCATCAAAGTAAATATCATCTTCAGGATGCTCTCTGGAGGCCAAAAACTTCTTCCAAGTGTGCATTGTGAACTGGTCCCCATGTGTCATTTTAAACAACACAAGGGCATCTTTAAGATGGATCCTATGACTTCCATTATGGTCGAGGGCCTGGAAGTCCCAGTGAGCCTTTGACTCCACTGATAGCCTCCTGGTAAGTTCCTGTAAAATACATTTTAAAGGGGTTCATGTACTTGTACATGTTTATTCTAAAGGGGCACATGTACCTGTACATGTTTACAAGGGTGTAGTCAGCTTTCAGTCAGGGGGGAGAGTGCAATCATAACTGTTATAATATATAAGAATTAGTATCATTTCAATACATTTGCTTGAATAAGTGTGTTTTAATAGTCATGATTAAAGAAGAATGAATGAAAGGCATTTTACCTGTAGCATCGGAGAGAAATACTCCTTCTGAACTCTACCCTGGCCATTCTCGCCAATAATATCCCTACTTGCTGCATTCACCTGATCCTGGCTAATCTGTGTGAAATGGAGTGTTTCGTGGAACTCCTTCAATTGTTCTAGGGTGATATATCCCCTACAAGCTGGGTCAAGTATATCAAAGATTGCACTAAAGTCTTGGACCCCCATTTTTGGTTTTGTCAAGTTATAAGGCTGAAAGTCAGAGGAGTTACACTCATTTATCTATTACTAGAATAAATGCACCTGAGACAGAATTGAACATATTTTGAAAGTAAAAAGCTTCTCGAATCAGGAAATATACTTCCACCCGGTATATGATAGCCTTATTTGATCAATTCCAAACTTACAAAGCTGGTGTTAATCAAAATGCCATCTCTATAAGATTTGTTTACACATGGCGACAGAAAAATTAAAAATTTTACCGTTTACAAATTTTTTGATAGTTTTTCTACCGTAATGTGTTTCACAAATCTCATAATCTTGTGAGGCAACAATACCAGGTATACAATTAACACAATTACCTTACACAGGACAAGCCTGGTTGATCATTTCAGTAGGTTTTATGACATTTGAGTCAACTTTTAGAAAAGTGAAAACTTTTTATTTATACTCCGGACTGAAGACATAATTGATAAATCATGACATGCCACATCCTAAAATAGTACATCTGATTCTATGACAATATTTGAGAATATCGAGAGTATGTGTTTCATCCAATGTACTACTAAAAAACTCATTTGAGTTCTTTATTACATTTCAAATTACATATTTGACTGTAGATGTCCGGTTCTGGACACAATAATAGTCTTGATATGGTACTCCAAATATATATTTGGCGTGTCATGACATAGTTAAAATGGCAACAGAAAACTTCAGAACACAAAATTGGATGGAAATAACCAAGAAATACCTTGGTAAGAGCTCGCGAAAATACTGGAAACATTTATCAAATGATATTTGGATAGTCGATGAAGGAATACGAATGTGTTTTTTGTTTGATTACTGTTCTCCCTCCCCAGAAACACTATCTGACTATGTTAGCAATTTACAAAAGTGCAAAATTATAAAAAATCGTCTGCTAATACTTCAAGTTGAACAAGATCTGTTTGTATGCAATGGGACCATTTTGGAACAAGAACTAAAAACGATACAACATAAACATTTGCTAACTTTTATTGATATATCAAAAAATCTGACAACTCCCGAAATCATTGATGCAGAAAGACATGATCATTTGTGTCGTATTATCAGTGAAATACGGAGTCAAATACAGGAGCATGACAGTGGCATTATCCTTGAAATTCAAACAAAAGTATGTGACAACATAAGTACGATATTTGGAATTCTTCTCGGATATCCTACTGTCTATTGGTATGAAAGTGATGATGCGGAAAATTGCCTGAGTATGGTGCCTCTGTGCTGTGTCAAAGTTCAAGCCTGTTTACTAACCAAACAAGACGATTCTTCACCTGCAAATGATGAAATCCATAATGTTTACCAGTTTAGCTATCCAGATGCTCTTAAAGGGATACTTCAAGAAAAAGTCAACATTTGGTTTGAAGATGTCAAGGAGAAATGCATGGGACTATTGACTGACATCAAACTGGTAACATGTGTGAATACCTTGCCAACCGTAGTGTTATAATTTGAAGACTTACAGATGGTGAAGGTCAAAGTTAATTACTCATTGACCTTAGAGACAACCTTCACTTGTTATGAAATAGAACTTATTATGTGTTAGACGTGGAAGCCCCGCCTCTAGTGACTTTTTGACTATAGGAGTTTTAATAGGGTAACAAATGGGGTCGTGACAAATCTCAGATATATAAATAAAGCCCCTAATTATGTGTCAATTTCTTTCATTGGTCTATACTGACCATTAACATTTGGTATGGCAATGGACCCAAATTTTAGGAATCGGTAGGATAATACCACAAAATATTTGTGGTATGGCATGGCCAAGTAGTTGCACATGTTCTAATTTGAGGTTGTTTTTTATCATTTCCCAGACATTTGGTCCTATATTTGGGCATTTGGTATGCCATTGGGTCACTAGTTTAACATTTACTTTGGGGTGTTATTTGCATATAGCTGCAAAGATTATTGTACGAATTGGTTGGTATGGGAACATTGTTCTCAGCCTATTTGATCACCAAAATTTGTTATCTTCCATATTAGACTTTCAATACCAATCTGCTTTAGAAGAATTTAAAATCTCATATCGTATTTGTGTAATTAAATTGATTTGCAAAATTGCAATACCATACAGTGATCTCCACAGGATTTTTTCTCAAGTGGGTGCAAAATTCTCATTTTTACAATTCAGACCAAAATCGGTCAAAATATGCCCATTTTCACGATTTTTCTCATTTTCAAGTGGGTTCAAGTGGGTTTCAGGTGGGTGCTGCACCCACTTGCTTTAATGCTGGGGAAATCACTGCCGTACCTGCCACCATTTTTGCCACACCATACCTGGTCCTTTGATCTCTATGGATTACTCACTTTTCAATGCTGGGTTTGATGGTTTTTTATTCATATACATGTACATTTATTTTTAAATGGAATCTACAGTCAAATATACACCACTGTTTTACCTCTCATTGTAAATTCAATCACAGGTGTCAATATTGTTAAGGATTATTTCAAGCAATCAAAACGTTTTTGCTTTTAGAACGAGGTGCGAGTCACTTGCCATTTACCTTCTTACCTTCCTGTCAAAGAAATGTCAAAAAATATCACACTAAAGTCAAAACTTCAGCTATATTATATAGATGGCATGGTAAAGCGTCATCGTATTTGTGTATTGACTAATCCACCACTATCAAGCACATCCACGCATGGAAAATAATCCCAAATATTTTACCATTCACATGTAAGCAAAAATCAAATTGATATAACATCAGTGATCTCTCCAGGACTTTTTCTCAGGTGGGTGCAAAATTCTCATTGTCAAAATTCAGACCAACAAAAACTGCCAATTTTTCATGATTTTCCTATTTTCAAGTGGGTGCAAATGGATTTTCAGGTGGGTGCAAGCCTATTTTCCAAATTTCAGGAGGGTGCTGTGCCCACTTGCTTTAATGCTGGGGATATCACTGAGCAGTGACAATTTTTAATGTCATTTCTTGAATCATAAAGTTCTAGTTTAGTATACAATTTGTCTACAAAGGATGATGAATAACAAACAAGAAATCAAATTTATTGTTATTTATGATAATATATTCTGAATTAAAGATATATCAATGTTGTTACATTTTGTATGCATTATCTAAGCTCCACATTTACACAAATGCAACTAAAATAAATTATTTTATAATCAACAAAATATTATACAACACTTGTGTTACAGATGTATAAATTAGTACATTTCTTTGCACAAAAATTTTTGATTTGACATTATATTGAAACAGAGCTGAAACATATACAAAATTAATGTCTAGTGAAAATAAAAATTGTCTAATTACATTGAAATAATTAATTCTGTTATCATACTCAACTTACATAATACATGTATAACTTGTGTTTTAAATTTTTTAAATTTTGCAATCCATAGAATTTGTAAAGATGGTCAATTCAAACCTTCATTGGTATGTCAATTAGAAAACAGGCACACCCCAGAGTAGGAAATACCACTAAAAAGCATATTAATATCAAATCACTTGTTATTTTGGGCATTTCATGATAGGCAGAAGTATTGTTTCCATTCGTAAAATCTACACTCGTGACATGGCGTGATAGCATACAAGTAAATCATTAACAACAATATTCAATGATATAAGAAGGTATTCACAAATATCTGTCAAATTAATTACAGTAGAACCTGTGTAAGTGGAACACCCTCCGTTCTTAGGAGGTGTTCCACTTACAGAGGTTTTGGGTTCGCGGGGATTTAAAGAACATACAAGACGAAATATAGGGTTTATATGTATCGCCGGAAATATGATTCTCCATTCATTGCAGGGCAGCTATATACCATTAACTATCCATTTGTTTAACTCAAAAAGGTTTCTGACATTCGTAATCCTCCTCATTCTGCCAAAAACGTTTTCTGACATTCTTAATCCTCCTCATTCTGCCAGTCTCAGACAAAACGATTTAGCAATTAAGTTTTAAAAACTTGTTCCTACTGCTAATAATTCATTTGTTTTAAACTGACAAGTTTGAAACAAACAGCAAGGGGTATTAATTAGTGGTAGCATCACATGTTCATCTCTACAGGAGGTTAATCTAATTTGCTGAATGGTAATCTTATGAAATCCTAATAATCAAATTAATTAGTGGTAGCATCACATGTTCATCTCTACAGGAGGTTAATCTAATTTGCTATATGGTAATCCTATTTTGCCAATTATCGCGTTATTACCTTTTTTTATACCCATATATCACTGTAGGAGGTTAATTTTGTTTACATAAGTATCAATATTGAAATTTATGGAAAATTGACTGTTCCACTTAGCAGGTTAATTTTTCACTGTTCACTGTTCAAGTTTGGAGGTGTTCCACTTACAGAGGTTCAATTAACATTAAGTCAATGGGTTTTTAAAATGGGACTTTGAAAAAGCGTTCCACTTGTGAGGTGTTCCACTTACGGAGGTGTTCCACTTAGCAGGTTCTACTGTAGTCTCCATTGTACATAAATAGTGAAAATGCAAAAAGCACCAAATTAAAAAAATTTACATAACTATTAATGGTATGCTATATCAGTGCATTTAAAAATCTAGTAACATAGAAGACTTGGGTTTTTAAGTGTGTCTCCCTTTTCCATGTTGTTTAGTTTCAGTATGTGTTTTAATGGTACCGTGAATACATTTACTTGGACATTTTTGTTGACTTACACAACAGACTAATTGGTCACCAGAAAAGGCAGTATTGCTGGACATATTTTTTATAGTACATTACATATACACCCAGAACATTTGCCCAGTTAATATTTATTTCAAAGCCATGATCAAATAAGACGCTTTGTCACGATTTCATCATAATAATCGTTTTTGCTGCAGCATTATACTTTTGTATAGTCCTGTACAATGTTATTACAAGCAACAAGCCTTCGAATTCAAAACAAAGTGTGGATATAACAAGCTGTTCACGGCATGTACATATAAGGGCTCCTCAAGAGTGAGTATTGAGGTCCCTGTACTTTTAGAGTTTCAATATTGTCACATCACACATTTAAATTTTACGAACCATATGTGATCAGTCAGATGAATGCCCAAAATTTTCACTTGCCAGCATTTATAGTTATGTGTGTACTCATGGAGGCTGGGGGGTAATTTTTACCTCTCAGAACTCCCATTTATTAGTAAATATTTAACAGTGAAGTAGCAGAGTGTACATGATAAAACAAAGAATAAGGTCCCAGAAATATACAAATAAATAGTCTTTAATAACAACCAAATTGCCTCTATATGTTGTAGTTGACTGTTATGTAAACATGTGATCTCAGAAAGTGATGTGTGTAATCTGGAGTAAATATATGTATTCATGTACCAGGTACAGAATCTGATTTTCAACTCAGAAAAGCGTGAAACAATCAATTTTTTACATGATCTTTCAAAGCATAAGGTTTTTTATGTTAACACATACAACAGCTGATATAAGGCAATGGTTTTCACAAAAGCATGTAGATTAACAATATATAACTGTTCAACAAGTACATCTAATCAACCAATAACAATTTCCTTTGCATACAATGCAATAATAGCAACACAACAATTGACTATTATTGTCCTCATTTGTTCAAGGTTTCAACACATAGATCAATTGTAACCCTTTATGACAAAAATACACATACATGTTACGACCAAGCTTTTATGGTATCTTAAACAGGTACAATATTAACCAATAGAAACAGTTCAATTGTCAATCAGTCTTAATTGTGGAACTAAACCACAATGTGCAGTAATTCTGAAAATATGTTACATGAAGATCAAAGGCATATGATACAGCATTCTACAATTTCAATTATATTCTAGATTTACCATTTCATTGTTTTGCTACAAACAACAAAGACGAACAGAATCCATACTTTATCTAATAGTGTCAACAGTCAACACTGTCTTACCTATAGCTTGTTACCAAGTAAATACAATCATCCCAAATAATCTTCCATCAAACATATGTACTTTAAAAAAAACAATAGCTGTGTGATGGGATAGGGTTTAGTCCATACATAGTGCAAGAGTAATCCGCTTCCAACTTTGCATATACATGTAAAATCTTTGGAATATTCTTGAATATAAACAGTTGTACAAAATGAAATCTACATCAGACTCACCCTGATTCCACAGAAATGTCTACTATAATGTCTGCTTTAGATAAGCTGTACAAGTTATTTTAGTCTCTACAGATGCACTCCATCTTTTGGAAAAAAAAAGTAAACAGAACATGGCTATACATGTACTTATAAGTCATATCCAAGCATCTATGTAGATGTACATTGTGTGTTTTTTTAGTTCTCTGAATCAGAATCTTTCCTGTTGGCATTTTTCTTGAATGAGTCTATATATTCCACTTGTGACTGTGCAATGACTTGTGCTAAGACATCATCATCTCCCCAGTCTGAAATACCTGCAAGTAAAACACAACAAATTAGAACAAGGTATTTACATGCAAAATGTCACCACCTGCCATTTGTTACAGATGGCAAAGGCTAACCATTGAACACCTTCCACAAAAAAAGTTGGTGACTCCAACAAAATGTCAGGAGGTGACATAAAAATGAAATATACAAGATATTGTTTTCAAGAGGGGCTAGGATTTATTTGATTTTTGTTCTTTGAAGAACTCTTGAATAGAATAACACAAGGGACTAGGTTAAATATGAAGCATCTTTTGTGAAACTTATTCTGAAAAAACGGGAGTTTTTATGGTAGATTTTGGAAAAAACGGCAGTTTTTACGGTAGATTTCTGAAAAAACAGGAGTTTTTACAGTAGATTTCTGAAAAAAACGGGAGTTTTTACTTAGATTTTGAAAAAAACTGGAGTTTTTATTGTAGATTTTGAAAGAACTGGAGTTTTTACGGTAGATTTCGGGAAAAACAGGAGTTTTTACTTTAGATTTTGAAAAAACGGGAGTTTTTAAAGTAGATTTTGAAAGAACGGGAGTTTTTATGGTAGATTTCGGAAAAAACGGGAGTTCTTACGATGGGTTTCTGAAAAAACGAGTGTTTTTACGGTAGATTTTCAAAAAAACGTGAGTATTTACGGTAGATTTCTGAAAAAAAACAGGAGTTTTTACTGTAGATTTTGAAAAAACGTTAGTTTTTACGGTAGATTTATGAAAATTACGAATTGATCAAAGCTAAGTAAAATGTATATGTGGCGTTCACTATATGCTAAGAGCAATCTGCGTGAGGTTCCACTTTTAGGTTCGGTTTTTTCGCACATGAGCATTAAATCCAGCGATTTAATTGGTTGAAATTATTTTGACGCATGCGCAGTTAATAAATTAATTAGAATTAGAATCCAAATCTAAGATAGATGTCACTTAAGTTCATTATTTTATTGCGGGAATATTTTGTTTAGTGCCATATAAAAACAAAATGTATTCTCCCGACAGAAGTATGACAGAATATGAACTGGCCCCCGTTTGTGGACATTTGGTGTGCAAACTTATACCAAACTGATCGCAGAAAAGCAATTTGAATCATGGGAATGAAGTACTTTTAAGTTATTTATGAAAGTATCAATAGTGAACTATGGGAGCCAATCCTTCTTGGAGTAAAAGAAAGAAGCGTGCCCGCAATAATCAAGGTCACAAATTTGTCAAATTCCTTTTAAATACGGTAGATTTCGACAGCAAAAAATGGAGATTTTATGGGAGTTATACCAAGAATACGGGAGATTTTACGGGAGTAATACCAGAAAATGGGAGATTTTACTAGAGTTATACCAAGAATACGGGAGATTTTACGGGAGTTATACCAGAATACGGGAGATTTTACGGCCATATTTTTACAAAAAATTACGGGAGATTTTAGTAGAAATACGGTACGAGAGTTTACGGGAGTTTTTACAGGAGAAAACGGTGAGTTTGGTATTTTTTACGGAAGAACAAAAAATGTACGGGAGATTCCCGTAAAAAAACGGGAGGTTGGCAAGTCTGCAAATGTAATAAAACACATTCCAACATTAGCAAAAACTTATTTTAATATTTGGCAATTTTATTTAAAAATGCCATATATCGAGATCTCTAACAATTTTTAACAAATCAAAATGACCTTTTTGAAATTTTTTATCGAGATTTTGAACAAATGAAAATGAACTCTTTGATATTTGGCCAACTTCTCAAAATAAGAAAAAAGATCTCTCCTATTATCAAAACATGCAACAAATTTTTAGAAGATTTGAAATTTGAATTTTATTGACATATACTCTTCCATCAAATTTCTATAGTATTAATAATCAGGCAAAGCTGCTCGCCATCCAAGCTGTAACTCATCACTCAACAGCGCCACTAAAATAAAATAATCCTCATCATCCGCAAGATTCACATTCTCATCAGGGTCGATATAGTGGTCATAGAGCTCATTTGCAAACATTAGGTCCCAATCAGGAATGGAAATGATCGAGTCGAAGTACACCCATTCAGTATACCTGTATCTTTCTGTACGCATACTGTACCCCATTAATGGCCCAAAGTCAGTACTGTCACGGAGGTACTGCATGAAAACATTTGTCTTGCCAGGATGACTTGGGTTGCTCATCAAGGACACAAGGCTTGTACCTTCAGTGCAGGCTTGTGGGATGGGGCCAATTAGTGGACAAAGGGGGACAGCTGGGAGCTCAGCTAGCTCAACCAGGGTGGAGTAAACATCTGCAAATTCTACAAGGTGGTTCGACACCAAACCTTGATCTGTAAGGCCAGGGGCACGGAACATTAATGTAGCCCGAGTAGACAGTTCAAAGTTATCTCCTTTACCCCAGGCTGTGTGTTCATACAAATTCCAGCCATGATCACTACCAAACATCACAATTGTGTTGTTCCGAAGACCTAATGCATCAACCTCTTCCATCACCTGGCCAAATAAGTCATCAACATAGCTGATGGAAGCATAGTATGCCCTGCGGAGATCTAGAACCAGTTCATTTGGCCATGTGGCATTGGGGCTACCTGACAGACCCAAATCACCGATATCAGTATATCTAAGTATTTCCCGATTATAAGACCAAGCATACTCTGGCATGTTTTGTGGGACATATGGGTTAGAAGGCTGTTTAATGTCACTCAAAGGATAATACTCGAAGTATCTTTCAGGGAATATGAATGGCAAATGAGGCAACCTGAACCCCATAGCCATAAAGAAGTTTTCTTCTCCATTGATAGCCTTAGGTGCGAGACGTCTCAAAGTTGTTATCGCATTATCAGTTAATTCCTGGTCGCCCAAAGGATGCTCCTGTTCCAAAGATTGATTGATGGCACCCCAGGTTTTTTCGAATTGTTTGGGCATCCAATAGTTTAAATCACTAGGTGAGTGATAGTATGGTTCATCATCTGACCATGATGGAGGGTCGTCATATCCACCAGCAGACCCAGGATGAAAGATCTTCCCCATGCCAAGTGTACGATAGCCTTGTTGCTTAAAATACTGTGGGATAGTTGTGAAATCTCCCCCGACATCTCTGAAATAGTCATTAAGGTTGTAAACCAATGTTGTATCAGGACGTCGACCAGTCATAAATGAGGAACGGCTCGGGCTGCAGAGAGCTTGCTGTACGTAGGCTTTCTTGAATACAGCACTCTGTTCAGTGAAAGCGTCCAGATGGGGTGTATACATCTTGTCATGCATTTGTCTATATGCCCCATTATCGTACAGTGCTGCTATCTCAGGCCTCAGGTCATCTGAGACAATAAACAGAACATTCTTCCTGGCTTCAGACTCCTGGTAGAAGAGAATCATCAACAATGCTTGTATCAACCACATAATTCACAGCTTCTGGTTTTAACTGCAGTTAAAATTTTAAAAAATCTTCCATATTGTAATCTCACAACTTCAATCATTTCTTTTATTGCTTGTAATCAACTAACTGACATATTTATGTTATCAACTGACGTATGTAATAAATGGCAAATGTAAGAGAAGTAGAAAAACTCTCAGTGCTAAAAGATATAAAATAGCCATCCCAATGAACAAAACATTTTCTATTGAATCATTCCTCATTTTAAACCTTTCATAACAGAAATAACCAGAAAGTAGAATTGTCTCATTTTGGCAAATATTCAGCATATAATATTGTAGCAACCTAGTAGTATTTAAAAAAAACATCAACTTTTTATAAAAAAAAACAACTGTGGGTCCTTAATTTGAACAGAACTTTTGAATCAATTAAACTCCTAATTTTAAAAAGCTGTCAGGTAGACTGTCTTCAAATCCAAAGCATACATTCTTCACTATACACAGGTTTTACTGTATTTGGAAAATACTTCTGCATTGATCATTCAGTATCAAAGTTATCACCCAGACAGAAGAATGGATGGACAGACAGGATACTTTTCTATTGAATTATTACACCAAAAGTAGTGCGAAAATGGCCTTTTCAAGTGTCTATACTAGAGGTGTCAAGTATTAACCGGTTAACCGGTTAACCGCCGATAATGCCTTGACCGGTCTGTGTTTTAATGGGCGGTTAGTTGACCGTGTATAATTCTGTGATTTCCTGCGCTTATTTTGCATGCTAATCCGTTTGGTTTTATGGTGTCAGTTTCACGTAAGCTACTCATACATGTCATAAGTCCTATACCTCCTTACAAACATCCAATCAGCAACTTTAATCCCTGCCATATTGCTTTCCCGCGCTTACTTTGCATTTTAATCTGTTTGTTTTTCAAGCGTCAGTTTCATGTGAGCTACTCATACATGTGATAGGTCCGATAATTCCTTACAAACATCCAATCAGCAACTTTAATCCCTGCCACATTGCTTTCCCGCCCTTACTTACATAGAATAGAGTAAAGCTTGACGAACGTAAAAAATAAACGCCGATATATCATTTTTCCAATTTGTTTCAACTTTCAAGATCGAAGATGAAGATTTCATTTGAAATTATCAGTTCAAATTTCCCGCCGGTTAACCGACTTTAACCGGTAAAAAACCCCGGTTAACCGGTTAATGCTCAAGCGGTTAATTGACACCACTAGTCTATACCCTTACCCAAACTGTTTGGTGGGATAATAGCACTGGGCTACTTTTTATCACTTGCACTCAACATGCTTAGTCATCATATATCGGAGAACTAGTGTTGTCGCGATTAATCGATACATCGCGATATACATCGCCAAAGCTGATTCTGGCGATGCATCGATGTCTGAAACAAAACATCGATGTTTTTGAAAAAAATTAATTTGCTAAAAATCACCCTTTCTTATCTTATTTTGACGCAAATCGCTTACCTTTCTCATGTCTTATTTCATTTTCCAATGTTTTCTGATATTCTTTCGCTTTAAAACTGTTTTAGCTATTCGTAATGAACCATTAATCTAAAAAAATTACTTTACTTTCATTTCACCTTTCTAGAAGTTCCCGGATGTACCGGATGTTCGGTATTTTAGTGCATTAGCGTTCGGTATTTCAGTGCACTTTTCTCGGACTTTTTCTCGATGTACATCGCGATGTGCATCGATGTTTACTACTGAAAATTGCCGATGCATCGATGTACGATTATGGCACATCGCGACAACACTACGGAGAACTAACATTTGTTTTTACTTTTTATCACTTGTACTCATATTTATTACTTGGGTGTATGTCGGAGAACTAACATTTGTTTTTACTTTTTAACACTTGTACTCATATCTATGACTTAGGTGTATGTTGGGGAACTAACACTTGTGTCTGCTTTTAATTTCCTCCGCTCAAATGAAATAATGTCACATTGCGATTAAAAGTGCAGATAAAAGTAAGTATTTATTTCAAGCCATACGTAATAATATAAGGGTTGTGTACCAGGAGGTTGAGGATCCTATATTAGGTTCAGGATATTAGGATTCCAGAGGCCATTATAATGTGCCTACTATTCATTTCCACAATACATGATATTTTCTGGGTGGATCTAGAAATGTTTGGAAAATGTCATTTTCCACAAAACCTGATTTATGTCATATAAATAATTTTCCGCTAGTTTTTCCCCCAAATTTTCCTTCTTTGATCAGTAATTTGAGATTTACTCCTCACTTCTAGGCTGAAGTTGATATTCAAGCTTTCTGAATATTTAGTTGCACTTGAATTCCAGGGAAAAGTTATTGTAAGAGCGCTAAAAAGGTAAACTTACTAAAATGGTAAAAATTCAATGGTATTTTTTAATATGGAAGAGTTTTCTTAGTTAATTTTTAATCTTTTATGAATGAATGAAGAATTCTTAAGCAGACTACTTTAAATAACTAGGTGGTACAGCTACTACAATAAAAATGTATCTCGTAAATCTTGTATGTTATGTCCTTACCGAGTACACCAGGGGGTATTGGATCCATAAGCGAAGATGTTTCTCCAAACATCCCTCCCACTGCTCCTCCTACAGCACCCCCTGGTGGCGAGGGACTCCTCTGGGAGGATGTGCCTTGAATTGGCTCCGTCTCTACCTTAGGAGATTTTGGAAGCATGATGGACCCTAAAATACACATGATGTTTTGTAAGTTAATAGAATTATTACCCCCCCCCACAATCAGCGTGTCTTTCAAATTTCTTTTTTTAATCTTTTTTCAAAAACTCATATAAACATGTATGATTGTAAATAAATCCAATTTTAATGTAATAACTCTATACTGAAATAAAAAGAAATCGAAAAAAGGTTAAAGATCTCATGAATGTGTTTTCCACAGGAACTGGCAAGATACTAGTATTCCAATATTAGAAGACAAAATGAATGTGTGCTATCAATCAGTTTTAGTTACTCAAAAGTGTCATGAGAACATTTAGTACTAGAGAGATTTCTTTTGAATTTGAAATTTCGCAAAAAGATGTATGTACATGTAGAGAACTGTATACTTTATCGACCAATTCTAATGTTTTCTTCACCGAAAATAAATAATTTCCTCCTTCAAATTCCCTGTCTATAAGGTGGATTGGATGACTTCATACTAAGTATCACTATGCTTCCTTAATCCTTATCAATAACGATGTCTAAACACGATAAAGAATTACTCACCGTTTTAAACATGCTATAAGTGCAATGCAAAACATCTTTATTTATTTAACTAGCTTACCAGGTAGTAATGTGTTCATGTCTGCAGGGCTGTGAGAGATAGGTTCATCCTCCATTGCTGGGTCTTGGCGAAGGGGGCTGTTCTGGAGAGAATTGTTAGCACTTCTATTACGTGGTGACCTTGCACCTCGACCAGTTGGGGATTGCATCGCAGAGAAGTTGTCCCACCAACCATGAGCTTCAGCTGCTGAACTACATGCTGCACTTGCAGTTTGGCTCTGTAATGTAACAATAATTTGAAGAATCTACATTGATTATTCCAAACAAGACATAACATGCAAAATGTCACAGTTGGCATTTGTTATAGACACCAAACTCTGAACACCATCCACAAAAAAGTAACAATATGTCACCACTTCTGGTAGTGACATAATGAGAAGTAATTTGGTATGATCCTTTCTGAGAATCTCTTATATTCTATCCCATTAATAAACTGTAACTTGGATTACAACTAAATTTGGCACATTGAGCTAAGTTTAATTTCTCTTTTTTTAAAATTAGACCCTTTTTGTTTTGAAAATGTTACCAGGCTCCATCTTCACCCTCTATAAAATTCAAATTGCTAAATTCGCCAAAATAAAATAAAATAAAACAATTTTTGTTTTTGTGCAATATTTTAGGTTTTTGTATTTTCTAGTGCTACATTTTAGGATTTTGTATTTTTTGTGCAACATTTTAAAGACTTTTATGTTTTTTTTATAATGATTTTAGAGAGCCCTGACATAATTTCTATGCTGAGTTGCCTACAGCCTACCCCATTGTATATCTAAAATCAGATGTGTTAACTACTAATAACTTACAGGTCTATCTTTCATTGCTCTTTTTTCGTTATCCCTGCACCATTGCATGTAGGACTCCCTGGCCACCTGCTCTTGTATTGTCTCCTGGGTCACCTCCCAGTCTGTCTCCTTCTTCTTATCCTCCAACATTTGCTACAAAGACAATAGGTACATCCATACTTGATTCCACACACTGTCCTCCCACAATGAGTTTTGATGCAGATACAATCTTAAAGGAACATTCCTGGCCAAACCTTTTCTATCCTTATGTGATAGCTATAATCATATATATACTTTCCATATTTCGCAAAACACCAGGAAATGTTTTAATATAGTCAATATTGATAATTTAAAAATGTAGTGCTCATTTCCAGTAAGCTGCCATCTTTTAAGATTTTACTCAGGAAGTGATGTCATTGACTCTCAACTTCCATGACCTTGCATATAACAGTATTGAGAAAAATTGAGAAAGAATGCACAAAATTGAGAAAGAATGCACAGCTGGTTTTTGTAATTCTTAATAGCTCCTTATAAAGTTATATGCAAAGTTGAGAGTTGATGACATCACTTCCTTAGTGAAATACTAAAAGATGGCAGCCTACTGGAATTCGGCACTACATTTTCAAGTGATCAATATTGACTATATTAAAACATTTTTCCCTGTTTTGCTAAATATGGAAAGTATATATTTGGTTATAGCTACCATATTAGGAGAGAAATGGTCTGGCCAGGAATGTTCCTTTAATGATTTCAAATGAAAATGTCATGGACTTTAATTGGAGTCTGAATGTGGACCATGAAGTGTCATGATTTTGTACAATTATGGACTACAATCATTCTTATTGAATATAGGATAATTTAAATAATAATCTCTAATAAAATAATACTAAAGAGTGTAAACATGAAGTCAATTTTTGACAAGGGTATATATAAAGTGTCAAAAATAGAAGATATCAAAATGGTGTATTTGAGACCTAAAGGTATTTAAAGACTTATTTTTGATGATTTGGACGTTATTTTGTAAACATTGACCCAACACAATATAATAAAAAACACTTCTATTTGAGGTACAGTTAAATCAAATTTGATAATAAATAATTCACATTTAAATAACAAGATAAAAAACATATAGCGATTTTCTCATAAAAAAAGAGGGAAACTAAATGATAAGACAAACCTGTTCAATATGATGAGCTTCTGATGTTATCTTGGCTTGTGTTAGCAAGTTTTTATCTGCTGCCTGTACAATAAAAAAAAAAAAAAATCATTTATGCATTGATCATAGTGTTCCCCATTAGCAGTGGGCAATTTTGAGAAATACCAAAATGGGTTGTTGTTTTGAGGAATTTTGCAACTTAGTGTTTTCATGTTAAAATTATAGTTTTAATAATTCGCCTGTTGTTTTCCTTCTCTCACCTACTGATAAAAATTCTTATGAAACTCCATGTGTTTACCCCAAAGATTTTTCATATCAGACATGAAAATATGGAACCAGATTGTCTTCGTTCCAATTTGACAGCAGAAACAAGCATTCAATCAATGCTGATTTTTTCAATCTCTTTTGCAACATTCATAATTCAATAATCAACAACGTACCCCAGGTTGGTGTCCTGGTAGACCCAGACCGACTCCTATAGTCGCAGAATGTGGGTCTACAATGGAGTTGTAGTGCTGACCTCTATGGTAACTTAACCTTATGGGTGCATTCTCCGTTTTGTATGCGCCATGAAATGTATTGATTGGTTCTGAAATAAGATAAATCTATAATGAATATATAATAGTAATAACCAGGAAAAATATAATTTGTGATGACCAAGCTCAGCAAACTGTGATAAAATTGACCAGCCAGCCACTGCCAGATACTGATCATGTTATATATACGAGACATTGCAAATACTAGCCACTGACTAGTCCCTTGAGATAATGCCCTTTCTCATTGGTGATAAATAAAATACATTACAGAATATTTACAGATGGATATTCTGAAAGTTTCAAATTCCGCCTTTCCTGTCCCAGAACATTCTTTGTTAACCAATATTACTACATCAATTCTGTACTATTGTACTTTTTTTACACATATACTGTCTAGTATATATCTCTTAGTAAATGAAGATTGGTAAAACTGTCAATCAACATATTGAAAGTGCAAAAAAGGATAGAAACCAGTTGAAAGTAGCTTCTTTGAATAATGTCGCAATATTTTTACAGCTCTGTTGTAGTACATTTTTAGAAATTGTTTCAATGTCATAATGCTTTGATTTTTAATCTTAGTTTCATGGAATCCCGTTTTACGAAAAAACTGAAATTCTCGTGAATTGGACTTTTCTGTCTTGTAAATCCTCAACAATTTTCACATTTGAGGTGTTCAGAAAAACAGATTTCACTGTACCTAGGCTTGTCACATTATGTTTACGCTGGGCATGAGACTAATACCCTAATATTATACTAACCTAGGCTATATTGATATACTTCAATGGGACGATTATAAACCTCACTAAGTGCCTGCATCTCAAGATGGTTACCATGGCAGTTAGCACTACGTTTACGGTTAAGATACTGTGTAAAATCCTCAGTGACATACTGGGAAAAAAAGTCTATATTCATTGCCATGTGATCTACGCAGTTCTTCCTCACAATCGAGTGCATTTCTTGATCGCCAAAAACTTGATCAGCTGGAATTAAAGATAAAGCAATGATTTAGGCTTACATGGTGTATAATTCATTGCGAAAAAGGTTAATATTATGGCATGGCATTTCTTATATACTACAGTCATAGTCATATCAGATGCAACACAAACAACTAAAGGTTTGAACCAATTAAATTTTTTCTTTGTTCCACTAACCAGAATTTTCTGCAATAATGGATTGAAAATATTTTTCTCTATCAATAAAAGCTACCAAGGATATTGATGGAACATGTATTTTTTGAAGAAAATATTGAAATCAGACATGTTTAGATTACACCCTCAAAGGTGAATTTAACCTCATAAATTCATAACATGCATACCTATCGCACGGAAGAGACAAGCGCCATCTTCTCCCATTCTTTTTATAATCAGTCCAAACTTCTTTTTTAAAGCCATTTCAAACCAAGCCTCCAACTGAAAGAAAATCCAAAAATATGTTACTTATTTCAGCTTATGAGAATATCTGAATCTGTGTGTTGTAAAAATATAAGACTATAACAATATGTCACCACTTGTGGTCAATGTGGTGGTGAGATAAAAATAAGTAATAAAGAGACCAAAGTGCAATATTATCTGGAAAATAACTTCCATGTAAAATGTTTGTATATTTCAGATCAATTGGTTTTATGTACAACAAACTTGTGGCCTAATAATTTAGGGAATTTCAGTCATGTGAATTTTTTGCGAAAATAAAATGACAGCAAAGCTTCAAAATATGAGAGGCCACACAATGCATGTATTTTATAAGCCAAACCACAAGTAATCCAATATACATCTTGCATGTAAAATATGAATATATTTATCCATAATATTGCACTTTAGTTAGTATGGTTACCTCTTTCAAAGGTTACCTGACTGGCCTCATAGAACAGCCTTTGCTCATCTTCAATAGGCCACTTGAGAATAGTGACAGATGAAAACGACACTTTATATTTCCAAATGTTCCCTACATCTTCATCCTCTGTTTGCAAAAGTCTGTAAGTTATCAGCTGCTTTTATGTAGATCAGGACTTGTCTTTATCCCCAAGTGAACATTTTCTAGCGAGAAATTAAAATGGTGGTTTTTACAAAAATTCACAAAGTGATGTTCAAAATCTCCTAAGATATCCGAATTAACTTAAAAAATGGCTGAACTTCCACCTCCGGTAGCTCATAGATTTTTTTCAACTGAGATTTCAAACGCTGGTTCATAAATATCTGTCAACACTGCCATTTTGATTTCTTGCTAGATTTCGGGCTCAAGACAAGTCCTGATCACAGCATCTGATATGTTACAGACTTTTGCAAAATGGAGGATATACAGGGTGTTCCAAAAGTAACAGGACTGGTGCTGGCATTTTGTCAATTTTGACATGAGTGTCTTGAAATTTTCACAAATTGTACTTTGTAGTATTGCAACTAAAGTTGTAAAGTTTCAGAAGAAATTATGAAATGCAGTCAGAGTTATGGTTATTTTGGTAACATGACATCCCAATACCCGGGGAAACTTTTTTTCCTGAAAATGTGATATCTAACATTTTTGTACTACTGAAGAACGTATCTATACTATTCACCTATTATAATACAACATTTCTTGTTTATTTAATTAGTTGCTTTGTTGTAAAATGTTGCTATACAACTCAGATTCAAGTATAATTTCATAATAATAATATTTATTCAATTTCCTGGAATATCATTATGTACAACAGTGAATAATTCACGGTTGAGTTTTTGAAAAGACTCAATTTGAAGCCAGTCATCCACCTTGATAGCGCGCCTGCCCGCAGTTCACCATTAAAGACCATGCAGCTATAGAGGAGCTAGGTCCTGGGGTCTAAAACCTCTAAAACCCTGCACCATACTCTTCTGACCATGCAATATCTAATTTTTACTTATATTGAGAACGGAATGCTAATCAGTGCCGTAAGACCTTTAAAGATGAGAATGCCCTTCTCCAAACTGTCCAATTGACCTTGCGTGACATGTGCTCAAATGGGTTCACTCATGTGTTTGGGTCATGGATACAGAGTACTACTCTTGTACTGACCAAAGAGGAGCCTATTTTCAAAGTAGAGGATACATAGGAATATCAAATGATGTAAAACAAATGTAATTCCCACCAGTTATTGCATTTCAACTTTGATATGGCATGTACAAAATGATATGGGATGTACAAAATGCTTAATGTCTCAGTAACTTTTTACGTGGAATGTTGCCCCGGGTATTGTGATGTCATGTTACTATAGCAACCATAACTCTACCAGAGTTTCATATATTTTGTCGAAACTTTGCAGTCTTAGTGACGATACATGAAAGTACATTATGTAATATTTTGAAGACGATTGGTGCATATTTAACAAAATGCCAGCACCAGTCCTGTTACTTTTGGAACACCCTGTAGATATAGGGACTTACTTCCTGCGAAAGCTATTTGGATTTTGATATAATAGCTTTCCCACGGAGCATTTGGACAGCTCATCGAGATCTCTGATCGACTTAAGGTGCTATGGAAGTTAACAGGAAATGACAAAACAGGAAGTGACAAGTGATATTTTTTGAATAAAAATAACAGAGTTCTGGTTTGAACTCCAGTCAATTTAACTATTTCCACATATCATTTACATGACCAGGATCACAATGTGCATGGTCAGAATGACCCTAAACATGATGAAATAACCTTTTTAGCCCTTTGAAAGTGTGACTGAAAAAAAGCTAAAAGTAGGAGCGTAGGGATAGTCACTGAACAGAATCTTTTGAATTTTTCAGAAAATGTGCCCAATATAATGCTCTAACTAGTACAATCTTTGAAATTTTAGAAAATTGTCTTAAGGACAGGGTGCATGTTGGGAAATTTTCTGCATTCCTCAATTGAGTCACATGTTATTTTTCAAACATGAATAACTCCTTCCCCACATTGTCTACATCTTCCAAGTTTTCACAAAGAGTGCATTTCTGTGCCTAGAAAAGCCTTGTGAGAAGGTTTATTTTGTAAAATGTATAAAAAATGAGAAAATTTAGTGAAAAAGTTTTTTAAAAATTTTCTGATTTTTTTCACTGAATTTTCTTGTTTTTTATACACTTTATCAAAACAATCTTCTCACAAGTCTTTTCTAGGCACATAAGTGCACTCTTTGTGCAAAACTGGAAGATATAGACAATGAAGGGAAGGAGTGATTCTTGTTTGAAAAATAACATGTGACTCAATTGAGGAATGCAGAAAATTTCCCATCATGCACCCTGACCTTAAACAAAAATGGCAGTCATAAAAAGGAAAATAGATCGCTTTTAAATCAGTTTTTTCATTTTTTTTCTTTTTCTATGAATGATATCAAATTTTCAAAGATTGTATCATTTAGAGCAATATATTGGGCACATTTTCTGAAAAATTCAAAAGATTCTGTTCAGTGACCTTCCCTACGCTCCTACTTTTAGCTTTTTTTCAGTCACACTTTCAAAGGGCTAAAAAGGTTATTTCATCATGTTTAGGGTCATTCTGACCATGCACATTGTGATCCTGGTCATGTAAATGATATGTGGAAATAGTTAAATTGACTGGAGGTCAAACCAGAACTCTGTTATCTTTCCTCAAAAAAAATCTAAAAATGCAAAAAAAATTGTCACTTCCTGTTTTGTCATTTCCTGTTAAGTTCCATAGCACCTTAATTCGATTTCAAAGGTCACAATCGATGAGCTGTCCACTTCTCCGTTTGAGAGCCATAAGTTTCAAAATCTAACATGGCTCTCGAAGTGAGTAAATAGGGACCATATGAAGATATAAAGTAAGCAGCTGATTTCAGTATTTCTAGTGGTCTATATGGGGCAGTTTATCGAGGTCCACAACTCGAAGTAAGTTGTGGACCTCGATAAGGAGCAGTGAAAAGCTGTTCATTCAGATCAGTAAGCCTTTGAAAGAGGTAGCACAGTGCTCTTTTGATTGCTTATTGACATCACAACTAAACTGAAATAGACTGTAGATAATTGCTATATGTACATTATGTTAAATTTGTTAAATCCAGGCTAGTCGTAAACAACAGAATATACCTCTTCAATATTATCAGGACAGTTTGGAGCTGTGTATTCATCTTCACTATTATAGCCCGATGTCGACTGAACCTCCATATCTTGCGATGTATGGGGTGTTGAGGTAGTAAGACTGCTAGACGGAGCTGCATCACGTCTTTCATGGCGATGTTTACGGTTATGGCGATGACCATGGGGAGGTGAACGATGTCGCCTTTTATGAACTGCCCTTGGTCCTTCATCATAATCCTCAAAGCCTGCACTTAAAGCACCCCCTGAATCGTGAAAGTTCACTCTATCGTCTCTGGCCCCTGAATTTGCCCATCTTGGAGGGGAATTTCTGCTACGCCCCCTAACGTCAGGGTGACCTGTTGAAGTATGTGGGTGACTGTGGGTATGTGGCAACTTGGAATGGTCACTACTTTCAGCTTCATTTTTGTCCTTGGAAGCTTTTTTCTTCGGTAATATTGTCATCCTTATAGTTTTCTAGTATGTAACCTATTAAATGAGCATAATAATGACCGTTTATTTGTTCAGAGTGAGGTGGTTTTGGTAAAAGAAAACCAGAAAAAAATAAAAATAATTTTCTGAATAATGGCGATCACGTGACGTCATGAAAATAAATCACCGCGCCCTCTTTTGTTTACCAATAATTTCGTTCGGTGCAGTTACTTATTCCCGGGGTTTCTCCAAGGCAAGGATCCATTTTTTGCCATGGAATTTAGTTTACACAGTTTCTGCAAAACTGATATATTTTGACCTCTTTTTCTAAATATAGAATTTAACAGCTAGGCCTACAAAATGTTATTTTCTGTTTATAATGCCTAAGTTTTTGTACTGTGAAAATTTGGAGATAAGTAATATTTGCCAATTATAAAAGTTAGTGTGGAATATTATTGCACACAAATATTACAAAGGGTATTGTAGGGGAATGCTAATTAAATGTAAGAGCAATAGAGCATAATAATAATAATAAAAAAAGTGTCATTCTCCATAGAATCCATGGTATAGCTCTGGATCTTAAGGCATTGCCCTCAAAGGTCGGTCAATGTTTGTAGTGTCCATGTCAACCAAATAAGGCTGTGTCAACTTTCTAATCAACATGCAGTCCCTGCAGTAAATCTGCATTTCTTATTTTGCTTCTGAAGGGGTTAAAAATATCTTCTTTGGAACGGGATCCCTTTTATCATGTTCTTGGCTATATTGTATTTTGAGTAATTAAAGTTATATTTTTTCCAATTTTAGAATTTACAACACGTTCATTGAGGAACATACACGATGAAGCTACCAATCTTCCATATATTTGCTAGACAAGTTTTCATTAAAAATGCTGGTCCATCATGTTCTTTTCAAATATTATTTCACTTGATCATGGTACTCGAGAGGGTTAATATGAATGCAACTGGTTTTAATATGCAACATCGATAGTAACTCACTTAATACACATGATACAGTACAGTATGTATATTCAAGGAGTTGCTGAAATTTTTAACCCATTTTTTTCTTCCATGGTGAACTGGACATGAAGTATGTGAATTACAATTTGGGTTATCTTTCACAAATGGCAGTTACATACTGACATATGACAATTGCAAAAACACTGCCGACTGAAATATTGGCAGGGAATTTAGGGACAATGATTTGACTAAGATTAATTTGGCGGATTTGTAATATTACAATGTACTAATGGTACTAATTTAGATGGTATTAAAATTACCGGGGAATTAATTTGGTGGACTATCACAAATCCCATTTCAATTACAAAAGAGCATGTATTTTTTTTATTATTCATACTTTAGATTTATTACAATGTTTTATATTAATATGTACATGATGTTTGAATGTAAGGATTGTATATCATACATATCATATTACAATCTATATATAGAAGAGATTTACATAAATCATACAATATTAGATCATCACTCATGCATGGAACACTTCTATATCTACATCTCTTCCATTAGCAGATATATCTTTGACATATGAGTATCATAATTCTACCAAACCCTTCAGTTTTGGATATTCTCAAAAATGTTCACAGATGAATTTCGACAATGAGCAACTTAAATTTTTTTAACAGAATCCCATCTTCAGATTACACCAATATATTCCATCAGAAAACCTGTAAATTTTATACATTAAATCAGTTCAAGTTATGATACCATCGACTTTTTCACAGTAAAGGAGAACACTATAAGGTTCAGTTATTTTATAATGCAAACCTTAAGCTTATCATTTATTCAGTGTTGTAAAAAATACAATAATAAAGAGTTTCTAATTAAGCAATGCCTGATTTGCAATGTCTATTAAGTCTGACTGATATTTCAGTCAAAATATATATGTTTATGTTTGTTTATTTGTTCGCTTCACTATGTCCCACATGCGCTTAGATAATACACAACTATATACATTTTAGTATATGCATTTTTATCAATCTTATTTCACTTTTAATACACTTTATATGACCAACCATATTTAACAAGGTAATTCAAAAAAAATATAGAGCTCTTTAAAGAAAGTTCACAATCTCTTCGAATGAAATGTTAACTTTCATATAATTGCACATCATCCATCTTTAGATGTAAACAAGAAAAAATTTGTTTTCGAAAATGTTCATGTACCAATATACAGATGTTCGATGCTATATGGCCCTTAGACCCTGGAGTCACAAAAACATATCAATTACCATAATCTATATACCACAGACATAAGTCAACATGGAGTGTCCAAAATAATATTTTGTATCAATTATCTGAAAGGCATAGTCAGAAATTTGTACCTAATCCATAAAGGCAACCACTTAATTATATTAAGAGAGCAATTTAAAGTAAAGTTGGCATTTTGTTTATTTCTCGCATTATTCCACTATTCGGTCTCTAAACTTAACATCCACAGCCCTCCTTAGGTTTGTTGGCATCGTTTGTGAGTTTAATTTGATCTGGAAATTCATTGTATAATTCTACTTCTGTTTCTTGGGCTAGAGCATTTTTGGCCACGGTTTGAAAGGCTTGCTCTACATTGATGGCCTCTTTAGCACTGGTCTCAAAGTATGGGATGTCACCCTTGGAGTGGCACCAACCTTGGGCTCGTTTCTGGGATACCTGGAAGTATATGGATACCATGGTGAATATACATATGGACACTTAAGTTAATATATATATGGGTACAAGGGTGAATGTATAGTACATATGGATACTAGGATGAATATGCAGTACATATGGATACTAGGGTGAATGTACAGTACATATGGATACTAGGATGAATATGCAGTACATATACAAGGGTGAATGTACAGTACACATGGATACTAGGATGAATATGCAGTACATATGGATACTAGGGTGAATGTACAGTACATATGGATACTAGGATGAATATGCAGTACATATGGATACTAGGGTGAATGTACAGTACATATGGATACTAGGATGAATATGCAGTACATATACAAGGGTGAATGTACAATACATATGGATACTAGGATGAATATGCAGTACATATGGATACTAGGATGAATATGCAGCACATATGGATACTAAGGTTAATATACATACATATGGATACAAAAGTGAACATACATATGGATACTAGTACTACGGCGAATTTACATATGGGTATTAGGGTGAATATAAATATAGATACAAGGGTGAATATTTTTATTTTTACCAAGGTGTTATTGGAAAATATCTAATAATAGTTTGAAAGTTGTCTTGTTTGCCATATGTTACTTAATGTACTTTTTATCACTTCTTTGTAATCACATTGACTGATCCACCTTAGATTACAATTTACTCCTTTAATATGGGGTATTGCAAAATGGCCTTGACCTTTGAACTTAACAATTAAAGTAAAACCTGCCTTAGTGAACACCTCTGACCACTCTCTATTAACACTTGTGTTTAGTGAACTTCACTTCAGGACACATTTTACATTGACTCCTGTATGAAATCCCCTGACTGTAGTGAACGCCTACCTAAAGTGCATACTTTTTATATGGCTCCATAAGTGTTCACAATATACAGGTTTTACTGTATTCTTGGTGATGAGAGATAAGTTGGGGGAGGGCAGCAAATGTAAATAGAAAGCTATATTTGTAATGAATTTTTTGAAATTAATCCATTCTGTTTACAAGGGATAGAATTGACATGGTATGCCTTGTGTCTATCATTACACCATCCTCCAGATGAAGTAGTATAACCAGTTGTAGTACCAGTTTCTTCAATTTATAGAAACAAATTATGTTGACCAATTTTTGGAGGATGATGTTACACACATTTTATTCTACAACAAATCAAAATGAAATAATACCACTAATTTGTGAAGTAATTCAATGCACAAAACATGGATTTGTACATAATTTTTTACATAATATATTCATATTCGTTTATATATAAAATATTAAACATGTACAACCTCTTTGGCATATATGCACTATAAAGCAACTTTTAATATAAAACAATAAGCATTACACTGTATTTTACTGCAAGGAACCCATTTTGACACTCTTTAAAATATATACATTTACTCTTAAAAATATAAAATTTATATCCATTCTGAATAATAGTTAATCATAGTCTTGAGTAAATGTAAACACCAAATATTTTCTTTTTTTTGAAAATTAAGTACACCAAAAGTCTGTTTCGGGCATATCAGAAGGTGAGAGACTCATAATTACTAAAAACTCATGCAGTCCATACTTTTGACCAATTTATCTCAAAGGTGTCCATTTTTAAGAAATTGAAAAAAACATCCCTCTCTTTCTAATATGTTAGTTCATTTTTTATGTTAATTTCTGTCATAGAAGTTTTTAGGTTTTGATATCTGTCTCTGTGTACATAGGTAAAATTCTGTATATCCAAACACCTGGCTAATCCGAACACCCCCAAATACGAACACCTTTTCAGTCCCTTGTTTTCTCCCATTGATACTCATGTTGAAAAAACCTTGGAATGTAAACACCTCCCCAATATGAACAGTGAATAGTCATATTTGAAAGTTAACCTGTTTAATATGAACACTAATGAACATCTCATAAGATATCACATCACATCATACAAAATGGCTCAAATATTTTCTATTGCTTACTGATTTATTATGACACCCAAACTTTTGGAATCAACATTGTCAATAATTGTCTTCCTAACATAACTAAAAAATCATTTGAATCAGATCAAATGATTGGAATACCATAACATTATATGAGTAATAGTATGGTAAATATTACTTGTTTTTTTTTTCAAAATCCAGAATGTCACGAATGCAAACCCCCCCAAAAAACATTGAAATGTGATGGCCTTCTAATCTGAACAGTTTAAAGGGAATGCGAAGTTTTGTCCCTTAAACTTGATAATAAGTTAGAATAAAGATATATCTTTCAATCCAACTTAGTTTTATTGTTCTATCATTATCCTTTTAATTGTTATTAAGCCCCGGGTTTTGCATATGAACTGGACCACGGAGCTGCCATTTCAACCGTAAAGTGGTTCTTTACGACATTGTTATGACGTCATTGATGCCAGATTGATGCCTTGGCATTCCAAAAGTTTTGTGGCGCCATTTTTGAATCAAAAAATGAATGCCGAGTTGTTGCCATTCCAAAGCCAAAGAAATCATGTCAATGGAACTAAAAGAATACGTATATACCACCCATAATAAAGAACGATTTCAATAGAATATTAACGCCGGCATTTTCGGAATTGCTTTTTACCTATCTAGACATGGAATGCGGGTTAGATTTATTCTTTATTTACACTTGAAACAATCTGGGATTCGTGACTTTTTAACTTTTATAAGGTCTAGCGCTAAATGCGAACAGAGAATGCTAATTCTATCAGGCGAATGCAAACTATTTGAATAAAACATAATAAAATTAATTCAACCAACCCATCTTGAATTTCCAAGAATGCAATGGTTTAATTTGCTAGTCTCATTACAAAAATACGTGTTCGTACTTTAATATTCATTGCATTTATGTTTATCTTTAACACAGGTATTCAAAGAAATTAAGATTTTAAAATTAAATTTTAAAACCGTATCTAATTACTATCATGGATTCTTAGCCTCACGTCACATTTTTACGGGGACCGTACGGTCTATCATTTCTGTGGTAAGTAGGATTTCTACGGTTGCCTAAGTATTTCTGAAGTCAGATAATTTAGCAGTCACATTTGCTAAGATAGCCGTACGGCGTATCTTGATTATGAGGAAAAACTACGATTCCTGTACGGCTGATAAATGATGATGCACGATCAGCGTAGGGCGGCCCTACGACGTGCGTATTTTTTCTTGAAGGCATCCACAAGGGGTTCTATGGTTTGGAAAGGTCAATTGTAACCTATGAAATCCAAGCGCAGCCGCAAGTCGACCGTGAACCCGACGTACGGCCGTCGTGAGACCTACGGTTTGGCTGCTGCTTGTTGATATCTATGGTGACCAAAGGAAAGAAAAAGTTATAACTCCGACTCTACGCCTTGTAAAAACTGGATATGTCGTGTACGTAGACAGCAAGGTGACCTTAAGTCGACTGTAGTTTTCCTTTGTTTTTTACTGATTTCAGGGAAATACGATCGACGTGTGGTCGCATTGAACAAATGTGACTGAAGCTTTTAAAGTTCCACTTACTTTCCGATATAGAAAAACAAAAGGTTGTATGCCATTAAATTGAAAATCATTATTCCGAAAATACTGTAGAACTGTACTTACCACGGATGTTATAATTAAATTCGAGCTCGAAATCAGGAATTGTTTTTAAAAATAAATATATAATAAAATAAATATTAAACTATTGGCGTACTATCAATACGGCAATTGCCTTATCGTCGTTGAATTGAAATATCATACTACATGTACAATCGACCCCATCGTCTCCTCGCATCACTGAGTGTTATGAACCTTCTCTTGTCATGATCCAAGGTGAAATACCATTGAATTTTGAAAAGCTTTTTTTGTCATATTGAATGTCGCTACGGTGATATGATGATTGAAATTGTTCGTTTAACAACTGAGAAAAATTAAACATTACGTATTATTCTTTGAAAATATGACATTCAGACGTTTTTCATCAGCATTTAAATGGCTAAACACTTTAGGGAGTTACTGTTTCATAGGATTACTACTTTTTGTTTTATTTCTTTCATTCTCCAATATGCACCTATTCATATTTGAATAGAATACTACAGATTGAAGAAATCTACCATTTATGATTAGGTAAGAAACCAATTGCGGCAGTATGCCTATTTGCCGACGTAAACCTTATGTGCCGTAAATGCTCATCAGCGCATTAATGAACATTAGCATAGATTTTGATATTTTAAATGGTATGTAGTGTATTAACATAAATATGGTAAATGCAACTATTTGTTGGATGCGTTCAGCTGATGATATAACTTACTTATTTTCACCACAAATACGCCAACACATTAGCCACATTAATCTTAGTTAAACAAATCCCCATTGATGCACAGTAATGTATTTATGTGTAAATGCCATTTTGTATATTTTAATGCATTTACCTCATTTATTGGTTAAATATACAAGAAAGCATTTACAGGATTTTAACAGATTTATCCTTTTTGACCCAGTGTTATCATTATATAAAATAATTCTAGTGGATATTTTTCAAGTGGAATATAATGCGATGACTTCCAAATCGCGCAGCCGATATCTCATAAGTTTAGTGATTTTTCTACCTAGCCTATAAACTTACTATATCACATTGGAGAAAATAAATACAAATATTTGAAAAAAGACATTGCAACAATTCAATTTCTATGAAGAATATACTGAAACAACTTTTTCAAATATATGATATGATATGGACATGAACATGCGGCAACAATGTGAAGCGGACAGAAATAGTTATAAAATATCAGTGAAATTTCTGCGATCCGAGTATGACGTGATTATATAGCGACATTTCCGAGGCATCAATTTTAAGGCATCAATGACGTCACTGATACATAACAATGGCGGCATCCGCAGCGATCCAGATATGGGTACTTTGAACTTGAATTATATGTTAGTTCAAACACGATATGTCCCATGAGTGAGCTGAAGTGATAGATGATGGTTATAAGTAGCCAGCGTGTAAATTAGAACATGAAACTTCGCATTCCCTTTAAGCTAGTCCCTATGGTGTTCAAATTAGACAGGTTTTACTTTACTTTGATAAAATTCAGACATGGCACTTCATCTATAAAGTTCGAGGCAGACAATTAGAAAACCTTTTTAAAAAGTAAGCATAGACTCTTGGATATGAATCCTGCACAAAAATCTGGGCTTGCTTGCAAGAAATGTGAGACATTATTGACACAGACATTGAAAAACAATTTTGGGTCCACAAAGATGTCCCGTGAAAGAAAAAAAGTGCCCTCATGTCATAAAAACATAGACAATCTTTTAAAATGGACACGTTTATGAGTGATTCTGTCAGTGTTTACATATTATATTTTGCACAGAGGTGATCAACAACAACAAATCTTAGGTTGTCTTGACTTCAATTAATATAACTCAATGCTAAGCTTAGCACATATAATATAGATAATGGCACCATATGATCCTATACACAGCAAAGGCAAAATATTTGCATGTGCAAGAGTAAGTAAGTCTACATTTGTATATAATATCATTATTATAGTAAATAGTTGCAATTGTCCATCTTTTTCTTGATCTCAAATTGTCAATTATTGAATGTAATGTAAAGCAGTTAATAATCTCCGCGTGAGCAGCTATCCCATAATTTCAAAATTTACAGCTATCCCATAATTTCAACATTTACAACCTGACTCCTCTTTTTCTGGCTCACGACACAAACAAACATCATCCACAAACTTTGGAAATAAAGATTCTTGAGCGTCCTCAGAAAATTGTTTTTTAAGTGCATCCATGGCCATATGCTCAAATGCCGCAGGAACATTTTCCGCTGTTAAAGCACTTGTCTCAAAATATGGCATATCGAATTTGCTACTGGACCAATTTTGAGCGTCCTTGGTTGTTACCTAGGATGAACAAAAAGGGGAATTTGCAACACTGTTTTTTACCAAAATCTGATATATTTTAGCATACTTGTACTTATCTTATTGTATAATTAATTATAGCTCCTAGATATACAATATTTGGGTCAATTTATTTATTAATTGGTCAGATGATGTTATGTTTGTGTATTTAATTACTGAAAGACGGTGTTTGCTCATGCAACCCCTTGAGGCATGTCACCATTCATTGTTTAACAGCATTGACCATCTCCATACACAAAACAACACACGAAAATTCAGAAAATCTATTAACAAAGACATGATTTATATGACCACTGCTTAAAGAATAAAGAACAATACCTTTCCCTATCCCTAAATATAAATAGATTTCTAAGGACTCACAAAATGTTGACAAACTTCTCATATTTAAAGCTCCTACAGATAATATACCAAGATTATCCAACACTCGTACAGTTGAACCACTTTCCCAAAGAAAATTTTCAATTATTTTTCATTGATTTATTACATTCATGACAGATTTTGGGAAGTTTATTTTCACTGTTACACAAATGAACATTTTCCCATTCATGAATATCCTTGATTCAGTTAAGTTTCATTAAAAATAAATTATTTCAGAGTTTTCACTACTTGTATAGATAAATACCTTTAATATATACCAGTATTGAATTACAGTATCTAATTGGTCCATAGTTGATTTGGTATGTTAAACTTACAAGATTACAAACATCCATAATATGACAGGGATTTATTTTCTTCTTTTTTTTACCAAAATCATTTGTTGTTTTGAGGATTTTTGCAACTGTTTCTATGTTCAAATTATAATTTCCAAAGATTTTGACTGTTGTTTTTCATGAGTTGTAAACTAAGCCAATAAGTTATCAGTTTAAACAAACAGAGACAATAGAATGTACTATATTATGGAAATAACATTTAGCCTTCACCCTGGATAAGGCCTACAAAGATAGAGAAATGAGTAAATAAAGAAATTAAGCTGATGAAACAGTTATTTCTTCCGAAATGTGCTTCTGTCAGCATAATTTCTCATTTAATCTCATGGGTTTTCTAGGTCGATGAAAAAGAATTGAACAACACAAACACACGACATGCAAGTTAACAACATGTATCACTATCTAAAGTTAGGTGTCTAAAGAGAGTAAAAGGAGTTTTGAGAGAGATATTCTGAGTGAGGTATTTTGAGTGATGTATTTTGAGTAGTTTACACTGATGCACTAGGGGAGGGGGGTTAGAATTCATGCAATTGCGTAGTCTTACACAAATAGTCTAACATGTGTTTACAGAGGAAAAACAAAAAATACAACTCTGCACTTACTGCTCTATTTTCAAGATCAATCTTGTTGCCTATCACTACAAATGGAAAGTTCTCTGGGTCCCTAGGGCTGGCCTGTATAAGAAACTCATCTCTCCAACTGTCAAGAGTTTTGAATGTGTTAGCCATAGTGACGTCAAACACGAGTACACAACAGTCTGCTCCCCTGTAGAATGCTACCCCTAGACTCTGGAACCTTTCCTGTCCTGCTGTGTCCCATATCTAAAAGATAAAGCAAGAATGTATTTAATAGTATATAATATAACATGCATTCTATATGCTACAACAGATGAATGGCTATTTTGAGAATCAGTGAAATTGACTACCTTAGGAAATTTCATAATTTCATCTTGGCAGTCATAAACTATAAATAGCATCATAATTATAATGAAAAGCTAAGTAGGTGCTTATGGAGGTCAAAATGTTGACCTTGCAAAAACACTTGCAAAAACATTCTAGTTGACATCATTCTTTTTTGTGATATTTTACAAAATCTTTTGCTATATGTGTATTGTAAAAATGATTGAAGTACATAATGCATTCACGTCCCGGATGTAATCTTTAAAAGAATTATCACCCTCATTCAAGACCATTGTGTTTAATATAGCCAACAATTCATTGAAACACGGGTTTAAATACTTTAATGATGATGCAAATCAATATAAAGCAATATTTCAAAAACACAAGACACAATACTGATATAAATGATGTATAAGGAAATATATAAAGTTAACTTTATATCACTACCCTCAAATAAATGTACTGATAACTGATAAAAAATATGTGTCACATTCTTTAAGATACGATTACTTTGACACCATAGATATATCATGCAAGATAATAGTGACTCCTCTTCACAATTCACAATATAGTTGTTTTACAAAATAGTTGTACAAGTAGGATAATAATTTATACATACAAAATGTCAAGAGGTTGAGTTAAAAATTGAGCACAAGCCACACATGTAGTTATTTATCTTATCAAAACATGGGTCATCTAGGTGTTCTTGTCTCATGTAAAGATTCATAAAGTATATACATATATGATACACGCAGAGTATAAATTGAGATTTCATATCCTTTTATACACAAGAGGCTGACATTACTTAGCATGGTCACTAAAATACAGTGGTCATTGCCTAATGGAAAAATGTTCGTGTATTGGATATGTAGAAAAACTGAAAATTGCAAATAATTTTTGGACAATACTATGTGGGTTTTCTCTTGAAGAAGGATCAGAAAAGTAGAATTTTATTTTGAGGAGATAATACATGGTGATGTATTTACATTAACCTATATTATATCTTCTTATATATATATAATATGGTCCTTTGTCAGAATAATGCCCTTGTTTCATTCACATTTCACCAAATGTCGAAAGTTGAATTTAAATTTGCAAGTATTTAACTGCTGTTTCTGCCTGTGTCCAAAAATCAACATTTTTCACTGAAAAAGAAATCATTATTTCCAACCCCCTTGTGAAAAGAACTATAACTGATACCATTCTTAGACAATCTATTAGGTTTTGGAAAAAGTTGGCACGAACCTGCATTGTTACTAATCGGTCGTCTACCATCACCTCTTTAGTGAGAAAATCAGCTCCTATGGTTGCTTTGTATTGGTTGCTAAATTTTTTATTGACATATTGGTTCATAAGAGATGTCTTCCCTACCCTGCAAAACAAAACATTGCATGCAGTCAGGTGAAAATTCTTAGTCTGCTAGATTTATATAGCCAGGTATGTCTAATAAGAGAAACCTGAGACGTCATATGAGTAAATACTTGTTTTTCATTAGATCTGAGACCACTACAGTTTTCAAAAACATTCTAATAAGACACCAGGGCTCTCGCCAGGCTTTTAGACTGTGGCGCAGCACCACACTCTATTTAGCTCCCACCACACCCTACTGCCAAATCATGATTGTTACCACAGTCTAAACTTGACTGAATATACAATAATAGCATGTAAAAAGGATAAAATATAACATAAATATGATTTATCACGATTGAACAGTAATGCTGAAGATGTTTGCACCACACCCTAAATATTTCCTGGTGAGAGCCCTGGACACTGATTTAAAGATACAGTAAAGCCTCTCTAATCTGAACATCACAAGAACAAGCCAAGTGTTTGTTTTAGCAGGTGTTCACATTTCAATGTTTCTTGTTATGTGAGTCAATGAGATTGACAAAATTGGGACTGAGAAAAAGTTTTAACATTGAGAAATGTTCGGATTAGAGAGATATACAGGCTTTACTGCATTTGATGATTTTATCAAACTTCCCGTATGATAATTTGACAATTAGCAAAACAAAGCCTTATAATAAGTATAGATGAACATAAAACCCAGATATGACCTACTTAATTATATTTAATGAAACTGACTGTAACCAATGCTATTACTTCCAAATATATAATTTAATCGATATGTTGTACACTATATGTACTTACCCACTGTCTCCTAATATGATTACTTTCAGTAACACCTTCTTCCTAGATGACATTTTTTATGTTTAATCTGAAAATACACAAATGTAATAAATAACTGATTGATTTAAAATATAATATGCAATACTGCAACAAGAATTCTTAATTCTTAAAGACCAAAATGTGTATGTCTCTATTGACCCAGTTTACTACTTCTCAACATATTAGTTGTACTAGGTACTGTATATGGCCATTTCATAATTTTCTTTAAATTTGTCAAACTGTCATGTTCATCTTGTCATATTTAGTTTGTTAGTCAATTCACAGAACTGACATATAATAGTCCAATATATCTCCGGGTCTAGACCACATTCACTGCCAACTTTGTTTCTCAAATACTGAAAGTGAAACAAATTCGATTACTAAGAAAACTTCCTACAAAAAATGAAACTGAATCATCACTTAAGAAGTGGTTCAGTACATATATTAAGGAATCATTATTATTAGAAATGAGTTGGCAGTATTATCTCTGAAAATTGATTCTTTGATAATGGTTACAGTCATCTTGACCATGGGCTTTTCCCCACTCTTAAAACAAGCAGAAAGAATTGTTTAAATTGTTATTGATAAATTATGATGGCTAAATATATTAAGATATCAAGTGTTCTCCACAGGATTTTTCCCAAGTGGGTGCAAGATTCTCATTTTTACAATTCAGACCGAAGTAGGTCAAAATATGCCCAATTTTCCTGATTTTTCTCATATTCTAGTAGGTGCAACTAGAATTCCAGGCAGGTGCAAGCCTGTATTTAAAATCAGGTAGGTGCCATGCCTACTTGCTTTAGTGCTGGGGAGATACTCATATCTATATTCTTCAACTGTTCGACTATAGTTATCTATATTATCCACGTCTCCTTGATATACATTGTTATCATAATGAGAAAGCAAAGTTCTTCATTTTGTATTATAAAATATGTATGTCAACAGCCCTTTCTCATATTATATCCTTACATTTTATATTCTGAACTAATGGTTAATGAGACCACATTTATGATATTAAATGTTACAATAAAAGTGCATGCTGACATTGCAGCTATAGGCGAGTCTGGGGAAGATCAATGGTATTTATCCCCCAATAACATATGAAATGGCTGTTAATATCTTGCCCCATGGTCTGTCTTGTCCATATTTCTACTCACCAACCCCTTTTCTTATTTTGGGAAGCAATTTTCATGGCATTTTTTAATACCATATTTTTCAAATATAAAAAGTTTGATTGGAGTAACAACATTATATACTGAAACCGCAATGCTTAATTCGATTATGCTCCTTTAAAAGTAAGCTTCATCGACAACTTCACCTAATTGTACAATAGGATTCATGCTGAAATGTTTCATGTTTCATTGAATGTAAACCTTTCATATATTGTAATTTTTTCTATATTTCCTTTAGTTTCTGAAAATGAAATATTTCATTTTTCAATTATCTGAAGTAAAGCGACAGTATTAATTAAGTATAATATCCATTCAGATTCCTCAATACTAAAGGTCTCTCAAGATAGACGCATGGAGATGGGTAGTTAACTCATGATTGAGGTGCAAATGATTCAGACATAAACATATGAGCTTTTGATCTAGGCCAGTACCTCTCAATAAAACAGCAAACAGTCATATGATCATGGCATAATGTTAATGACCCTGAAGTACTTACAACATTAATTGAATATGAATACAAATTTTTTATTTTGTAACAAATAATCAAAACTCTATTGAATGCTGGATACAAGTCCTTGTGACACTCCCTCCTACATATCACAACATCCCTCTGTGAGAAGGTTTACAGTGAAGTTGAGGGAGGGGGGGGGGGTCACAGGTTCTCATAGCTAGACTAGAATGTATGTCTCAAAAAAAGGACCCACGGTCCTGTGCTCACACAGTTTGGAACCTTCAGAGGAGTGTATATCCTGACTTTCAAACAAAAATATTGATTTGGATTTGTAGTCTCGAACTTTGATAAACTTAGACAGCACAGTTGTGTGACCTAGTTTGATGACCTTTGACCTTGAAAATTTTACTTATTTAGAGCTCAGTAAGGTCTTTTGTGATTAGCTGAACAAAATTTACATCCAAAAATCAATTTGAAAAATCAACTTTTTTGAACTTTCATAGGTCATTAAAGGTCAAGTAAAGGTCAAATCCTAAAACTAATGTCAGATTTGAACTCCTGGTAACTTGTAGATGATTTTCAAAAAAGATTTAGTCAAATTGAAGCAAGTTGAAAAATAACATATTTTTACTGTTTTTTGACGTCAAATATCTCAAAAACGGTAAAAATTTGATGCTGACATATATTGAGCAATATGTAGGGAATGCTTAAATCTAGTTATGATGTAATTCATTGCAAGAAATGATCAAGTATTAGGCAAACTTTGAGAAACTTGTCAATCACAAAACCTGCCATTGACTTTATACATAAGAAAGTTTCCTGAAAATGACTAAGTCCTACTTTTTGTCAAATTTTATAGAGTAAACACCAAAAACTGTAATTCCAAGAGCTTTGAAATCTTCAGAGGACATAAGTTGCATATACAGCAACTACTACAAGTTATTTGAAAGTTCTACTTCAACAAAGTGTCTAGTATTTACAGAGAATTTGACTTTTTGATGTCAAAATCAGCAATTTCTCGGAAACCGGGCGAACTTGGGAAACGGCGATGATAGGTCAAATAGGCATTATGGATATGCATAAAATGATTGTGGATATGACTCAATCCGAATAGCAGTTTTAATTTGTGCGGCCATTGTTGACGGACGGACCAACGGACGGACGGACGCCTGGTCGATGCCATAGGCTCACTGTGTGAGCCAAAAAAGCACATATATAAAGGTAAATGAAATGGAGTCAGAATCTAACATATTCTGTACCCTGTATCCATATAAACCACTTGTTACTCATTTTGTGCTAAATACATTCTAAAGAATTTGACAAACTGCTACATAAAAAATTAATACCACATATTTTTGTTTACAGTTAGACGCAGGTCAAGTGAGTCATCTCCAGCTGATAACTAGGAGGATTCATTCAATATGTACTTTCATAAAGGAAACAATGTCAATGACATTTAATTAAAGTGGCAGTTATGATTGGAGAGAGTAAAATGTCAGAAGGAATCTTTTCATTAAGCAATCAAATGTATCTCTTACAATCCTAATTTTCTTTTCTAAAAGGAGAATTGAGTGATTTGTTTAAATCACAGGTTTTTTATTTGAATTGAAAAGGGCCCATTTTTCTGTATTTTGCCAGAGAAACTTATCGAATCAAAGGATCATCCTATAAAGTAAAGTCAGAACTGTTAGAAATTTTAGAATATAATTATGTATGGCAATGAATATTAAAAAAAGAAGAGATTTTCTTCAGAACTTTCTCTTTCAGCTTGACTTCTATATTGCCCCTTTAAATTTCATTTCCCAGATTTCATGAAGTGCTTCACATGTTATTTTACGAACATTGTGTTTGTCATGTTTCTTTTGGTTTTGACCACTAGGTTACTGATGACTAATGCAAAAACAGATGTTAATTCATGATAAGCTTTTTTCCAAGTAGATACAGGGAAGAGGAAGTAGTCAGTTTAATAGAATTCCAGTCATATTCCAACAGAATGCTTTTCTCAAATCAAATCCATTCAATTTTTGACATAATGTACAGTAACAACATGACCCTGAATTATCTGATGTTTTCAGCAATGTGTATAAATACAGCTTTGCCCCAAATACTTCTGACATTTTTCATCATTCACCATCTCCCCCATACACAGAGGCTTTCAAAATATGTGCATGGTACCTCAAGCACCACAAATAGTGACTTGAACTTCAAAACACATACCCCCAAAAATAAATACATCTACAAGATAAGGGAGACCAATGCAAAAGCTTCAAAATAAAATCAATTTGGTCATTTTAAATCAAATATTCTTGAGGAAACAGCTGTTTCAAAATAAATCACCAAACATTAAGACTCCATTGCATCCTGTCATTTCATGTATCATTGTATCACCTACTACCATCTGACAATAATTCATACTTTATGTTATAGACTTATGTTAGACAGGTGAAATTCTATTCTATATAATCCAGTACTTTCTGTTTATTGCTAAACTGTATATTAGGAGACTAGACTAGGCTTATTGGTCTCTATTCAATGTGCTGAGAACTGTGAAATAGAATGGAATTCATCTAATTTCCTGCTGTGACTTATATTTATGTTGTTCTCAGTTTGAAAATGACATGACTAAAGCCATTCTAAATATGCCACCTTAATCCTGTGTACTATCAATATATAGTCTAGTTACATAGAACTAGACAGTCCATGGTAAGCATCTCATCAGGGTACCTTGTTTTGTTCTCTCAATCTACTGACCCAATGAGGATCTACTTGAATATCACCTCTGGTGATGAATTGGAAATACATCCGTATGGATGGTATTTCTAATTTCAAGTTGTGTGTATGCACCCAGGTGCCACATTTGCTATTTGGTCTCAGCTATCATTATTAATCTGAACTTTCTTGCAGCTGTATTGGGTTTAACTACCGTGCTTTGCATGCAACACAAATTCTAGATTGACTGAAACCAATTTTCCTTGATAATATGTGACCCATGGTTGACAATAATATAGAAACACCTACCATCAACCGCTGCCATGTAACATTTTGTGTTAAATGTTCATTTATAAAAGTTAAATGTGGCTATCCTGATCTTTATTTAAAATGTATTTTCGCATCGACTATTTCTGAGCATCAAAAAAATAAAATTTTGGTGAAACAAAATTGTTGTCAAATAAATTGTATTCCAATCCGAGATATTAGATAGATGCACTGGAAGAATAACAGGCACCTCTGTTAGTGTTCTTGTCAATGGTGGTTTATCCATTGACATGATTGGCTATTTCAATGTTACGATAATCTAAACCAAATTTTTCCAAAGCTGAAAAACATTCTAAATTATATATGATCGAGGACACCGGGAATATGGGGTGATGTGTTTTCATGTGTACGATATCAATGCTTATTTGAATCTAATTATTTTAGGAATGAAAAGATGAGGGGTTTTAGTGCTAGTTTAGAAGGCGTTTATTTTACTATATCGACCTGAGAAATGTGTGACGTCATAGTGGTGGTCCATATGGACCGGTCTAGAATATATTCTGGACCGGCAATTTTCCCCGGGAAATTAAATATCGTTCAATGCGTAAGATTTTCTTGCTGTTTCAGTCCTGGTCGTTAACGGTGGTAATAATACTAATAACATCATTTCTGCGAGCGATATAGTGAAATATTGGACCTTGGGCCTTCGGCCCTTGGTCCAATATTTCACTATATCGCCCTTAGAAATGATGTTAATGTACTATTAATTACATGTGCGTGAAAGCTCCTGCTCGATATAAATTTATTGCATTCTTGACGGAATATGGTCTGAAGATAAACCTAGTCGGGCTACAAGAGATGTCAGATAAGAAACAAGCCCCAGACTACAGCCCATTTCCCTGTTTTATTGTGTCAGTTGAATCCAAAAAATAAGAAATCAGGAGATCATTGTGCAATAATATATGGAAAAGTATATTCATATTGTACACGAATGACATTTGCATATTTTAGATTATTTAGTTTTTGGTGTAATAAGCCCATGCTCTATTGTAATTTAAAGAATTTCAGCCATGTTAATCTTTTTGAAAATACTATGGCAGAGAAGCGTCAAAATATAAGAGGCCACACAGGTTATTGCCAAACTAGAAGCAATTCAAGATAACAAATGTCATATATGTACAATAGGAATATATTTTTCCATATATTATTGCATAATGATCTCTTTATTTCTTATTTTTTAGGTTTTACTGACGCAATAAAACAGTGAAATGGGCTTTACTACTTTTTTCAAGGCCTGACTTCGTCGCTAACATGCTAAATATAAGAGTTAGCTGACGTTTGGGAGTCTGACTTACCTTCTAAAGGTTAGAACCCGAACCTTAATGAAACCATATCACCTTTGTTGCGTCGATAATGATGCATAAACATAGCAATTGATAGAAATTAGTGTAAATGCTTTTCCGACTTTTTCATTTTTCATCAATGTTGACTTTCGGGAAGGCGTTGTAGTTATCACGAAATAACGCATTGACCCTTGAACTTTACTTTGTTGACGTGTCAACCAAGCATGTCTGGTGTGAAAATTAAAAGAATATTAAGCAATGTTCTACATCCGCCAAGCTAAGTGAAGTAGCCAATATAAAATTACCAATTTCAAGTGAAGTACGCGTGATTTACAGTCCCACTATTTGTCTGAACGAAATGCTACGTAGAAATATGAGCCGTCTGCTGTATTAGTCGATTAATAGAGTAAGACCTGTTGGTGATGCTTTATAATTTAGACCAAAACATTGAAGAACATACGAACCTGTAAATCGTGAAAACAACGAACAAATATTCGGTTTTCATATATGTTCGGTAATTTTTCGTATTGAAACTTCCGGAACTTACAAGGAAATCATTCATTTTCTCGGTCCATGATTTACCTCTTGAATGTTGTGGCAAATGCTCCATGGTTGACGGAACAAAGGTGATATGGTTTCATTAAGATTCGGGTTCTAACCTTTAGAAGGTAAGTCAGACTCCCAAACGTCAGCTAACTCTTATATTTAGCATGTTAGCGACGAAGTCAGGCCTTGAAAAAAGTAGTAGGTGTAACTTGTTGAACCATAAATAGGGATCCTCTGTTGATTTTGATGTATGGAGTAACATTCTTAGACCATGGTGTTATTTCATCCATGGTCAATTATTCACTTTTCAGGATCTTACAAGATTTTGATTTATTTTTTTAAGTTTCAAAAAAACAAACATGACAGAGTGAGTGAATCAAAAATATAAGCCAATGTCGAAATGGCCCTATGTTCGAAATAGTCCCATGAAGCCAATGTCGAAATGGCCCTATGTTCGAAATAGTCCCATGAAGTAGCCCCATTCATAGAAGTTCGACAGATTTCCCCCATGTAAGAAAATGGTAGGTCCCTTCCTCCTAAACATACCAGACAATTTGTAGTACACCTTAAAAGTTACCTCTAGAAATTAATAATGATAGTGACTGAAAATTCACAAGCAAGCCTTTCATGTTTATATTTGAATAGTGTCAATATGAAAGTTTAAATCTGGTGACACAATTTTTAGAAGAAATGACAAATTATTTTTCCCCAAAAAATAAAACAGGTGTCACAAAATCTAAGAGATTTCAATGCGTTTGAATCAGAAAAGTCTCTTGAAACTTAGCTAATTGATACGTCATATAATACTCCTTAAGGAAATTGTCATAAAAGTACGATACTTACATGATTACCTATGTAATATCACTTTATTCTGTCATAAAAAATTATCCTCCTCTCAAAATGGCGACATAACCAGATCTCGTGACCCCTGACGTCATTTTCGGCCTCGATTTAGATTCAAGATGTCAGCGCCCATGAGTGGAAACGAAAATTGTGAAAATGAATTAGATTCTTCAAAATTAGGAACTAAACCTTTGTAAGTATTTGTTTGGACACAGATTTTGTAACTGTGAATGGTGATTATTTAGATTGAAGTGAAAATATATGGTGAACAAGTTGATTAGTCTTGACTATCATTATATACTCCTTGTTACTTTAAAATATAACTTCGACATATGAGTGTTACCCATAGGCTAAGGGTTAAGTAATAGTAAGCTGTATACAGAAGAGACAGGTGAACAACTAGGATTTAGGCCACTTGTTAACATGGTGATTTTAACATTATTTGTGTATAATTTGCAAAAAACAATGCAGAGTTGATCCAAAATTGATAGTTCTCAATTCTTACCTATGAATCAACCACATTCAAGTGATATAGAGTGAATAAAGCCGTCTTGAGGTGAGATATTCTGAAAACCTACAATTGCCTGGCAAGTTACCCGGATTTCCGTGTTGAATCATGAATGGAAGTTTGAAACAAGGAATTTGATTGGTTCCTGCTAACCGCCGCCAGTGACACCTATCTGGTTCTCTAAAATGTAATTCATTTTCTAGAAATAACAATCAATTAAAGTGTACAAAACTATAAAAGGTTTACTTAATAATTATTTATCAAAACATCTGATTCATATAATATCTTTTTAAACCCAATTTAAATGGTTAAATTTCAATCTTTCCATGTGTCCGGAAGTTTCAACTTGCCGGGCAATTGCAGGTTCGTACAGTTGGTGTTTTTTTATGCTGTCTTATCGAAGAGTTAGGATATAGATTTGAAATATTCAACAATCTACGTTTCGAAAACACTTTGGAGAAGATTCTTGGGAGATTTGGTGGTACGACTCGATACCAGTAAGGAGAACTCGTACCAAGACGGCAAGTTTTTGAAAATTTTTTCAATCCTAATTGTTTACCTGTCTCTTCTATATACAGCTTACTATTACTTAACCCTTAGCCTATGGTGTTACCTGATGAATGGGACCCTCACGTGCCTTCTAAATGGTAGTAAACGAACGCTAGTGTAACTACATCAGCTTATCTTTCCGTCCGATCAACAATAAGTACAGTTATACAAGAAATGTAAACGAAGTGAAAATATTTCCAAAACTTATCCGAAAGGCATGTCATTCCGGAAGTTATGATACGTTATGGTGTCACTACGGTAAATCATTGAAAAATATTGAAAAAATCACAAAATTCAAGTTCTGGTGTGAGGTTCCATATCCATCTGCCAAAAGGTATGACCCGATATAGTCCATTTAAAAATTTGTGGTTTTGTTCTAAATAACGCCATAGGTGGCTTCTAGGGTACCTAGTATGCCTCTATTTGGTATCAAAATAAAGAGGAGGAGTTCAACTTTCATTTGAATTACGAAAATAGCGATGCAGGTCAAAATAGTTCCGGCGTGAGCATGTTTACTACGCGTTTGCCCATCATCTCAGAATTGAGGAAATGGTAGCAAACGCGAGTTACAATAAATGGACGCTGATATCTCAAAAAGAATTAGCCCATACAATGACTATATTTTTGCAATCCCCTATACATAACCTTCATCTTGACACTATATTTAACATAGGGTTTGTGTCTCGATTTTTAAATATCGCTACGCCAACATAGGGACTCATTTTTAGGTAAAATCCCTGCTTCCCCGATGAAAATTAACGAATAAAGTAGTTCCTGTTTAGGGGACCATATTCTTGAGATTTTTTTGCTAAAAATGGCACATTTAGAAAGTACTTGGCCTCAGCTTTACATACATACCTCAAATGGCCACAGTACATACACTTACACCTACTATACACACCACTGAAGTTGGCATTGCTTCGTTTTTAAAGTATTAATAAAAAACACTTCCTACCCGGAAGTGATATTTACCGTAATAACACCTTATATTACCGAACATGGGTTTAAATGGAATGTTTTTTTGATGGCATTATTACACCAAAAGTAGTGCGAAAATGGCCTTTTCACGGGTTGGCATAAAGTTTTGATGAAATTTAAAGACACAGTTCCTCCACGTATATTATCTCATGGAAATGGGCATACCAGCGCAAAGATCTTTGTTCCGTGGTGAAGAAAAGCTATCAAACATTGTCTGAAGAGCAGATTTATCTCCGTAATTCAACTTTTAGCATGGCGACCTTGACCTTGAAAAAAATATAGCCATTTGGGCGATAATAGGTGATTCAAAAGTAAAAAAATGGTGCTTATTTGAAGTTTGAAGTTTTATTTGAACTTGATTTTTCAAGGACATCCGATTGATAGTTGTTGGGCCAAGTTTGATGGAAAATGGGCCTTGTTTGATATGCTGGCAGTGAGGTTGATTGTGGCAAGTAGTAAAACGGCAAACAATGGTGGAGTCATACCCGATGCTTGGATGTTCGCATTTTATTTAGCTCTCGTAAAATGAACGAACAAAAGTTCCATTTTCACGCATGTTCGGTAATATAACGTATCATAACTTCCGGAAATGACATGCCTTTCGGAAAAGTTTTGGAAATATTTTCACTTCGTTTACATTTCTTGTATAACTGTATTTATTGTTGATCGGACGGAAAGATAAGCTGATGTAGTTACACTAGCGTTCGTTTACTACCATTTAGAAGGCACGTGAGGGTCCCATTCATCAGGTAACACTCATATTCCGAAGTTATGTTCTTATTATTTTTAACAGTTAACAAGGAGTAGGGCCCATTATACAGTGGGGATCATAAAGAATTGCAAAAGCTATGAAAATTACATGCTGTCGCACATGTAATAAATTCTTACCTCAGTGTATTCAGTGCTCTATTTTCTCCGTCTGAGTAAGTCCAAATATAGTAGAATTTGTGTCCCTAATGACAAATAAGAACTTCAAAAGTTGAAGTGGATATTCACATGTTATGCCGACTCTTCAAATGTTGAGGTGATTTTGTCGCCCGATTGCGCCGGAACGGAGGATTGGCTCCCAGAATGCAACATGACACGTGCCAGCTTTCAAAATGCTGTTCCGCCATTTTGAAACATGTCATGAGTAAATACGGTTACTGATGTTGCATTCTGGGAGTCAACCTTCCTTGGATAACAAACATGGCGATTCATGAAAACATTCATTCGATTTAGTAGGGATTTATCCATTATTTGCAGGTATGAAGCTTTGTATTCATTTATTGTGCTACTTTAGTGAACGGGAATTATTTTTCTACCTCTTGGGAGAGTTTGAGACACGAAACTTGGAAATTAGCTCATTGTGACAACTTGTGAACGTTGAGTTTTATTTTTGTCCCCCACTGTAGATCTATATACAGGAGAAGTCCCCCCATGTTTAGTTCAACGTCGTTAAACTCAATAACGGCGTTCTTTATTATTAGGAATTTTCTTGGGGCCATTATTGAGTTTAACATCCTTACTATTCTTTCCTTTGATCATGGGCTTTCAACTAGTTGAAAGCCCATGCTTTGATGCAAGTTCTGAATCCATCGAAACCATTTTTCCGCGATAACGTGCAACTGATACTTGACAATAATACAAAAACACATAACATCAAGCGATTTAACACAATATTTTTGTGTTAAATGTTCATTTATACGAGTAAAATGAGGCTACACTTACCGATCTCTAAAGTGACATTCCGCATGTCCGTCATTGTGTCTGTTCGTCTGAGTGTCCCGGATCGTAAAATTAAACTACCAGCGAAACGAAATTGTTGTCAAATAGATTGATGATTATTATTGTGATTACTCGGGATAAAAAGATCAATTTTGAGGATAACAGGTATCTTTGATTAATTTATATAGCGCGTGTATACACGCAAAATAGTTATTAATTGCAAACCCACTGTTCGTTAATGCAGTTCCGTGATGACGGTAAATTCCTGAAACGATTTGCAATTTCGATGTTACCGAAACTGACCGACATTTTCGTCATTTCCAAACCTGTCTCCAATATTTTCGTAATTATGCATCAATAGGGTCTAAGGGGGATACGGGACGGGGTGTATGTGTTTATAAGGTATGTATGCATGTTTGAATCACATTCTTTGTGTAATATTGCCATGTTTTCAGGGTTTAATTTGTTCCGCTTGTCGAAACCTGCTGAACGATTAAATTAACGCATCAAAGGCAAAATGGTCATGGAGGTTAGACCTAGCCGGCCCATAACACATGTCAGATAAGAAACGAGGCCCGGGCTAGGTCTAATGTTGTTGGACTACCCCATGTTAGGCTATCAATAGGTTACACTCAATCAGCACTATCAATGGTATACTCTACTTTACTAAATTTGCACATAGCCATCTTTTAGATACAGTGGGGATCATAAAGAATTGCAAAAGCAATGAAAATTACATGCTGTCGCACATGTAATAAATTCTTACCTCTGCAGTGTATTCAGTGCTCTATTTTCTCCATCTGAGTAAGTCCAAATATAGTGGAATTTGTGTCCCTAATGACAAATAAGAACTTCAAAAGTTGAAGTGGATATTCACATGTTATGCCGACTCTTCAAATGTTGAGGTGATTTTGTCGCCCGATTGCGCCGGAACGGAGGATTGGCTCCCAGAATGCAACATGACACGTGTCAGCTTTCAAAATGCTGTTCCGTCATTTTGAAACCTGTCATGAGTAAATACGGTAACTGATTGCATTCTGGGAGTCAACCTTCCTTGGATAACAAACATGGCGATTCATGAAAAAATTCATTCGATTTGGTAGGGATTTATCCATTATTTGCAGGTATGAAGCTTTGTATTCATTTATTGTGCGACTTTAGTGAACGGGAATTATTTTTCTACCGCTTGGGAGAGTTTGAGACACGAAACTTGGAAATCAGCTCATTGTGACAACTTGTGAACGTTGAGTTTTATTTTTGTCCCCCACTGTAGATAGCCATCTTTTAGATAGACAGTACAGGGTGTTTCATAATGACCGTCCCCCCATCAACCACCAATCCTGAATAGCATACCCCCATGTGTTATATATCATATGAAAGCTTGGTCAATTCTGGACTTATTGAATCAACTTTGATTAAGCTTAACATTTTTTACAACTTGCTACATATCTCTATAAAAGGTACCCATTTTACCTTTAGCATAGAATCTGAAAGTCGCATTTTTCCAAAGTTAGCCATGTACCCTGCAAACTGGCAAAAAGCTATGATAACCATGCCTCAATACACTATTGGGTATAGTAATGTACAACTTCTAACATTTGATGGATGTTGAAGATATATCTTGATGATATTTGAAAGATAAAAGTATTAAATAGTTCAAAGAAATGCCCAGAGAGCTCTAAATGATACAATGGATAATATAGCGATCTGCTTTTCTCTTTAAATCCATCAGGAATAGTAGCCACAAATCATGCAAATTGAGGGGATAGTGGCTACAAAATATAAGTTCACAAATTATGTTCTCAAAGACCAGGCATTCTAATATTTGGCACATAAGTCCAGAATTGAATACGCTTTATTATGGTATATAGATTATGGGGGCATGTGAAGTAGGATTGCCTGTGATTGGAGGGACGGTCATTATGAAACACCCTGTACATGTAATTGTAAATTAGCCCCACCCAGGCATCTATTGCACATCTAAAGTACCCATCATCTATTGTATATAAGTACATGTAATTGTAAATTAGCCCCACCCAGGCATCTATTGCACATCTAAAGTACCCATCATCTATTGTATATAAGTACATGTAATTGTAAATTAGCCCCACCCAGGCATCTATTGCACATCTAAAGTACCCATCATCTATTGTATATAAGTACATGTAATTGTAAATTAGCCCTACCCAGGCACCTATTGCACATCTAAAGTACCCATCATCTATTGTATATAAGTACATGTAATTGTAAATTAGCCCCACCCAGGCATCTATTGCACATCTAAAGTACCCATCATCTATTGTATACAAGTACATGTAATTGTAAATTAGCCCCACCCAGGCATCTATTGCACATCTAAAGTACCCATCATCTATTGTATATAAGTACATGTAATTGTAAATTAGCCCTACCCAGGCACCTATTGCACATCTAAAGTACCCATCATCTATTGTATACAAGTACATGTAATTGTAAATTAGCCTCACCCAGGCATCTATTGCACATCTAAAGTACCCATCATCTATTATATACAAGTACATGTAATTGTAAATTAGCCCCACCTGGCACCAAGGCACCTCTTGTATGTTATAAAGTGATTTTTCCAGCTTTGCCGAAACAAATAAAAATCGATTCTGACGGGATGGTATAGTCAGCCAACATTCATTTTCAACACTGCATATACTAGTAGCAAGTTCAGGGGTTTCATTAGCAGCACTAAACAGGCAATTTTCACCAGTTTATAGGTTGTTTTCACAAAACTGCCTGTTGTTTTTAGGGACTTTTCAACTTTTCCATGTTAAATTTATGATTTCCTTTAATTTTACCCATTGTTTTCATTTGCTTAGCCTTTTGTGAGAAATTCTAGTGAAACCCCTGAAGTTATTGGAATATGATATCAATTTGTGATTTTATGTAGTAATATGTTTGTTTTTCATTTGTTTATAGCTGGGATGATGCATACAAAGAAGAGATACAGAATTTCAAAATAAATGGTGATGTTGGTGAAGTATGGTCAGTATATTTAAAGGCCCCATGTAAAGTTTGAATATATAGTTTAATCATTTAAATATTACTTTTTATGACTTTAAAACTATTTGAAACATTTTTAGATACTTGAATTTCCTGCTTTTCTTGAAAAAAAGGTTTAGGCAAAGAAATTGTTAAGTGGACCTCTTTCTTCAATACTAATGAATTTAGACATTTCGGTACTTTAAATGGTCAATATCTTCCATAATTGCTCAGATATATCATTTTTCAGAAAATAAAATTAAGATTGTAAAGGAAACAGTAGCTTCCAACATGTTTCACTCTCTGATCTTTGTTGACTCTTGTTTGATGTAGGTTTGGAGAAGATACTATGGAGAGAGTCGTTGACTGGATAAATGAAAATGATTCAGTCACAAAATCCTCCTCAATTCTTGACATAGGCACGGGGAATGGTGTGATGCTTCTTGAACTGGTAAGTTAACACCTCTTTTAAAACAAAGAGAGGAAAACCCCATTTAAAGATTAATCTCTTTTTTATTGGTCTGTGACACCCCCATGGGTGTAGAATTTCATCTACAAGTTATCAGAAGTTCAAATCTGATTTTAGCTTTAAGATTTGACCTTCAATGACCTTCTCAAGGTCAAAAAGGTTTTTTTTCAACTTGCTTCAAATTGACCAATTTTTTTTCAAAATCATCTACAAGTTCTCAAAAGTTCAAATCTGAATATAGATTTGACCTTCATTGACATTTTTGAGGTCAAAAAAGATTTGAACTTCAATGACCTTCTCAACTTGTTTCAAATTGACCAATTTGTTTTTAAAATCATCTTAAAGTTCTCAGAAGTGCAAATCTGGCTTTAGATTTGAGATTTCACCTTCAATTGCCTACTCAGGGTAAAAAAAACTTGTTTCAAAATGACCTTTTTTCAAATCATCTACAGTTCTCAGAAATTCAAATCTGACGTAATAATATTGTGAGCAGCTAGGTGGTGACATTTTGTCATGTTAATGCCTTGTTTTATATATTGCAGCATGCATTGGGCTATGAGAGCTTAACTGGAGTAGATTATTCAGATGGAGCAGTGGAATTAGCTAAGTCAATAGCTGCTTCCAAGGATGCTTATATAAAATTTGAGGTAAACCAAGTCTTTTCAACTACATGTATTCTCTTTGACAGTGTGATTTAGAACATTCCAATACACCTGAGTAGGTTCTGGCACAAGGTTTTATATTGTGAGAGATAGCTCGATCTGGTTTCTTTTTCATAACATCCTGGGCAGCTCCTATCTAGGCCAAAATTTTCCTATAATGTTAAAACTAAGAACAGAAACACATTCAGAACCGGCCTAATGTGTTCCTTGTATACACATGTTCCTTGCAGAGAGAGGTCAATAAAATGAAAGTCAATGGGATTTGGTTCTTACTATAACTGTTCCTTAGTGACAGATGTTCTTTCCAGATAGGTGTGTCATCAGACAGGTCTTACCACTGGTAAAATAATAGTCTTGAGGAATATAAACTAGACAATGTTATTGTGACTGGCATTCAGTGTTTGGCATTGGCATCTGGGAATTTTTTTTATTGCAAACTGCATAAAACTGGAATGTGTGAATATTGTGGCTATGCTCCATACTCTCCATGAAGTTGAACAATGCGAAAGCTAACAAAAATGTAAAAAATCTGTAATTCCAGACGGCTGATATCTTGGCTGATCTTACATGTACCGAGTGTTTAGCACTGCGACAGACATATGATGTGTGTGTGGATAAGGGAACATATGATGCCATCAGTCTCAACCCGAACAATGTCACAGAATGTAGACAAAAATATATTGAAAATGTCTGGAAGATACTCAATGAAAACGGACTGTTAGTGATAACATCATGTAACTGGACAAAGGAAGAATTACTGAATCATTTCTCAAAAGGTAGGTGCTTATGAAAAGATCAGTTTACAACAGGGGCGTAGGCAGGTTTCAGTCAGGGGGGTGCGATCGCCAAATTCTTTCGATTTCGATTGCACCAATTGCAAATTCATTCATAAATTCATAAGATGTGCAAATGTACTCATATTTTGCCAGTATTTCTGGTTTTGTTGAAATTGTGTTTTTCACCGTGTCAAGTATTCTGTATATTTACTTTCAGGTTTCAAGTTTCAACATCATATAAGAGCACCAACATTCCAGTTTGGGGGTAAAACAGGAAGTACAGTGACCTCGCTCATATTCCAAAAATCTCAGATGTAACACATACTGATGAAGAACAAGTCTGACATCTTTACAATATACTGTGATGGTCTCACCTAAGTTCTAACAGTTATTTTTTTGTTTTTTTATTATGTCATGGTCACAGGGGTGTGAAGTCACAGGGGCGTGAAGTGAGACTATATAGTATAATGTTACGAACTGAACTGAAAAATACATTGACAGTCAAGGATTTTTTTCAAATCCATATTTATTTTCAATGTAATAAAAATACAATTACGTGACAGTAGCTATAACAATATATAATAATAATAATCATTATTCATTTTTGTTATTCACCCTATGCAGACAGAGCCTGTGGGAAATATTGGGTGCGGAGTAGTGCTCGGACCGGTAATGAAAAGTGGTGCCAGTATTACCATATGTCATTACCGATATTAACCGACTATTTAGCAAGTATTTTGAAAAAAGCTAGAAAAAGGTTTTCCCCGGGTATATTTCGCCAAAAATCTCATAGTACGCCATACATACCACTTAATTTATCTGTAGAAACAGTAGAACCCACTCAGAATCATTTTAAACCACTAAACAATCCTGATTCTAACGGTTCATGTGATATAAACTCGTAAAATAAATACGTTTTCGTTCGTTGTATTATCAGCCTCGTTCTGAACTTCAAATCGGGCTATAATAGGTAAAGTGAAACTTCAACGTCAGGAAAATGGTTTAATTCTGTTTATTTTACTTAGTTATGTACACAAATCGGTTTCTATACATAACAGTTTAGTTGATAAGTGAGAAAAGAAACTATAGAGATCATACTGATGAAGGAATTTGACTGATTCCGCCCGGGAATCTAATTCAGCTGAATGCCGTCCATTGCCGGTAAGAAGATTTTGATGCCGGCATTAGGTCAAATTAGTGCCGTTGCCGGTAATGCGGTATTACCTCCGACCACTAGTGCGGAGCAAATGAGCGGAGGGTGCGGAGCTAACGGTTATTTTTGAATTTAAATTTGGGATATTTCTGAAACTAAGTCGTTTTGGGACTTCAAATATACCAAGATATGTGTATTTGACACCAAATATCAATACAATTGTGAAAATAGTAGCGCAATTCATTCTATAGCGACGCAGTGTGCCTTAAACCTTTCCCAGACCTATATATTTTGAAATTATCCTTTTAATACTGAGTCCCCAGCATTCATAAAAAATGGTGTTCAAGGTGCACTATCTATACAAATTGTTTTTTGCATCTTGGAAGCCAGGCAGTATCTGTGATTTTATAAAAATTCTGAAATTTTTTCAGATATGAGCCCCCTCTAAATATTTGGTGCGGAGCAGCTCCATAAACGTAGCTCCGCACCCAATATTTAGAGGGGCTCATATCTGAAGAACATTTCCGAATTTTTATAAAATCACACAGATACTGCCTGGCTTCCAAGATGCAAAAATAATTTGCATGGGTAGTGTATCTTGAACACCATTTTTTATGAATGCTGGGGACGCAGTATTAAAAGGATAGTCTCAAAATATATAGGTCTGGGAAATGTTTGAGGCATACTGCGTCGCTATAAAATGAATTGCACTACTATTTTCACAATTTTATTGATATTTGGTGTCAAATACACATATCTTGGTATATTTGAAGTCCCAAAACGGCTTAGTTTCAGAAATATCCCAATTTTAAATTCAAAAATGACCGTTAGCTCCGCACCCTCCGCTCATTTGAGCCGCACCCAATATTTCCCACAGGCTCTGTCTGCATAGGGTGTTATTGCTGTTGTAGTTCCCATTATGTATTTACATTTCTCGCAACGAGACCCAGGATTAATGACAGTAGGGTACAAAATAGTTTCTCCTTTCACTTTAAAACTGAAAGGTATTATTATTATGTTCCACACATTGTTTGAAAATATGAGAAGACTTTTATGCTCTAAACTACAGTTAGAAAATAGGAAAATGCAGGCTGTGAAAAGAGAATTTAGTCAAATATTTTTCATATGATACACATATGATTCAGTTTAATGCAACATTAATTTAAAAGTAAAGATTGGCACAACGATAAATGTGCTGAATATTACAGAAGAAAATGCTTTCTTCCCTATGTGTGAGAATCTCTAGTCAACTTTTGACATCATAAAGATACAGCCCACATCACAAACAATACCCATTAGAAATTGTCTGTCATTCATTGAATAACTCTGCTTTCTAACATTTCAAAGAAAATTTACAGATTTGATTATTGCTTGTTTTTTTATAAAACCCAATTGTGGTATTTTTATCAAGTGAAATAAATGTTTTACATTGTATTATAAAGTGTATTTTCATACACATGAAAATGAAAAGTATGTCCCTTTTAGATTAGGACTATTATGCAATTTAATCAGCTGATGATATAAATCCAAATTAAAAGAATAAAAAATATTTTTGTATGTATCGAATATTCTTATTACATATTTTTTTTTTTTTTAGGTTATTGTTATTTATTTCTATAATATTCAACATAATTATTTACATAGATTGTGAGGGGCCGAGGCTACATAGCATTATTGGCCCCCCTCTAGAAAGTTAAAAACATATAATAAATCACTGGAGTGTGTAGGATTGCAACGGACAGACGGTCGTCCACCAGGTCTTGCCCATGATGATGTATATGAGTGTTAATGAGAGATGATGTGAAATGAGGAGGATGGTCATTCTAAGATGTTATCGATATAATTTGAAGATAGTTGAAGGCATTTTGTATTCAGTTCACTATTTAAATTTTCATCTCCATAAAGTATAAATTCTATTTTTTGCTTTCTGGTTTTTCCAAAATAGCACATAATATCAAGATTGTCTAACTTTAGGATGTTCTGTATGTAATCATTTCTATGTACATATGTACATGTACATATTACATATTAGAAATAAAAATAGTTTCTAACATTGATCCAAGGGAATGTTTCGTGGAATAAACAATCAGATACATATTACTTCATCTAATTTTCTAGTTACTTCCTCTTCTAGTTAACTTAATTGTAGACAAACAAGACACAGAGTGAACAGAGTCGCACCCTTGAAAGGAAAATAGTTTTTGAGAAGGACACTCCATATGGCCATCCTAACATTTACCTAGACAACCCAAAAACTAATCAGTTCTAAACTTTCATGGAGAAACATCCCTGAAAATTTAAGATGAATGCATCAGATCAAACAGTTTGCCTGGAAACCTGTAGACAAGATTTATCAGGATGTCCACCCACCCATCCACCCCAGCAAATTGATCACAATATAGCACCCAAGGGTGCAATAAAAACCCAAAACATACAGTAAAACCTCTTAAAGGTAAACCCTTTGGAAGAAAATTACAATGTAAAAGCGTACAACATAGGAATGTTTGCTTAAAGTGACTCAATGCATACTTTTCAGTGTCCTTAGCAAAATAAAGACTTTTTAGTCTTTGTATTTCAAATGGACTGTCTCGAACTTTCATTTGACAGCTCGAATGGGTCACATTGGAGCTTACAATAAATTATCAAAATTAAATTGATCTATTAAATTATGTCATATGAAAGATGGCGATGATATTCATATTCAATTACTCATTCATTTTGGTCTCTATGCCAACCAAATACACCATCTATTCATTCAAAAGTAATTTTAGTGAATAAAAAAGTGCACATGCAAATACCACGTAAATACCAATCTCTGTACTTATGCTGTTTTCTAACCCCCCTATCACACCAAACTAGTTCTTACCCGTTCTTGCCAGTTCTACGAAAACGTCGTCAAATGGGCTCAATCTGGCTGTGGTCGGGAAATATGTCTGAAATAATTAGCTTCTTCGTTCTTAAACAGTCTTCAATACGTCCATCTCGTTCGCAGTTCGTTCAGGTTTCAGACATATTCAAAATTCTTAAATCACATTCCCGTCTGAGAACGTTCATAAAGTTCGTAAATAGACCTTAGAAAGTTGCAGCTACATTCATTCCGTTCGCACACAGTTTAAAACCAGTTTTGAAGAACGCAGTGGAAACTTGTTTGGTGTGATAGCTATATTTTTGCTAACTCGTTCATAAGCAGTGTTAAATACGTTCTTAATCAGTTTAAACCCGTTTGCAATTAGTTCTCCCTCGTTCTCAACAAGTCCGCAGACAGTTCAACTCGTTGTTAAAACGTCCCTAATAGGATTGAAGTACGACGGTTCTGTTCGTAGTACGTCCAGCTCGTCGTTAGTACGTTATCACTCGTTCTAATTGTAGAACGTGACGACCACGAGAACATTTTGAGCATTGTCTAAGTTCTAGAGGACCTACCCGTTCGAGTTCGTTCGATGAAGTTTGTAAATAGATCCCAAACGGTTCTTAGTAGGTCCAGTCCGTTCGTATACAGTTGAAGCCCGTTTTCGAGAACGCAGTGAGAACTAGTTTGGTGTGATAGTAGGGTAAGGGAGTTATTTTTCATTGCATAATATTTTCACAAAAGAAGCTTTATATTGTATTCAATTGATTCTGTGAGTGAAGGACATATTTCCAAGATTTTTCTTCCTTTTTTATTCTCAAGTACGCAGTGAGCCTCCTTAAGAAAAAAACACCGAAAATAGAATTTTTAAAAGATAAAACATGCTTACTGAATACTTAATGTAAATGCTGAGATTCATCCCTATATACTACTATTGCATTTTATCGTCAACTTCATTGTAATTTACATACGGAAGTAAAACCTCTGGAACTTTGTTGAGATATGGCAATACAGTCAGGGCAAGTCCGATAAAGAGGAAGTAGACTAATCCATAGCCAAATATATCACATAAATATCCACTAATGGAGGTGAACACCAGTTTTCCCAGTACTTCCATTGTAGCTAATGTTGAGTAATGTGTGGCTTGGATAGGCTTTGGGGCCTCTTGTGAGCATTGCATCATGAATGTGAATGTTGCAGTGGTTATAACGCCACCTATGAACAGCAGCAAGCACATTGCACTGGCACCTGAATCTGAAATTAGGAATCTTAGATTTAGTTACAACATATATACATATAAAGGCATTACGCTGTTCACAAAAAAGGTGGAGACTACAGGTATTACAATGTGTCACTAGTGTAGATAGCATACTATTTGTACATCGAATTCATTGACTTAAGTCTTATAATAAATTAAGACCTTCTTGAGAACCTTATTATTACCGGGACTTCTTGAAAGAATCAATGTGACTAATAATTGATACACAATGTCATGTACTCCATATTCAAAAATATTTGTAATCTTACATAAGACTAAAACTGTATGCATGTGCATTATAAAAATGTACATTCCACACTATACTCAAAGATTAATTTCAATGAAAAAAGCAATCTTACAAAATAATATATTTTTGTTGACGATCCCCCACGTCCACACTGAGATGAGCCAGAGTTGCATCCCAAGAGGAATGAACCGCAGAAGACAGAACTGGTAAAGCACATCCCATGGTGGCCAGCTAACAACATAAAATGAATCAAACTATTATTTCACGAACAAATTGTAAATTCATGCAGTACACAAAAAACATACATATCATGTCAAAATTTTGGCTACTTATTTAGTTGAATTAATTCCCAATAATTGTTTTCAAAATTTCTACCTTTTCTCACAAATTTTTACAATTGTCTGGTTACCATTAAAAATTAATTTTTCCCCTATGCAGGGGTCTCGATACCAGGAACGACTGGTTGCTGCATCTAGGTACTTCTAAGCTTGATGTCACATGTTATGTATGTATAACTATGACATCTGCAGAGTCATGTTTTTCTAGATTTAAACATAATAATAAACATGCTTAACTTACTTGAAGCGAGATATTATCCATCCTCCAAATATAGATCCAAATATGGAAATAGTTTGACCTATGACACCAGTCCAGAATCCTATATCTGTGGTGGAGAATTTTTTATCTACTAGGAATAGTGGAAACATTCCAACAGCACCTTGTTCACCTGAAATAAGGAGAAAATTATTTTTATCTGAATAATAAATAAATAATAATCATATATTCATGTACAATCATGAATTAACTTGCAATCATATATTCATGTACAATCATGAATTCACTTGCAATCATATAATTCATGTACATTCATAAATTCACTTGCAATCATATAATTCACGTACATTCATAAATTCACTTGCAATCATATATTCATGTAAAATCATAAATTCACTTGCAATCATATAATTCATGTACATTCATAAATTCACTTGCAATCATATATTCAAGTAAAATCATGAATTCACTTGCAATCATATATTCATGTACAATCATAAATTCACTTGCAAAATCATATATTCATGTAAAATCATAAATTCACTTGCAATCATATATTCATGTACAATCATAAATTCACTTGCAATCATATATTCATGTAAAATCATAAATTCACTTGCAATCATATATTCATGTACAATCATAAATTCACTTGCAATCATATATTCATGTAAAATCATAAATTCACTTGCAATCATATATTCATGTACAATCATAAATTCACTTGCAATCATATAATTCATGTAAAATCATAAATTCACTTGCAAAATCATATATTCATGTACAATCATAAATTCACTTGCAATCATATATTCATGTACAATCATAAATTCACTTGCAATCATATATTCATGTATAATCATAAATTCACTTGCAATCATATATTCATGTACAATCATCATTTGCAATCAAGTATTTATGTTGTACCTGTACAATTATATTATAATTCACAAATTCATTTGTAATTATGTATTCACTGATATGTATAATCACCCTTGGTATACGCACCTAACGAAAGTTGACCGGTACGGGTCAAAAGCTGGACCGGTACGGGTTAACGGTTTTATTTGAATTTAAAACAGCCATAACTTGCTCAATATTGACTTCCTCGTGTCTAATTTGAAATATATGATGCCTCCCAATGCTTTTAAGTACCCCGATTTTTTACAGATTTTTAAACGGACCAAAAATCTCTAAATGTGCATTTATGCTCTTTTCTCTCGAGAACGACTGTCTCATTTTCACAATAACTTTTATTTAGTACTTCTAACATATAAGATCTATTTTTCCCCATCAAGGTATGATGTAAATGACATGCTATTTACATCTTGTGAGTTTCAATGACGCGCGTTTAATTTTATAAAAAATGCCAAACTTTGTGACAAAGAATTTCATCAGCTATTGCCCCGAACCGGTCCGTCTTCTCGCTGCAAGCAGATTGCCCCGAACCGGTCCGTCTTCTCGCTGCAAGCAGGATGAAATTCTTTGTCACAAGATGTAAATAGCATGTCATAGCATGGGGAAAAATAGATCTTATATGTTAGAAGTACTAAATAAAAGTTATCGTGAAAATGAGACAGTCGTTCTCGAGAGAAAGAGCATAAATGCACATTTAGAGAGTTTTGGTCCGTTTAAAAATCTGTAAAAAATTGGGGTACTTAAAAGCATCGGGAGGCATCATATATTTCAAATTAGACACGAGGAAGTCAATATTGAGCAAGTTATGGCTATTTTAAATTCAAATAAAACCGATAACCCATACCGGTCCAGCTTTTGACCCGTACCAGTAAATTTTCGTTAGCTGCGTATACCAAGGGTGATAATTGTATATTCACTTGCAATCATGTATTTACATAGAACCCTTACAATCATATATTCACTTCAAATACCAATGTCCGCCATTTGTGACAACGGTATCTGACTTTATCATTGTCAGGCTATTCCGGTGTGATATTGGAAGTTTCTAAAATACAAACACAAGTTTGCAGATGAGGGTTTTTCAGTATGTCCTGAAGTTAACGTTTTGAAACCAAGAGATTTAATATTCTAGGTTGAAAGTTACTTTTAGTCTCAGACAATATCTGAATGGTTTGCAGAACTTCAAAAGAAAATATTTTGTTATTATGTACATCTATGGAAACTTTGTTTTAAAACGATTTATATCTTTTGGGAGAACCCTCATTTTTTCACTCATTAAATAACTGATTTATCTACTTGATGGATGAGCAAATTAATTTGCAATTATCTATGTAAAATTAACAAAGCACGATCAATAAACATTGCTGAAATATTACAATATCATTAGAATGTCATTTCATACATCCATTTCATAAATACAGGGTGGTGCTCAAAAATATGTATTCTGTTTTTTGCTTTATCTATTAAAAATGCATAGATTTTGGTAAAGTTTTTGCAAGGGATGCAGCAATCAATTATACAATCAATCCTAACATGGCACAATCATATCTACATTTGTATGAGTCAGGTAAAAGTTAGATGTTTAATTTGTAGGCTCAATCTAGCACCAAACTGATCTTCCTTACCAAAACTAGAAAAACAGCAACTCTACAGAGTAGCAAATCCCACCGAACAAAACATATTTTGATAATTAGTGGCCATCTTGAAAGTTTCTTCTTGAACAACTTATCAGCAACCAAATCCATCCACTGGCACTTGAGTTATCAAAGATCATGTTTTTTCTGAAAAATGACAGCCATTTTGAAATTCTTTCTCTAACAGAGCTATTGTGTTAAACATCATCATATAAAATTTGAGCCAAATCCATTCATTGATATTTGAGTTATCAAAGATTTTGTTTTTACAAAAAATGGCAGCCATTTTGAAATTCAGCCTCCATCTTGAGATTCTATTTCTATCAAAGCTACTGTGTCCCAAGGCATCCTCATATAAAATCTGAACCAAATCTGTTCACTGGTATTTGAGTTAATATAGATTAAGCTTTTTACGAAAAATGGCCACCATTTTAAAATTTAGCAGCCATCTTGAAAATCTCTTATTGAGTGAAGCTCCTTTGTCCTTAGGCATCAGCATATAAAATTTGAATCAAATCCGTCAACTTGTATTTGAGTTATCACAGATTACATTTTTATGAAAAATGGCCGCCATTTTGAAATTCATCAGCCATCTTGAAAATCTCTTCTTGAGTTCATTTTTTACAAAAAAATAGCGGCCATTTTGAATTGAGCGGCCATATTGAGACATCATTCACCCATAAGGCATAAGCCTGTAAAATTTGAATCAAATCTGTCAACCATATCTCAGAATAGTTTTCCACATACGGACAGATTTTTCCAGGCATATTATACCTGTATACAGTTTCTTGAATTGTTTCATTAAGTGCCTTATGATATTTCTTATATTCCACACCCAAAATTATAGGTGTCCCTGACAGGCTGTTTAATATGCCTCATATGTGTGAGGCATGACTAATATCAGTATGAAATAGCTGCCCAGAATACACTTTCTTCGTCAAAATTTTATTTGAGAAACAATTGCAAAGTGAGTCCTGCACCTACATCAAATATATATGCATTATCCCAAAGAAGATTACCAAATAAAGAAAAAAAAGAATATATGCATATTTCGGCCATCCTGTACATATGTCAATTAATAGGCGCAACATGGGGAGATTATTATACATCAAGAGCAAGATAATTAGATGTTAATTGAAAGCAGCTAAACAGGTCAGGAACACAAGATAGGTCAACCTAAAACGTCTACAGGGAAAACGGGTAATACTGGTCAGTATAACAAGTTTGACAGTATGTTGGAATCTGTTGAATTTTAGTTGTGGATAAAGAAAATGAATTTATTTCAACATCATATGATGCTAGAAAAAAAAATTAACTAGTTTCAGGAACTGAGAAATAATTTAAATAATAAATTTAAATATTTTCACTGATTGGTAACATTATGAGTTTTCCAGTACATTTTAAAATATCTTGTCACTCATTTAGCATACCATTAGAAAGCATAAAACTTTAATGATACATATAAAAATATCTTGACTGACTGGCAACATATACAATACATACAGGGTGATCAATAAATAAGGTAAAAGTATCTGGTATTTGGTAAATATTGGTCCAAACATCCTGAAATTTGGTCAGAATAAACCTTGTACATTTCTGAATTGAAACGTATAAAGATATAAATTCTGCCATCTGATTGGTTAATATTATAGTTACCATGGCAACTGGAGTCCGAGGTACCCGGGGCAATTTAATTGCATCCAATTTGAACGAAAAATGATAATAAAAAGGACCTCTTTTTCAAACTGAAAAGAAATAAACGTGGGTGCCAGCATTTATTATTTTAAAGGGTTCCGATAAGCTTCCCGTATAAAAACAATATGGCGGCTCCAGGCGAGTCAACTGGATCAGTCCATTTCAAGAAACAAGGGGAGTTTTGTAAAATAAAGTTAATTGAAATTGTCTTAGAATAAAGTATAATAAGTCTGAAAACATTATTGAGAGAGTGATTTTTCAAAGAATGCATGTACAACAGCCAATATAAATCATTGTATAAGAACTGCTTTGTTTCATTTGGAGAATATATCATATGCCAAGCTCTGTGCTAATACGTTATTGGGAAATTTAAATGTCAATTTGTCCTTATAATACACAAATAGATGATCTTGAAATGTTAGCGATGAATGTGATATGGATTTGTTAAAATGAAAATCTCCCTTTTATAAATGTGTGACGATCTATACTGTACCAATGTTATATAACAGTTAGAGGTGTTGACACAACAACCTCGAGCCTTTGAACCCTTGAGTATTATTCCGGGATCGAGCCTTTTATACTAAATGGTGAGCAACACCAGAAACGAGCGTTCGATTTGCTAAACGATATGCGTCACCCTTTAATACTTTGTTACCATTGTTACATATTTTCTTGCAAATTTGGTATTTGATGTCACGGAAAAGATAAATAAATAATGAAAACTGATGTGATCATAGAAAGTCTATGACACAGGTCAATGATGAAAAACAATACAGAAGAGATTTGATGAGAGCAAAGAGGAAGAAGAGGCCCGTAAAACGTTTCACATTGCACTTGGATAATGCTTCATCTCACAATGCTATTCTCATGGTACAAGCCATTGAGGCGCTAGGTTTCCCACTGTTAGGTCATGTTCTATACTCTCCTGACTTGTCCCCTAATGATTTTATCTTCATGGTGACCTGAAGAGGGAGGTGAGGGGGTTTGAAATATATTATCAAAAGTGCTTCGACTGAAAATTTAGTTCTTTGATAGTTGCCCCGGGTCTTCATGCTTTCTGTTGCTATGGCAACCATAACTTCAACCAATCACATCACTTTGATCTGTAACTTAATGTATCAATTCAATAATGTTTGAACATTATTCTGTGCAAATTTTATGAGGATTGGGTAAAATCTGAAGAAATGCCAGATACTTTTACCTTATTTATTGATCACCCTGTATATGTATAGTTTTCCATTATGATTTAAAGGGATCACACATTCAGTATAACATAGGAAAGCTTGTCTTGTTTCACTTATTTCATTTATAATTATATTAAATCAAACCTTCAGTGTAATATGTAATGCATAGAACTTTAATAATATTTGACCAAAATTTTTGCAGACTGAAACAAGGCCCAACATATATTTTGACCTCTTGGGGGTCATAGCCACTACAACCTGTAAATATGTTACAATGATTTTAATAAAAAAAATAAAAATGTCACTGCCTGCCATTTGTTACAGATATCAGACACCATCCACAAAAAGTTGAAGACTGTAACAATATGTTTCTACTTCTGGTGGCAGTGACATAAAATAAAAACCAAGAAGTTGTCCATACACACACCAACAGGAATCTTATTTTGTCTTCTTTAGCCTACTTTCAACAATTAAATCATACCTTCGGAGAAATCAAATATAATACAACAAGCTGTAATAATAGATGACAGCATTACATATAGTTTTTGCTTTGATATTTACACTTCAGAAATGCACAATGTTAGTGAATCAATGGCTCTTGGTTGTTTTAACAACCATCTGATTGAAATGTCCAAAATATATTTTGGGATGAATGAAACCTTACCCAATTACACCTTTTATACACCACATGTTAATAGTAATCATATTTTCATTTCTCCAATAGGAAAACTATGAGGATATACATTCTCACTCAAGTTTTGGCTATTTTGTCATTGGCCATCGCTGACACATCTCTACCATATCCTTCCCATCATGTCATAGATGGTGATTTGTACATCATTGTAATCTTTGGTTTAACAAGCAATGGCTGCAAGGACATAAAACTATCACATTCTTTCCAATATATGGAAGCTGTTGACCTTGCTCTTCAACATATAAACACGCATCAAGGCCAGTTTGAAGACCTAGGTGTCAAAATTGGTGCAATTATTATGGATGACTGTTCATCAGCAGACCGCGGATATCAACTGACTAAAGAATTTTACGAAGGCGTTCTTTTGGTCAATGATTCAACTGGTGCCCGCATTGAACCTGATCAGATTGTTGGATTTGTTGCATCTCCAACCAGTGACAGAACTATGAAAGTTGCAGAATATTTGAAGACTACAAAGACAGCTTTAGTGGCTCCATTTGCTACAAGCCCTCAGTTTAGTGACAGAACTAGGTTCCCATATGTTGTCAGAACTGTACCATCAGACAGTAAGCAGGTAAGAATCTATTCGATATTTGGTCTAAGATATTCATTCAATGATATGCCAAACAGGTGCTCAACACATTTGGTAAGGACAATGGTTGAATCGTCGCTTTCCACTGGGTCTAGAGCCCGGGGGGTTCACTGTATATAAACTTTGACGGGGATCCTCGGCGCACATGGGATACCTTTTTTGACATTTGGTATGACAATGGACCCAGATTTTAGGATCTGTTATGAGAATGCCCCCCAAATTTTTGACATGGGGTATGGCAATGGTCAGATATTTCCACTTTCTGGAATGAGAATGGTCGTGGAAAATATGTTACCTCACACTTGTGGTATGGTATCAGTCTAGTAGTTACATATATCCTTAATTTGAGGTTGTTTTGGATTGTTTTCCTCATAGATCTGCCTTAATCTGAAGGCTTTCCTCAATTCGAATATTAGCATTTTTCTACTTTGGACATTTAGACATTTGGTATGACATTGGTCTAATATCTTGATATTTGGTATGGCATTGGTCCTATATTTGGGCATTTGGTATGGCTTTTGGGTTTATTTTGGGTTGATATGGGAACACATTGAAATTTGACAGATTGCTATGGGAACATATTGATTTCTGAGGGTTCAGCCTAGGACCCCCGCCAAAATGTATAAACAGTGAACACCCTCCCCCCCGGGTCTAGAGACACCCTTGGCATAACAGGTCCCATAGGTGTTAAGTCCATAGACCCAATCAGAATGCTGTGCTTCATCATGTGACAAAATATTGAAAATGTCTGAATAAATATTGCATCGTTGATTGGCCAATTGGTTTTGTGGCGTCTCACAAAACTCTGCGGCAACTGCCAGGAGGAGCAATATTGAGATTGAACTCAGCTTACAAAGTGGTCAGTTAAATTGGGCAGATTTATCAAGATGAGATGGGAACAATTGAAACCTTGTGAATCAAGATGCAATGGTTGCACATTAGAGAATTGCTCTGGCGCATCATTAAGAATTATTACACAAATATTTAATTCTATTGAGACCTCCGCATCTTTCACAAGGAGTATTTTAATCTAAAAAACGAATTGTGCAAAATTCAAGATATATCTTGATAAAATAGCACAATCTGATGCTTTACCAAAATATTTTCTAATCATTGGTGTGGACAATGAAGAAGAATGTAAATACATGTAGGTGCCTTTTTATCTCAGTGATCCTGAAAATAAATAATCATATATATTCATGTATTTTCAGGGGCCTGCTTTTGCAGCATTTTTCATGAGTCTTGGCTGGCCCAATGTTCATGTTATCATTGAAGATGAATCATCATATACCAGAGACTTGGCAAATACGTTCAAAGAAACATTTGAAAAGGAAGAACAAGGGAGATGCATTGCCTCTACTCACATGCTAAATGTAAGTGAAATTTTTTGGATATGGCACAGGTAGTTCTGTACGATACATTATAATGGCTTCATAATGGAGTCCCATATTATTTTAGGTACATACAACTCATTCTAAATAGTCATCAATTAACACAATTCTTGTAAGATACATCTTTAGAACGAATTGAAGCATATTTTAAACCCAACTATGTAGAAATATATCGGTCATATCAAGTGTGGTTGGCAATCCAAAAAGTATTTCAAAAAATTGAGACTTATTTTTAAGAATTTCATCTGTTTTAAATGGAACATAATTAATATTTTTCAATAATTGTAAGGCCAAGTCCTGGGCAAAGTATGCCTTGTTTTTTTATTTCTTCAAATACAATGTACATTATTCTTGCAGGTCAAGGATCAGTATAATTATATTGGTTTTCAAGTAGTCCTGTTTGATCATCTTGAATAATTTTTTGGTAATATTGATTTGATTTTTGCTGCTATGCTTTTTGTGCAATTATCATACTAGAGTCTATAGTAATTACAATTGAAATTATCAATATAGCGATATTTGTAATTTTGATACAGGGCACACATGAAATTAGCATTATCAGATATTATCAAGAAAGGACAAGTCTCAGTTTGGAGAATAGTCTCCTGGGCTAATAATTTTTTTATGAAAAACAAAGAAATATTACCCAATTAAATTGTGAATATTCAAAAGAGGAAATTTAAATCTATAAGATGTAAAAATATCAAAAATTGTCCGAAGCAGGCATAACATGAAATAGATCGATTCAATAAAAGACAAGTCTCAATTTGGAGAAAGAAGTTCATCAGTGTACTCACGCGGTAGTATCTCTTCGGGACGTATCGAAACCACTCCGTCCCGAAAAACCGTTAATTTGAATTTAAAACCTACCCCAGTGTTTGAAAATCAAGGATTGTGAGTCTCACACTTCACCGTTTTTCTTCAAACTTGTTCCGTACAAAGCTTCACAGAAATACCTTTCAGTCGATACATTGTTTTCGTGTATAAAGTACCTCGTTTTAGCGGCGTTTTGGTCCCCAGCTGTGAGATAAAGCAAATTTTCATAACTTTCAACTGTAAGTCAAGTTACCTTGTCAGTCTTTTACCCATTCTCGCCCATAATTTCAGAATGGACTCCCATTACAACCTTCCATCGCTACGTCTTGATTTTTGGGCATCAAACGCAGCAGTTTCTAAATCATCCACACATCTCTTCAAATTTGACCATTACGTCCCGTCATCTTCCACTACGCCCCGCCGAGTCTATCACTATACACGTAGAGTTGCATTCTAAAACAATTTGTCCATCGATGTGTCCGTTTGTAGGTTGCCATTGTCGATTCTAAATACCAATCGGATTGTGTTTTAAGATTTACCCATTCTTGTCCATTTTCAATATACCTATAATAGGGTGGTCCAAAATCTCCCTAAAATTTAGATTTCCCTATATTGCAATATAAAGATTTTAATTACTGAACAATTGAAAATATTTTTAAGAAACGTTTAAAGTGCCCTATCCTTGAAAAAATGTTAAAATGCGAAAGGATGGGTGATGTAAATTATATTATTTTCAGCATAACGTTAGAAACATGTATCATTTTATATGGTACACGTTTCATAATGTAATGTAAAGGTTTGTTAGTACTTTGCCTTGGATGTCATACAGTACATTTACACTGTGGCATGATGATGAACTTAGAAAATATGTATCACAGGCTAGTATCGAAATATTTGTCCGTTGTGACGGAGCATGCTATTTTTCATAACAACACTAAGAATACTTGCTGAAAACATATGTTAATATTATCGTGTCACTATATCATGCCATTAAAAAGTTAAAAAAGAAATGGTACATTTTAGAGTTTGATACTCTGGCGCCGTTTTCAATAGATTTTACTCCTAGCGTTATTGGACTTTAAACAGAAGTGAAGGTTACACGCAAATGATATATCCATTGTATGGAGTAAGTAATTATATTTGATATAACGAAACATATGAGTTAAAAAATAAATCGTGAAGCATTCTTAGTGTTTTTATGAAAAATAGCATGCTCCGTCACAGCGGACAAATCTTTCGATACCAGCCTGTGTGTATAGTCATGACAAAATGTTCTTTGTGATATAATATTGTATAGTATCATTCTGATACGTATTACATGTTTATGTTAAGTGCATAAAATTCATAGCCAGATCAATAATTCGGAGAGAATACGCTGGACGATAGAATATTAAAAACTATAAAAACATTCTTCATAGAATTAAGCAAATAGTGTTATTATCATTTAAGTAGTAACTGCATATGTTTAAAAACACTCTGTGTAAATACAGGTAAATAAATAAATATGATGCAATGAAAATTGAAGCTTTCTGTCGAGAGCAATAGTCATCACAATAGTATAGCGTTTTTTCTTTTACATGTTACTTTTTGTGCATCATTGATTGATCCGATCTAATCTGCCCTCGGCCGATAATTTATAAATTATTTATGTTGAACATTAGCAAAACAAGATTTCAGATTTTATTGTGTTTCAAACCAGACACTTGGTTTCCTCACAAAATCAAATACAGGACAATTACATATAATTAAAGTTAAAAAGCAACATCTTCACAAACATTTAAATTATCAATTTCATGCAATCAGTTATAGTTATACTCCGTATGTATGCTAAACTTAAGACTGGTGTTAAGAATCGACCAAGGCAAACCTATGTAAAATTACACAACGATGAACAAAATGTTTTAGAATACAACTCCACGTTTGTAGTCATAGACTCGGCGGGGCGTAGTGGAAGGTGACGGGACGTATTAGTCAAATTTTAAGAGATGTGTGGATGATTAAGAAACTGCTGCGTTTGATGCCCAAAAATCAAAACGTAGCGATGGAAGGTTGTAATGGGAGTCCATTCTGAAATTATGAGCGAGAATGGGTAAAAGACTGGCGAGATAACTTGACTTACAGTTGAAAGTTATGAAAATTTGCTTTATCTCGCAGCTGGGGACCAAAACGCCGCTAAAACGAGGTACTTTGTACACGAAAACAATGTATCGACTGAAAGGTATTTCTGTGAAGCTTTGTACGGAACAAGTTTGAAGAAAAACGGTGAAGTGTGAGACTCACAATCCTTGATTTTCAAACACTGGGGTAGGTTTTAAATTCAAATTAACGGTTTTTCGGGACGGAGTGGTTTCGATACGTCCCGAAGAGATACTACCGCGTGGTACTGCACTAATAATTTTTTATAAAAAATATTGAAATATCATCCAAATAGACTAGATGCGAGTAGACATAATCTAGATTTACGTCATTGAATATTCAAAATTCAGTTAAAGTAATGTCATATTTGAAATCTACATGTAAAAGTACATCTAAAAATATGGTTTCGAAAATTGTTTATCAACTCTGAAAATTAAATTTTTTTTTAAAGTTTGACTTCTCGTTCGGGTTGATTCCCCATACACCCAATGTTACAAAATCACAAAAAGTGAAATATCTTTTCTTGTATTGGACGGATAACATTTTCTTTTACTGGACATATTTTAATTTGCATAAGTATTAGATACATAAGGGTTATATGAAAATTGAACCACTAAAACAAATGTAATTTGATTTAAAGGGAACTTTCTGCTATACCCGCCATGCTATCTGACCCGAACGAGCCACCTGGTGGTGAAACTGGTAAATACCTACTCGCATCTGCGTTATTAAATTATGGATATTCAAAGAGTAAATTTAAATCTACAAAAGGACATTTAAATCCAAAGCAGGCGCAGTGGCGTAGCGTCGTTTACGCAAAGTACGCAAATGCGTCCACTGGAACAATCCAATGTTTATCTGAATATTTGGAAATTCTAAATTTCTCAAGTTAGCAAAGCCATTGTTCAACCTTATCATTTCGTATCTTTGAACAGGGTTCAACCATAGAAATTAGGTGTTTATTTTAGTCCCGACATGTCATTAATGATTTTTTCAAATTATACTCTCATAATTTCGTGAATACTCTTATGTAATCCATATGACCTCCCCGTATTAAGTACACAATGGCTGCCCATGTGCCGAATCCAGCTCCAGTTTTGGCGTAAGTATCTTTTGAATTTAATGATTAGGGATAGTTAATCAATTACGCTAATATCTATATAGTATATTAATAATATTCAAGCAAGATTTGGCTGTACCTTTCATCCATAAATCTTATTGGAAGACATTGAATAAGAGTAATCAACAGTGCTGTCTGCTGCAGACATCTTTTTGTTCAGTGTAAATTATTCAGGTTAGATTTTTACAACGATAATAGATTTTTTAAATGTTCAAAATTATTTTTGTGTAGAAATGGACCAGATTATGATGATCTACGTGGAGACGAGGCACTACAAGACTTATAATGAGTACTTATGAGTAAATTTCAAGTGGAAATGAATGCGTATCGGGTAACCCCCCCCCCCATCCCAATTTTGGAATTTTGCGTCCCCTAGTAAAATTGCCACGCTACGCCACTGAGGCGTAACATGCAGTAGACTGATGAACTTCATTCTCCAAACCAAGACTAGTCTTTTGATATTATCGCTAATACTGATAATTTTGATAGTATTACTATTAGCGATAATTTGATACTAGTAATTATCAAGTATAGCCAAGTTATCAACATTATCTGATAATTCTAAATTCACTTTGGCCATTTTCTTAGAAACTGAATAACTTCAGGCAAAACAGATTTTTCAGATTTAGACAAAATCATCAGACTCAAAGGCCATTAAAATTGACAAGACAAACATGTGGATATACCACAACAAGTTATCCTGTAGAATTTATACAGTATTATTTTATTTTCAGAGCTCACAGGCGAGGTATCACAATGAACAAATAATTTCAGCCATCATAAACAGCTCCTCCAAGTCTGATATAGTTTTGTATTTGGCAATAGAAATCAAAGGTTTACTAGAAGCCAAGGAAAAATATCTTGGAAATGAAAAGGCAAAACGTTAGTTTATTTATCATATTTAAAATCAATCGCGTATATACCCACAATCAGACTGGCCTTCCAACCATTTTACACCACTCTATCATTATTACACAACTTAGACAACCATACTAACTTATGTAATTGAATATCCATTATTAAGAATGAATCAAAAATTATTATGTGCACATGATTTTAGTCCCTTCATAAATATTGATATATATGTTTATAACTTGTAGGCCTTATATTTATTGGGCCAGAGGGATGGGGAAGAACTGAAAATGTGGTTAAAGGTCATGAAAAAGCAGCCAAAGGCTCAATAACAATAGGCCTGTATGGAGAACCTGTCGAACGTCTTGATGAGCATATGTCAAAACTTAGGTGAGAACTCAATTTTAGGTTGATTAATTTAAAGTTTGAACATTTACATAGTGACGAGACCTATTAGGCACAGAGTAACAGAAGTGCAGCAAAAATCAGAAAGAAATGAAATAGTCGATACCTTTAGTCCCATATGGAGAACCTGTCACAAGTATCTGATATACTTTGTCAAGGCTTGGGCAAGATCACATTCATAGACAATTCAATATTTAATACAAATTATAAAGAATAAGAAATCACCAACTGGTGAACAGCCAATTCACCATTCTATGCACATTTGTTTCAATAATGGTCTACTTTTTCTGCAGATTTGGCCAAAATTCTTCCCGCAGTGTTCACACGGACTTATACTTCAAAGCTTTGTTCAATTGTGATACCAACTGTTCTGCGAACATGATTTTAACAAAAGCTCCAACTTATAGCCAAGACACATTCACACTGCAAGTAATTAATGCTGTCTTTGCGCTTGGCATAGCTACAACTGAGAGATTTAAAGAGAAATGTGGCAGAGAGGCCAAGGCTGTATGTGATAAATTTGGTACAGCGTTTGGAGATGAATTTACGGAAGCTTTGGATAACATGTGCTTCAAGGGCATTGATGGTATAATAATCTACATTTATCATTATTACATTATTATCTGTCAATAAGACTCTCTAAAGATCAATAACAGTAAAATGAATAACCAACATGTCACTACCTGCATATGGTAACAAAAGTGTAACAGTTTGTGACAGATCCCAATCACTGAGGGTACACCCCAGTTGTCCGAAACCCAGTTCTCTGAAACCCAGTTGTCCGAAACCCATTACTCCGAAAAATGTAGTCATAATATACCAGAGAAAGGGGGACGTACTTAAGCTTAGGCCAGTTCCATGCCATGTATTTTGCCAAATTAATGGCATGGACGCATTCTGATGTTCATAGATCTCTCTCTCAGTTTGAATTGCATCCATTGCATGGCGTTACAAGAATGGCAGGAACGGGGAATTTATTTTACATTGAGATTCTAAAAAAGGTTATCAAAACACAATATATATTAAGGAACAGTTTGTCTATCTTCTTCAATCTCTTTTATATAGGCAAATTAAATGAAACATTTTGAAACAGATAAAATAAGTTAACGCATAGAACTTGAAGAATAAATTAGAATACATATTACATTGTCAAAATATTTCGTCGCATTCAATTCCTTAGTCTCTGTCTCTTATCAAATCGTAAAAGAACAAAACATTCTAAATGTAATCGATCACTTGGGATCAACTGGAAACGAAGGAAGGCTGTCCTCATATCAAAATGGATGTTCTCCCATTCGCAAGAAGTTTCATTTTCGCCATGTACTCACTTCATCCTTTTGAATTTAATCTCTATTTCTCGAACAGAGTACGTAAGTGAAGAATAAGTTTTGGTTTCAAAAGATGTACATGTTAACTTTACTAAATAAATGCCCACTGGCTTGGGAAAGCTATATTTTCTCTTTTATGAACACCCACCGCCCATTGGAAAAATGTTGTTCCCTCTCAATAAAAGGCCCATGGGCCATAAAGAAAATTGGTTTAAAAATTGTACACCCCTATGTATGTTATGTAAACGCCACTTTGCAATGAGAATAACATAATTTAACTTTGTTCGTTTGAACATCTATATCACCTGTATATGCCCTTGTACTTTCATCTTTTGACAGTTTTATTAAATACCCACCCATAAAGGAATCATTCAGTTGATGAAATTTACTCTCAAATATATCCCTTACCAATGAAAGAGTGCTCGTTCATAGAGCTGTAAGTGTAATTTTCGGACAACTGGGTTTCGGACAACTGGGTTTCGGATAACTGGGTTGACCCCATCACTGACCAACAACACCAAACTCAGAACATCAGTCACTAAAATAAGTGGATGTGACATTATTTTCTCTACCACTTAAACAGTAAAAAAAATTCTTATGCATTAAAATGAAGCAACAATTATTTTCAAGTACAACAATAAAAGTTTTCAAAGTTGTACATTGTAGGGCAAGATGTTGCGATTCGTGACCGAGAGAGTTACAGGGCTTATAATTTCTTCTACTGGCGAGAGGATGGAACTCCAATCAAGGTAATATTAGTGTGCTGAAAAGCAATGAGTGCTGTTATTAAAAAACTAATAACATGTTGCATGTTCTGGTACATAATGTTCAATAGGTGTATTCTCTGCTGTTCTGAATTTTTCTCATTAAATTTTCATTCAAATCAATCACATTTCAGATTGGTACATCAGGCACTGAGGGTAGGACTTATACACCTGATCCAGAACATTCAAGTTTTCCAGAAGGCAGCTACTACGACAACTTGCCACGATCTAAATGTCCCAAAAGTAAGATGTAGTGATGTGTATTTTCACTAAAATTTTCAAGGATTATACACTGGGCAGGGACATAATCCAATTTCATAAGAGATTAATTTGTATTTGAGATGTCAGCAAAATTGTTAATGGTTGTGCTTGCAACTTTGACACTAATATTTAATATAATATAGCTAACCTTTCTACACATGTTTATACACAATATTTGTAATATTCTAAGGCTTCATCAACCATGGTCTATCTGAAATGGACTGGAACCTTAAAACATTATCCCACCCTATTTAACTGACTATACCACACATGTATTTTGTCTGGCCGAAATGGACAAAACTAACGAATATAATATACCTTTGCACAAATATATGTAGCAGGCTTATCATGGTAATTAAAATGTGCATTATATTTGCATGCTGTACAAGGAATATATTATTTACTTCAGTATTGTGAAACATATATTGGACTAAAATATATAAAATCAAAAACTTGAAGTTGATCAGAATTGAGGAAAATGGTGATATTTTCCTTTTTGTGTATAATGTCACAGTTAATATGCACGGAAAACTAAGAAAAACATAAAGCACATTTAATTTAATTTCAATAGACTGATATGCTTTCAAATGATCTCATTTGTCCAAACATGCCTCATGAACTTTTGGATATGTCTGTCTTAAAATTCTATGTAAGGCTGTTTCTGAAGGTGAGAACATTGACTTGATAGGAGTTTCCAGTACATTTCTGTAAACCCAGTCATCAACAGAGCCTTAGTTTGATGGTCTTATACTTCTACTCCATCTTAGATTTGGATTTTTCAGGATGGAATGGCTATATCTGTAAAAGATGTCGGTTGGATAAAACTAAATATAGGCTGGTTGCAAAGTGTTGGGACTGTTCACAGACAAGATGGGAAGGATACGTAAAATGTGATGCATGTGTCCCATTTAAGGAGGAATTCAAATGCTTTAACTGTATGTGGATATATACACTCTAAAAAATAATTACTTGAGTTTGTATTATCTTTGTATTCACAAGTAATTTAATTACTAGGTCAGGTAATTGTTTTTGTCCCAAAGGGGTTTTTATTTTTGTAATTATATTACTAGCATAGTATTATTTTGACTGAATTACTATATTGAGTAATTAAAAAATTACTTGTATTATAAATAATTATAATTAGTAAGTAATTATTTTACTCTATTCTATAAGTAATTGTTTTGTTCCAAAGGGTATTTTATATTTGAGGATAACATTACTAAGTAATTATATTACTTAAGTATTGAAATTACCTAATTAAAAATTGAATAATTTGTTCAAGACTTTTATTATTTTTTTAACTTGGGAAGATTTATTTACATATTATCAAGAGAATTCTTTTATTCTCAAGTTTCCACATATGTCCATGATTACATACAGCACTTTGAACAAAATGGGGACCAGACCTAATAGTTAACTGAATACCACAAAAAGGAGTTTGTCTTATTAGGTTAATATCAAATAGAGTTAGCATCATATGTTAATCAGCTTCACATAAAATTGACATAGTTCTTTGCCAATTTATCATTTCATGATTTTGTTACAGTTTCTTTTAATAAAGAATTAAATCTTGATTTTAAAAATATTAAAAAACATGATATCAAACTACATTAATTAATTTAATTACTATTTTAAAAATTTAGAATACTAAGTATTAGAATTACTCAGTATAATCTTATCATTTTATTGCAGTTAAACATATTAATTCATTAACATTGCTATAGCTATATATTTCTATAAAGTAATTCAAATATTAAAAAGATTACTCAGTAATGTATTTCGAATTTAGTGCAATTAAACATTTATTTGGTACCATTTATTTACATTGCTAGTATTATAATATTTCAATATAGTAATTTGAATGATAAAAGAATTACTCAATAATGTATTTTCAATTAAATGCTATTAAACATAGTAATTCATTTAAATTGCTAGTATTACTATTAATGAAATGTTAAAATGCAAATGGGGAATAAAATTACCTAGTAATATTATTACTTTAATATGCAAATAAAACAGAAACAGAAACAATTTATTTACAAATAAAGTATTACAATTACTAAAGTAAGTAATTCACACAAATAAACAATTACTAAGTAATATGATTACATTTTACGTGACATAAGTAATTTTATAAATTACTTAGTAATCAATTAAATTGCTTCAGCTAGCTGTCAAGTAATATTTTTTAGAGTGTAGAATGCAAATGAGCATATAATAAAAATAAAATGAATTATATTTGCAAACATTTTCTGCTTAAGCATTTGAAAAAACATCAGTTTTAAAGTATCAATGGAAATAAAAAATTTAAAAAAATAAATAAAAGAATTGAAAAAACAAGGCATGACAAATGGTTACAAAAGTGGTTATTTTTTACCTACTTATCTTAAAATAAACTTTTTCTTACCTTTCCAATGTTATCGAAGCTCAACCAAATCAAATCTCTGGTGCAAAGTCAGATTTGGATGTCTGAGAACAGGTAAATGAAATGGTCAATTTGACTAAGGCCTTTTTGAAAATTTTGGTTAGTACTATCAAGGGTACACAACGATGTGTGCAAACATCTGCCTGTTGATGTAATAATAAGGATTTATATTTATACGGGAAGGTATACATAACCCTTTACCAGACTGGATGCACTGAGGTAAGGAATGTGCGTTTTTTACTGTAAAAATTGAGGCAAATTTGTACACATTTAGTTTTATTTCCTTGAATTTCACAGTGATTGACTGGTCATACAGTAATATCAAATATTAATTACACCTAACAATAATATTTTACTTGGAATTGCGATGACAAGAGTAATCATTATCTAAAAACTTCCAAGATGGCCACCAGAATGCAAAATGGCGGCCAAAAAGTTAATTAGCTCTTGAACTTCATATCATGTAACATGTGTGAAAATTTGAAGCAAATCTGTTCAGTGGTTTTCCTAAAATCGTGATGACAAGATTTATCTAATAAAAACTTCCAAGATGGCTGCCAGAATGGAAGATGGCCACAGAAAAGTTAATCAGCTCGAGAACTTCTTACCATATAACATGTGTGAAAATTTAAGTATAAGAAAGGCCACCATTTTCAAAATGGTTGCTCACCAGCCAAGTTGTCATCAGAAGAAGTAATATGCTTTTAAGTGGCCAAATATAATATTTTTAAAAAATCGCACACACAAACATGTAAATGCTGGCCATTTTTTAAAATGGCCGCCTACTACCCAAAATGTCCTAAGACAGTATGCAATCCTTACAAGTATTCACATATCAAATATGAACAAAATCGCCGTATTACTTTTTTAATTATAATAAAAAAAGTAAAATAACACACATAAAAATGTTGGCCATTTTTCAAGATGGCTGACTACTCCCTATAAAGTTTTATTAGACAATGTGCCATGCTTATGTGCAAGGCTCATAAGTATTCACATATCAAATATGAACAAAATCGCTCCACTACTTTTCAAGTTCTAGTAAAAAACGTAAAATGAGGTGCAAAGGCAGACATTTTTCAAGATGGCTGCCATGTATTTCTGTTGTATTTATATTTTTAGCTTAATCAATGTCCTATATAACTTTTTTACATTTAAAACATATTGCTGTTACAGTTTTGGCCATCTACTACCCAAAATGTCATTAGACATTGGGCCATGCTTAAAGTATTCACATACCAAATATGAACAAAATCGCTCCACTACTTTTTGACTTCCAGTAAAAAGTGTTAAACAACACATGTAAAAATGGCGGCCATTTTTCAAAATCGCCGCCTACTACCAAAAATGTCATTAGACATTGTACCATGCTTAAAGTATTCACATACCAAATATGAACAAAATCGCTCCACTACTTTTCAAGTTACAGCAAAAATCGTAAAATAAGGTGCAAAGGCAGACATTTTTCAAGATGGCTGCCATGTATTTCTGTTGTATTTACATTTTTAGCTTAATCAATGTCCTATATAACTTTTTTACATTTAAAACATATTGCTGTTACAGTTTTATATGCAGTACCTAAATTACTGTAAAATCGGCACTAAAATGGCCGCCATTTTTAATGAGCAGCAATTTTGAAAATCAGTTTTAGAGCAGAACTTCTACCCTCATTAGGTATATGTGTACAAAACATGAACAAAATCAGGCAAACCGTATTTGAGTTATTGCCCGGACGGACGGACGGACGGACAGACTGACGGAGGCGTTCCCTATATCCCTCCAAACTTCGTTTGATGGGATAAATGAAGGACCCATGGTCCTATGCTCACACAGTTTGGAACCTTCAGAGGAACTATATCCTGACTTTCAAACAAAATTATTGAACTTTGAGAAACTTAGATTTCAAAGTTGTGTGACCTAGTTTGTTGACCTTTGACCTTGAAAATTTTACTTATTCAGGGCTCAGTAAGGTGTTTTGTGATTAAGCTGACCAAAATTTACATCCAAAAATCAATTTGAAAAATCAACTTTTTTGACATTTCGAAGGTCACTGAAGGTCAAGTAAAGGTCAAATCCTAAAACTAATGTCAGATTTGAACTCCTGGCAACTTGTAGATAAATTTCAAAAAAATATTTGGTCAAATTGAAGCAAGTTGAAAAATAACTTATTTTTACTGTTTTTTGACGTCAAATATCTCAAAAACTGTAAAAATTTGATGCTGACATATATCGAGCAATATGTAGGGAATGCTTAAATCTAGTAATGATGTAATTCATTGCAAGAAATGATCAAGTATAAGTCCTACTTTTTGTCAAATTTTATAGAGTAAACACCAAAAACTGTAATTCCCAGAACTTTGAAATCTTCAGAGGACATAAGTTGCATATACAGCAACTACTAAAAGTTATTTGAAAGTTCTACTTCAACAAAGTGTCTAGTATTTACAGAAAATTTGAATTTGACGTCAAAATCCGCAATTTCTCGGAAACCGGGCAAACTTGGGAAATGGCGATG